TCGGTATCTGGCTCGGAGGGTGCAGAGTCCGGAGGCAACGACTGACTTGGCTCCGTTGGGAGCGATACGGTTTCGGACCGACACACCTCTTGGCAATGACTGGATGTGAATCGGATGATCTTCTTGCCCCAACGTATCCAGGGTTCGTGGGATTGCAGCCACGGGTAGCCCAGGATAACTTGGTGGTATGGGGACTTGATGATCTTGAAGGTGATGACTTCCTTGTGGCCATCGATGTCCATCACAAGGGGCAAGGTCTCGTGCGAGATGCCCCCGGATGTGAGTGGTTGGCCATCGATGGCCCGTCCGTCAATGGGATTGTCCAAGCATCGGAGTGGAACTTGGTGGCGTTGGGCAAAGTCAGCATCCATGCAGTTCAGCTGGGCCCCAGAGTCGATGAAGGCCTTGGCGGTAAAATGGGACTCTTGGGATTGGCAAGATACGGGAATCTCAAAGCACATTGGTGGCGTACCGCTCGAGAGGCTGCTGATGAGTGCGCGCTCTGCGTGGGTAGGGTCAGGAGGTTTGTTGTTGGAGTCCGGCGGGGCTCCTGATGCAGCCGCCGGACTCAGCGAAAACCCTGCTGTTGCTTCTCAGGGCAGTGCTTTGCGATATGGCCTTTGCCTCCACAATAGAGGCAGAGACCCAAGCGACGACGTCGGTCGCGCTCGTCGATGGCCAGCTTGCCTTTCGCTGCGGGCTGCGAACCAAGAGGTGCCTTCAATGCATCCACTTCCATCGGGGTGGGCTCGGCCGAGGCGTAGGCGTTGGTCGGGAATCTTGAGCTTGCGCGGGGGGCAGGCTGGTAGCGGCGCTCTGCACGTTGCTCTTGGCGGCGCTCGTACAGGCGGTTGTCGATCGATATTATGTGTTCGACAAGGTCGTCGAGGTTGAACGGCTCTCGGGACTTGGCGAGCTCGTCCTTGACCTCTGGGTGCAGACCACGGCGGAGGGCAAAGCGGAGGGCCGCGTCGTTCCAGTCCGTGTCGACTGCGAGGCGACGGAACTCGGCGATGTAGCTGGCGGCCGATCGGGTTCCTTGGGTGAGCGTGTCGAGGGCTCTCTCGGCTGACTTGGTTCGATCGGGGTCGCCGAACGAGGCGTCGAGGCGGCGGACAAACTCCTCGAAGTTGTCCAGCACCATGGCGTCGTTGCGCTCCAGCACCGGAGCGAACCATGCTGCTGCAGTTTCGCGAAGGAAACTGGCAGCGAACATGACCTTGAGGCGCTCGGTGCTGTAGCGGCGAGGTTGGACCGAGTAAATCAAGCGCAGGTGGTTCAAGAAGGAACGGGTCTCTGAACGGCGACCAGAGAACATGGGTGGGTCAGACATCCGGGGCTCACTGGGAGCTTGGGGGAGCTGGGCGAGGAAGTTGCCCAGCGCGTCGTGTTGTTGGGCATCGGGAACCTGGGCTTGCTGGAGGGCAGCGTATGCGTGCTGCAACTGACCGAACTGCTCATGCAGTTGTTTGTAGGCAGCGAGCAGTTGGTTGGCATCGGGGGGAGGAGGAGCTTCAGCCTCCATCGGTGGGATGTCGGGATTGTACAAGGTTAACGCAGGAGCAAGGCAAGGTAAGACAAAAAGGGTGAAGACGATAAACTGCAACGGGACTGGAGACTGGAGGGGAGTACGGACGGACTGGGGCGAGCAAGTATGGACTGGTTTACTGGGCGAATGACGGTGTTGTCGTCTCGCCGGTTTATTTTCGGCGGGCGACGCCTTGCATTTACATCCCTGGGGGCAGCGGATCGGCTTGCCTGCGCTCCTTGGCGCTGGCTAAGCCCCCTCGGGGTGCCTTCCGGGTCGTCCCGGAGCTCCCTGTCCGCGTGCCCATTACAGGCCAACGATGCGCAATTACATCAAAGATTACGTCTCTGGGTGCGAAACTTGACATTTCTTCAAAACATTGGACTGATCATACAAATTTACCCCTGTGTCCCTTGTATCTGTCAGCAATCATGCAATAGGCTGATGTCAGCATTACCATCATTTGTTAGCAACCTGTGTGTGTTTCCTTCCGCCGCACTTGCTTCGACCCTGCTGCGTCGGGCTTCGCCTTCGTGACCTCCAGAAAGATGAATGGCCCAACTTGCCCGCTCATGTTTTGGATCAAAGTCCTCGAAAACTGACACAATTGACCTGAGATTCTTGTCCCACTGATTCCAAGAAACATGTTTGTTAAAGGTATCGCTAGCTTCCCTTTGATCTCATGATCTGACCCCTATCCCGAGGCCCCGACTATCTATTGACGTCACTGTACGAGTCGACTGTCAGTGTCGACGACACGATGCTGGATGTCGTCCGAGACAACATCACCAACGACAAACAGTTCGGAGAACTGTTCCGAAAAGTGTCTAAGCTCCCCAAGGATGACGAATCGTCCGAGTACACAGTGCGTGATGGCCTGCTCCTCCTGAAGAAGGACAGCCGTGTCTGTGTGCCGGACATTCCGTCGTTGAAGACCAAGTTGCTCCAAGAGGTCCACGACTCGCCCCTCGCTGGACACTTTGGAGTCGAGAAGACATACGACCGACTGGCCAAAGTCGCATACTGGCCTGGAATGAAGCGCACCGTCGAGAAGTACATCGAGTCCTGCCATACATGCAAGATGGTCAAGTCACGCACGACCCGAGAGCAAGGATTGCTGCAACCCCTGCCTGTTCCCGACCGCCCCTGGACCAACATGTCCATGGATCTCATCACGCATCTACCGACGACCAAGTTGGACCACGATGCAATCGCTGTCTTTGTCGACAGGTTCAGCAAGATGGCACACTTCGTGCCGTGCCAAACGACATGCTCCGCGCCTGACCTTGCACTGCTGTTCTTCAAGCACGTGTTCAAGCACCACGGCCTCCCAAAGTCGATCGTCAGTGACCGAGACCCCCGATTCACCTCCTTGTTTTGGACAAGTCTGTTCGACCATCTCGGCACCAAGCTGAACATGTCAACCTCACACCACCAACAGACGGACGGACAGTCCGAGCGGACGATCCGCACCCTCGAGCAGTACCTGAGGACAGACGCCTCGACCAGCCAAGACGACTGGGACATACAGCTGAGTCATGCAGAGTTTGCATACAACACCGCCAAGTCGAGCACAACTGGCTTGAGCCCCTTTGAGGCGCTCTACGGATTCCAGCCTGATGTCCCCACCTCCTTGACACTGACCGAGTCCACAGCTGGATTGCCTCCCAAACCAAGTGCCTTTGTCAAAGATCATCAAGTCCGACACAAGATGATCGCCGATGCGCTCACGGATGCACAACAAGTGATGGCCCGATACTACGACCGTCGACACCAGGATATCTCCTTTGAAGTCGGAGACCTTGTCTTCCTGGATGCCGACAACATCAAGATCCCCGATGCCCAGTCGAAGAAGTTGTTGCCCAAGTACCGAGGACCGTTCATGATAGCGGCCCGACCCAGTCCCCTCAACTACCTGTTGGATTTGCCACCTGGAAGCAAGCTCCATCCTGTCTTCCATGTGTCCAAGCTGCGTCGCCACACGACCCGCAGTCCAGCACAGTTCCCCGACGCCGACGAAGGTGTCCTCGACGACGCACCACTGGAAGACGATCTCGGACAATACTACACTCAAGAATACGAAGTCGAGAAGATCGTGAGGCACAAGAAAGTGGCTGATGGATCACTGCGGTTTTATGTCAAGTGGGTTGGCTACCCACACTTGGGCAATACATGGCAAACACTTCAGGATTTATTACATGTTCCCGTGGCGATTGTATTCTCGATAGCGTGGCACGCTCTGCGATTCCATGAACTCTGGATTCCCACTGCACTGTATTGCTGTGGTTTGTCCCGTCCACACGTTTATTCGAAAGTTCGACACATCATCGGGAAGAAAGGCAGGTACTTTCTGAACCTTCCTGTCTGCCAGAGTCTCCCTGCACTATCTTGACTTGCCCCCCCCCCTGATCACTCTTCGTACTCTGTCCTCGTGCTTTTCTCCCTTTGTTGGCCAGAGTTCCAGTTTTGAACGTCGGGGGGCAACGGGATATTGAGCGGTCGGCTACTATCACATGATAAAAGTGCCCAAAGCCTAGATGATAATTTGGAATTACTATTATTGCTTCAGAAGGAGTATCATTTAGTGCGCAACTTTGACCCTCGCGATATCTCTCCATAACTCGGCCGCTATGGCTATTTGTCCTCAACATCATCGGAAGGAAGTGCCAGGCTCACTGGCTTTGAGAGTGACTATTTTCGCTTGTCTCATCAATTTTGTTGGAGCGTCACTCAATTGCCATGTCCTCGTCCTGCGTTTTCCTCCCTGGGCCTTGCGTTTTCCTCCCTCAACTCAGTTATTTTCTTACCCTACTTTGCAGTGTCTCCATCTGAAGCCACATGTTAGCCCTTGGTGCTCCCTCACACCCCATGCCTCTCCCTGCTCCAACCAGAAACCACGACCATGTCTCATGGGGTAATGACCGTGATTCTCTTTGGATCCACACTGAACGATCCATCTGAGCCAGCTGCCATCCCGACACCGCAATCCTCACTCGGTCGTTGACTGTGTATGTGGTATGATCCGACCAGGGCGGATTATCGTCACATTGTGTCTTCCACGCACTGTTCAGGCATCCTCCTTGTCCTTCGACAGTAGGTTTCCCATCCAAGGTCCGTCAGTGGAACATCGGGGCAGTTTGGAGCTATTTCCGTATAAACTTTCCCTGTGTCTCTTTCGAACCCCTGAGCCCCGGTAATGGGGGTCATGAATGTCCATCGCTTCCATGATCGCATCCCTTCATTTCAAAGAGGTGGAACCCAACTTGTCTCAGGTTGCAGTTGCGAGTGCCTTGTTGCATCGCTCCTTCTTCATTCATGCTTGGGATCTCTGGGCCTCTCACGAGACCGTGTCAATATCACATCGTTGACTGGCCCTTGGTCATTGAAAGGATGTGAGCAGACTGTATTTACATGGACGAGCTGCGGTGATTCCAACTCAACTCCATCTCAGGAGAACTGTACATGTTGGTCATCAAGTGTTGGCCCGATGGTTTTTCAGCAGACTGAGCACGGTTTGCTCGAGCCACTTGGTCTTGTCCTCCAGTTCTTGCTGGCGTGCCAAGATCGCCGATATATCTTTGTAGTTTCGAGGTGTTGCTCCGCTGGGAACTTGGTGCGGGGCGACCAGGTCGCGCACATCGAGTGCAGGCGATTCATTCTGGCCCATAGGTTTATCGCGATGTTCGGATGGGCTTACGGTATGCACCGAAACCTCGCTCTGTCTTCTGCGTTCAGCGTTATATCGTTCTAAATATGATCGATCCGAGCCCTGCGAGCCGACAACCACAGGAACTTCCACTGACCCTGCAAGATCATCCATTACTTCGGCCCGGGAACTTGACCGGGCTTCGGTGGCTGGAGAAGAAATCGTCGTGTGGCTTGCCTGAGGACTCCGAGACAACGGATGGTGCTGCTGTCGAGCGTAAACCTCGTCTCCCTCGCCATCGAAGCCATGGCCGGCCTGCAATGGCACACGAGCAGCAAACACAAGCTCCGACGACCGAGCGTGCTTGATCTTCGAAGGGCCCTCGGCTGCTGCAGCGGCAGCAATCTCCTCGGCTGTGTATCCGTGACCAGGAGCGCTGTATCGCTTGGGCTTCTGAGGAGCAGACTGTGGAAACACGTAGCCTGGGTCGGCAAAAGCCGCCGGGATCTGGACATTGTCGGGATGGGCTGCTACTGCACTTGTGGATGAATCCGGTGGCCTCCTGGCCTGGCCATCGTCGCCAAGCAGAATCGATCGGTTCAGTCGACTCAAACCTCTTGGGCGGTCGGGCCTCCGACTTCGCTGCAGCCCTCCCGATGAAGTGGAGAGGCTGTCGTCGTGCACATAATTGGAGAGGTTGATGTATGCGCTGTTTTCCATCAACGGATCGTCCAGGTAAAACGACTGATTGGCTTCCATCAAGTCGAGAGAGTAGTCGTCGTCATAGCTCGGCATCATGCTGTGGTTCGGATCTTGCAGCGCCATGCGAGCTCCAGCCAACGGAACACGTTGGGAAAAGACGGAATTTTGAAGAGTGCCCGGACCCTGGCTCTTTCTTGGAGGCGGCTGTGAAGTCTCATCCTCCGATTGGGCCGGATTCCATAGAGAGGTACTGACGAGGCTCTCGTCTCCATGTCCATTCGATAATAGCTGCTCAAAGCCGATCGACAGGTTGCCAATGTTGTCGGCCGACACTCGCCTGTATTTGAGCTCCATCGAGTTCATGCTCCGTGTGGAGGCTTGAAGGCAGTCGGCCGAGACCCTCCGACTCTGCGACCTTCGGAATGTCGACGAATATAACGCTCGGCTGTCGAAGGCATCCGTGACGATATCTCCAACTGAGTTCGAGCGACGCAAGTGCTCGTCTCCGTGTTTGACCTCTCCACAGTCGAGTTCGAACAGGCTGTTGAGCGAAGTCGACTTCTTCAACGGCGTACGGACGATTTCTAGAAACATTGAACAGGACGCCACAAGCAGTTGGCGGGAATGTCTCAGCCAGAAGGAGAACACATTTCTATTCGAGTAGCTAGCATCGCTCCGATATCACAATGTCCAAGCGCCGTAGAGCCTGGCTGCAGAACGATGGCCGATGACGCCCCGATCGCCGGATCTCACCTTGGTTGGTGCGATTGATTGTACGCAGAGAGTTGATCTCGTACTCGAGCCGATTGATGGTGGAGTTCGCGGCATCCAAACTCCGCCTGAGGGATTCCGTTTCTTCTTGGGAGTCGTTCAGCTGGCTTTTCAGGCGATTGTTCTGGATACGAGCCGACGCTGTCAGCGGCCATCATGCCTTTGCGCCTGCCGATGTCTGGCTGGGCACGTCCCAAAGACCGACTTTCGCAGACTTCGAAGGATCTATGCCCACTCGTTTCAGGAACACAGGAGGGCTGCATCACATATACCAACCTCCTCAATTAGCTTCTCTCGAGTGTCGGGGTCGCCGAGAGCCAGGCTGAGGTTCTGGATTCGGGCCTGAAAGCATATTCTTGACATGAGCGTTGAAGGCCGCGGCTCAGATGTGCAGCGGGTGGGTGTGTGCCATCGCACATGCGACTGGCCAACAGCGATTAGCAGAGCGGACTCACCCTCAATTCATTGATTTCTTGCTCTTGCTTCTGGATCATCATGTGCGCCTGGTTCTGTGGAATCGTTGTTGATAGGACAGTCGAGAAGCGACACTCAGCCACAGACCACAGAAATGAAGAAGACATCATGACAATTCAAGCTGGCGAGCGGAGAGTGGCTGCAAGCCGATCATGATGCAACAAATGGCCTGAATCAGAGCCAACACAATGGCAACGTGCTGGGCATAAGATCGGCGATTGACCCCCGCCGGCACAGATACGCATCCAGCGAGAAGGGAATCGCTCCTCGACATCGAGGACTTGCAAAGCCTCTTAGTTGCTTTCTCTCGCCCGTGGCCCTACCAGATTATTCCTGACAGACGGCCCGGGAAGGTGGCTGGGCAACGGGCTGTGAACCGATGCCGCCGACGGGCTTCTCAACAAGCCGCTCGGGCTCAGATATGTTCTCTGGGGGGTGGATCGCTCGTGGCCTCTCATGCTCATATGAAGGGGAAGTTTCGTGGAGATATCGGTATATACTGCAGCACTTCCATAGGCGCTGGGGGTGCGGATGATGTCAAAGATGAGGCGGAAGCGCTGTTCGTGATGATGGATGGAGCAAGACGATCGGCAGGAGCGGAAACGAACCTGCAAATGGCGGGCATTGTCGCACAAGCAGTCCCGGTTTTGGGGAGCATCGTTCGGACAGCAAGTGAGCAGCAAGTGAGCAGCGAGACCAGGAACACTGGAGGCCGCCCAGGCGATATATTTCTCAAAGCGTCCCTTGGGGCGGCTGAGAGCACATGCCTTGCACCCTCACGTTAGATTAGTGCTCGTCGCAGAGCCGGAGCAGCCATGGATAAACGCCCGAGTCCTGGGGAATGACCTTCTCCGGCAAAATCGCTTGGTGGTCAAACACACCCAACAGCGTTTGGAGACTATTATGGCTCAGGGGCGGGCGGTCCGAGAGCTTGGGGAGTCGCATGGGAAGAGGGGTCACCACGAGGGTTGGCGGCAATGCGGCCGTTGGTGCGTGAGTTAGCCCGGTTGGTCTTCGAAGGGTATGTGCCGCTGCTCTCCCTTGGCCACCTGCCAGGACAGTCTGGCACATTACCAGCGACAGCAGACCGATTCGAGTGGGCCACGAACATGCGCTCGTCGACAGCTGCTCGGCTGACGTTACCCGCTTTTTTTTTTGGGGGGGGAAGAGAGGGAGGGAGGGAAGAGGCAGTAACAGGGAATGACCTACCAGCGTGACATTGCCGCTCATGAGCGTGGATTCGATGGCGGCCAGTACGGAAGCATATGACCTGGCTGCCGCTGTCATAAGTTCGGCATCGTCGGTATCGATGTGCTGCTGTAGTGTTCTCTCGCAGTGGCTGAGCTGCCTTACGATATCGGCAATCTGTGCCCCGCTGATCCTGCGTGCGGCGAGAATATACCTGTCTCGCTCCTCTGGGAATCGGCAGATAGAAAGCGAATGGTTACAATCGAGCATGCGAGCATGCGAGAGCCAGTTCAAGAGAATCTGCTTTGAAGCATCTCGGTTGCTTACCTTGGCGGATAAGGGATCCCACCAAGAGGATATAGTCTCCTTTCGCTGCCGATGCCTTGCAAGTGTACCAGTCAACGTATATCATCGGCTGAGTATTTCTCTCACCAGACACAAGTATCTTGGTGGCGTCATGTCCAGGGCCGGGCACGGGATACCGGTCTTTCAAACGGAGGTGATTCAGCAGTTGCTGCACATGGAGATCCAGATTTGGCTTTGCCTGCAAGCATCTCCGGATGAAAACGGCTTGACGCAAATGAGCATATCCTGGACGCAAGTGTCCGAATCGGCTGCAAACGACAGCCATGATCAGAGATGCTGTGTAGATTAAATTGAGGCCCAGGTCACAGATTGTAGTATGGCAGGCTACCAATCCAATGATTGAACGGCACAGCGACTGCAAGTGCTGTGCATGTTTGACTTTGCGCGCATCTTCGACTTTTCTTGCACCAACACTTGAATCGAGTGTGTCCCCAAGTCGATGGCAGAGAAGGGCGCATTGGCTGGACCACAGCCACAGTGCCTCCCTCGTCGATATATTTCGACAAAGCTTGACGTCGACGAAAGCATCGATATTCTCGTCAGGCTCGCTGCGGTAGGTGAGCACTTTGCTTTGAACAATCAAGTTCAAGATGTCCGAGTGAATCGTGGAGCTGGGAGTTTGGTCGTGGTCGTATTCCGCGGCGGATGTCGCAACAAAGCGACGCTCCAGCTCAACAGCAGGCTGCAGTCGCTCTTGAAACAGCTCAAGTGACAGAGCGTATTCCCACATCAGCCTCGAATGATGGCGTCTGTCGACCCATTCATCGGCATCTTGCAACATTCGCTCGATCACGGGTCTGGTTTCCTTGAGCTTCTCGTCAAGTAACAGTGGATACTTGCGCTGAAGGTCCTGCAGTCTTGCTGTGAATGAGTAAAGCAGATGGTGGTGGGAATGAAACTCATTCGCCTGCTTCTCGAACTGTGACCATAGGGCCTCAAGCGATTCGGTTTTTGTGGCAGACTCGTAGATATTCCGTGACAAGCCAGCATTCAGCCAAAGGACTGGCCAAAGCGGGTGTTGTCGCTCTGAGGCTTTGAGGAGGCTCTGCGCTGCTATAATGCTAACATATATCGATCAGATTCAATCGGACATGAGGGTCAGGACATGTGTGGGTGAGAAGCAAAGGTACCATCGGCTGCACGCTCGCTCGATTTGGGATCGGAGTCAGTGTGCGAACCGACAGCGATCGACCCATCAGGAATACATCCAATCGCGGAGCCCCCTCCTCCGTACTAAATGCGGGTAATAGCGACTGCAGCTTGGTAGGGCTCAGGGCGAGTAGTTACTTCAATCCGTCACCACAACGATTCAATTTCAAGCTTACCTCTCCGTGGCACCAACCGCATCATTGTAGAGTGTGTGCTGAATTCGCGACTTCAATTCAAGGCAGTTCACATGGAGGGCTGGGTCGGAAAATTGCGATGCTTGATTTGCAAGATACTCCTCTGTTAGCGATACAGCGTTGAGCGCAAAGGCGCTAACCGAATCCAATAGCTGGGTGTGCTCAAGATGAAGCTGTCTGGCGCGATGAGTTGGGCTTTGAAGAAGTGCCTCGGACGAAGAAGGCGCCACCGACACAAGTTCATCGACTACAGTCGCTGAAATGTCGGCCCAGCTCTTGTTCAGCAAAGTACCGATATCGGATACACTCGCTAGAGCTTCTCGTTGCTTGCTAGCGAGCTCAAAGATCAGTTCGGCGAAAGCCAGAACTGTCTCGCTGGCGATGGAGGGATCGTGTCCGGACTTGAGATAATCGTGAAGCGGTGTCTTGAGAAGGCTGTCGAGGACAATGAGATTTGCCGGGTGAAAGACCGAGTCTGTGTTACTGAACGTCGGATCCGTTTGGAGAACAGCAGGGTCGCGCCGGGTCTGACTCGGATGGGTTGGAAGTCTGACAATTTGCCGCTTCTCGGTCAGTATCGACGACAGAGATGCAAATGACTCGGCAACGTAACCCATTCTTATCAAGGTTCGTATCCGCAGCAATGTCGCCTCGGCCGAGAGATTGCTATCCGGACAAATCTCACTGGTGATATAATCCATTAGCCTGAGCGCCCCAAAGCAAGGTTCGTAGAACTCAATCTCCCACAGCATCATCACCAGCAGCTTCAGCAGCGCAACCGTTTCAGCCGGCGGAAACACAAACTGATCCAAGAATATCGGATCGCAGAATGCGAGATCGCTCTTATCCCCGAGCTTGGGAGTTTGCAGTCCAAACAATGGCAGCTCACGAGACTGGGGAAGGAGAATATTCAACAGCGTCCCCGCGCTTCGGATTAGATAGAGCTGTTTGTTCAATCTGCCGTAGTAAGTGATCATGGCCAACTTGACGAGGATCATAGTCGCCAAGAGTGCATTCTTCCTGCTGCCGATACGTTGGAGAACAGATGCATCCAGGAGCTCCGGAAGATTCTTGATGGAGTGGCGAGCGCAAAACAGGGCATCAAGGGCTGAGAACCAAGCCGCGCCGCAGCGAGCACTATCCTTCTGCGCATAGAGAAAGTCACCGAGCTCGTTACCAGAGAGCGCTTGGAGATCAAGGGACAGACGGCTCTCTGACCCAGTAACCGGAGAAAGCACACTGCGGTAACGCTCGGTTATATCGTGAAGTAGTGTGTCACGGTCTCCATCCGAGAGCGCGATTTCTGGTTTGAGCGTGGAGTTTTTGTTGTAGATCGACAGGGATCGCCCCTGATCAATGGCAAGCATCATCAAGTCGTTCGGGCTCGAAAGTGGCTGAGTGTGTGGTTGTGAATGCATGTGATTAACAAAGGCGGTAGATTTCCAGCCTGGGAATGCGTCCGCAAAAACATTGACAATTTCTGTTGCCCGATGTTGCTTCTGGTAGATTCTGAGAAGATGCACAGAGTACACCACGATCTGGCGGCACCACCAGAGATCGAGGAAATGCGACTGCGACACTCCATCTCGATCTCGCCAGGATATGCGATGCTTCATTTCGGCAAGGCCTGCCGGGTGAACCTCGAGAGAATACTGCTGACTGGTCATCGTTCGCGAAAACTCAGGCTCGGTGCTGAAACCAACTCTTTGGAGCATATCCAGAAGCGACACCGCGGCCACGTAGAAGGCTCGCCATAGATGCTGCTCCCATCCTGTGCCTGGAATACAGATCAATCTTCGGATGTAAAAGGCCCAGAATGTGTCCCAAAGATCTTTGGCTGCTTCGATAAGCTTGAGCCAGCACCCAGAGCGCAAGGATAGGTGGCACGCCTGGGCGAAGCTTTGGAGAGCCTCCGAGATGCTCCGGGTGATCATCTGTTCCGAGTTGGCAGTGCCTCGGCTCGGATTGTCAGACACTGATGCAATGCAATATCGTCGGCAGTGCTGACAAAAAGCGTCGATTGGTGCCCTCTCGACTGTGGAGCGTAAGTTGCTGACGACTGCCCTTCCATAGACGATATTGAGGTCGGCTTTCCACGGCATCTCATAGTAGACGATGATCCTGAGGCGGAGCCTATATCGATAACGATGCCACAACTCACAAAGCAGCTGATCGAGAACCTGACAAGCTCGCTCCTTGCGCTCACGCTCGGCTGGCGGGAGACCGCCAAAGTATGCCATGCGAGCTGCCATTCGCTGTCGTTTCATGGGCAGCGTGATAGGCTCTCTCTTGCTCGCATCTTGATCTCGGTCCCTGTCCCGATCTCGATCGGTGCCCTGACTGGACGATCGCGACTTTGGGCTGATCGAACGACTGCTTCCTGCCGGCATCTCCCGATGCGGACTGACGCTGCGAGACATACGAGCGGGCGGGTGGCTAGACTCCCGTCCAGGACTTTGGCTTCGCCGTCGACGCCGCTCGACGCTGCGCCGATGGAAACTTGATCGTCTTCCCGAGCTCTGTGACCGTGTCTGCCGAGCCTTTTTGCGATGTCGCTTGTAAATGGACCTTCCTCTGTCCATGCAAGGCACGTTTGGTCAGGACATGAGGGTGTAAAACATCCGCCCAACATACCATCTCCACGCAAACTGTCTGTCGGCTGGATGATATCACTGTTCTCCATCACAATGACATAGCACCCATGATGTATCTGTCCGGCCAATGTGTGGATCCGGGTGTGCTCTCCACTTGCCTGATTTTGCCTCCGTGCGGGGCATGTAATCCATATATAGCGTAGCGATGCTCGGCAAAGAGCCTTCGGCGTTTTTTTTTGGTTTCTTTCTTTGCCGTATCGATGTCTTCTTCGATAAGGTAGTCGGCCGATACGATGGCGTGATTGCGTCTATCAGTCCAGTCCAAGGCTTCAAGACAGTACTTTGCTGCCGACTCTGCGTGCCCGCTCTCAAAGCACAGCCGGCAGAGCTTGGAGACAATCTCTAAATATCGTGGGTTCTTCTGGAAACGAGTTAAATCTTGCATTATTCCCTCGATTCCAGAGCCCTCAAATACCGACATGATCTCTCGCATCGTTGTCTGGATATCCAGGAACCGGCGGTCTTTTACTTCGGTATCCTTTGAAACCAATTTGAGGCCACTCCCACGACCCGATAAGGCCTCGAGGTACTCGCAAAAGAGATCCACTCTGCGATACGCTCGTTGGTATCCCAGCGCGTAGTTTGTTGTGGTCGAGACAATAGCGTGATAGAAAAAGTCGGCGTGGTAGGTCGTCCGGCGCTTGCCATATCGGATGGCTTTGGGCTTCTGGACAAAGCCAAGCCACTGGTTTTCAAGGGCTGCCGAGTTCCAGATACGCAAGTCGTCTGTATGGCAGTAAGAGTGGACGATCGAGAGCGAAGCCTCGGCTGACGAGGTCATGAGCTGATTTCGAGAGAGATGGAAGGTCAGGGGCACAAAGACTTCGGAGAGCACAAGCGCGCGGTCGTTCCCGAGGGCATTCGAGCATCGAAGTAGCGTATCGTGACCGATGCGTAGGGCGTGGAATATGAATGCACTGAGCTTGTGTGCTTGCAGGAGCACAGAAAGGTACTTGTAACAAAGCACCGCCGCGGTCACGGCAAGCTCGTCGTTCTGGATCGCGGCTGCGAGCTCAATGGCGAGAAGATAGTTGCGGCAGATTTTCAAATGCGTGAGCTCACACTCTAGGGTTTGGGTGCCGTACAGAATTTGGAAATGGGTGCCCTCGTTGGGCGATGCCTCGCTTTCACAGGACGCATGGATAAGCTGAATGAAGGACACAATCTCGATTGGTGATGCAGCGGCAAGAGCAGCTCTGTCCAGCACAAACAGGTCCTGAAGACTTGCCGATTGGAGGACCCTGAGCTGGGCGCAGTCGATAGTCGATGCCACAAATATGCTCCAAAAATGCTCCATCGCCAGCATTGCAATGTTTTTGAAGCCCTTTGCAAATGCGAGCTGGGCCATGTAGGCCCAAGCAAGATTGGCTGGCAGCGGAAACGTGGTGACCAGAGGTAGTGTCGATGCCCCAATCGGTCCGATCGGCGTGCCGGCTGAATTGCATTGGCATACTCCGACGACATAGGCTTGGTTCGGAGTCAGTCCCGAGATGCAGATTTCCTGGGGTCCATTGGATGTGGAGAAAGACTCTCCTGTGCCAAGATAGTCCATGCAACTTATCGAGAGCATCCCCGGTCCGGCAGATTTACAAAACAGCTGGAAGAGATCTCCCTTCATACCCGCGACGGGTGAAACAATCAAGCTCAGCGAGCTTGGGGTTTGACGGATGAGACAAGGCACTCTTTCGCGCATTTTCTTTGATCTGACCGAAGCGAGATCGCTGCAGCAGGCTTTGGTGGTGTTGTTGAAGCCCTTGGTGTTGTAGGTGCCCTTGGAGCCCTTGGAGCCGGTGGTGCCGTTGGTATGGTTGGCGTTATTGGCACTCTGTATCCCAACGGGGCACGTCCGGAGAAGTTGATAGGCCATGTCCAGGAGCTGTGCCACTGTTTCTTCGCGCTGTTTATCCTCAAAGACATCGACATAGGATAGTATGGCAACGGTCTCCAGAATGATGTTGCAGCCGATTCGTGGTATCGCTTGCGTGACTTCATGAAATCGCGACTTGGGTGGGGCCGATCCGACAGTCTCTGCCTCTGCAAGCCACTTTCGCTTGAGCTTGAGCATGCAGCGGATATACGCCGCAGAAACGTCGAGCTCCGAGAATTCAAGGCCCTGCGATCGTGGATTACGAGAGTACTGCTCGTTTCCGGCCCACCATCGTGGCGCATTTGTTGGATTTTGGAGTCGACCATCGCCCATGAACGAGCGAAGTTTGTGGATCCGCTGTAGTGTCGTTTCCAAGACAGTAGCCGCCTCAGAATAGAGTCCCCAGCACTCGTAAATGATGGAGAGTCTCTTGCTGACCTTTAGAGCGAACAAGTTGTCCTTCATCGGAAAGACGGTAAAAACATCGTGCATGAATCTGATCGTGTCGACGAGGACGTTTTCTTCGTCGATGTAGTACTCGTCCGACAGGAAGCGGATGTCGCGGACGTATGGCTCGATGAACTTCCACAAGATTGTCACTGCGGCAAAGCAATAGGCCGAACAAAAGTCGGATTCGTGCGCATGCATCAGAAACCTCTGCAGCGCGGCCGTCACGCACTTGACTGCCAATTCGATATGCTGGGTGACCACCAGGCGATGGTGGGCCAGATCGGCCATGGTACCGGTTACAGGCACATCTGGGCCAAACCCGACGTGGCGCGCTGAGTGAGAGGCCTTCAGAAATTGAGCGATCGAAACACGCAGCTCCAGTTCGCTCGAAAATACTGGGTCAAGCGCCAGCAGACTGGACAGCCCCGATGCCCTCATCGCGTCAAAACGATCCCACTGTCGGTAGTAGAAAAATATGCGCGAGAGGTTGATGAGATCCTCGGTAGCAAACATGCTGATGCGCCCGCAAGCACCTGCTGCTGCGATATAGCTGTGCGGGACCCGCTGAAGCAGATCGTCGCTGATCGCAGACTCTGGAATCTCAAATAGAATCCGGGTGCTGATATCCAGGAGCGCCTGTATGACGTAATCCGATGGGCTAACGACTTCGTATGAACGATCCGTGACCAGGTTATCGAGCGCTTGGCCCAAAAACATGTGGACGATGCTGATGGCAATAGACAGCTGTGATTCGAAGCTGGAGCCCAGACCAACAATCTTGCACAAGCCAAGTTTGACGGCCTTTCTGAGTTTTTCTTCTGGGGACTCTTCTGGGATAGGTGGAGGCCGTGTCCGCTTGCCTTTGGTGGGTGCCTTGGCTGCCGGAGTGGAGGCCTCGGTCGCTGTATCCGCTGTTGTAGATGCCTTTGCTCCGTCTGGATCGGTGGATCGTGTCGGGTTCTGTGAGTTCCCGACAGCCAAGCCGTTTGAATGGAAACAAGATGTAGAGGTGGGTTGATCAGGGTCTGCGTGGAGGAATAGTGCGGGCGCCGTTGCCAAGTAGCCCCGAGCATCTGCGTACAAATTCCAAGTATCCACAAGCCCACCTTGCCGCCGATGACGAAAGCCAGCAGGTTTTCTTGGCTCTCGGAGGTCTCCATGGTCCCCAGGGGTCTGGAGTGCGATTAAGTTCTGTCAGAATGGCCCTCGCCGCCTGTTTGCGCCAATACACTTTGCAGCAACTAATGACAGTCTCTGAGCTGGATTGCGAGTTACCCCTGCGGATTGTCAGTGCTTGGATATGCCTCGGTTCCGGTGGAACATGCTGCCTGGCAGCTCTTGAGCAAATTGCTGAGGATGGCTGGAAGCTCTGTGATATTTGCCGCCGGTGCAAGCGCGAGCTTGAATCGCATGGACGTGGATACTTTCGCCAGTTTCTTTATCGCCTGGCCGAGAATTACCTTTGTCTCGGCTGTGAGTTGATTGTCATGACAGGCTTGCTCGAGGAGCTCGAGCTCACTTATTTTTCGAGAGGCGCGCTCGACAAACTCGACACCTTCGGTGACCGCATCGATTGCAATATAAAACGAGAATGCCAGCTCGTAGAGCTCCATTCGCCACGGAAGTTCCGAGGCCCTCAGGAGTGGCGGGTAGGTTTCCAGACATAGGATAGACCACAGGAGAAACGGCATACCCTGAAACGGCGAAAGCCCAAGTACCGATCAGCGCGAGTAGGCAAGTGGACAAGTGGACAAGTGGACAAGTGGACAAGCAGCTGCCGCCGAAAAGACCAACGGATCGTCGGCCGCTGGACGCACGGCCATTCATCCGAATTGAGCGCGTGGGCCCATGTATAGTCCGTTTATATCAAAACACGGCAGCGGCCACCAGCACACCGCGACAACTTGCCTTCGTCCACAACCGCTGATGAGCGAGATACGAGATCATTCTGTGGATGGAGCGAGTGCCTTGGAGCACTAGATCAGAGAGTGAATCTTCGCGACAGCATTCCTCCATTACCCTCTGAATTTCGCATAAGGCCTTGAGCACAAGATCGAGCGAGTCCTTGGAGCTGAGGCTGGGATTCATGCTTATCGCCAGGCGAAAATCACATACGGCTGAGCCAAGGCGTGATCGAAAGACAAGCGTTTTTCGATTGTGGTGCACAACGAGCTGCGAACCACTCGTAGTCGATTCCGCCGCTGAGGCGGCACTGTTTCGCAGGATGCCTTGGGCCGTGGCCGGCGAAACGGTATGGCGAGACGCAGCCTGGTTGGGGCCGAGATCAGCGCCGTCATCTGGCCGCAAGAAGGGAGCAAAGCACACGCGACGAGCAATCTCTTCAAAAATCTCCAAGTCTAGAAGCTGCTCGCCAAACTCGACAATGCTTTGTTCGTAGACGGAAGGAGACAGGAGCCGCTGGTACTTTTGCAGACAGCGGGTGATTTGCGAGAGCATGACGCGCCGCCACGACGTGCCGCCCTTGGATTCCTTCTGGATGCATTTGAGCATGAACGCAACCTCGCTCTGGAACGCCGGAAGTGCCAGCGATTCACGCAACTTGTCGTCGGTCATGAACGGCAGCTCACCGGTCGGGGGCTCGCCGGGTTGTTGCTTGGCTGTGATAGCTCCAGGACGACCCCTGGGCAGGATCGTGCTGAGAGGCGAGTACGGTGTGGTCGAAGGCGTGTTCATTGGCAAATACTTGGGTCAGGCGGACGTACGATGAGCCCGAGCCAAGGTAGATCTCGCAAACTGGGTGGAGGAGCAACAAAAAAGCCAGGGGGCGATCGGCAGGGGTAGGGGCCGTCAGCGAAATGGCGCCATCACATCAATCTGATGCTTTGGCCCCGCCCAACCGTGGGAAAGCCGGACAGTCCGACAAACATGAGCTTCATTTGACACTCTGTTCTGCAGCATCCTCGGCACTCTGCCCCGATAGCATCCTCGATACTCTCTCCCGACAACATCCTCTGTCCTGCGGCATCCCCGATGGCGGTATCCCCGATGGCGGTATCACGGCCGACACTATGAAAAAATTTCTTGTTAAAAAAATGAGCGAGAACGAAAAAACGCGCTCTCGGAGCCACCTCGGTCGGCGAGAAGAGCAGTCTCTGGCGAGAGACCCCCGAGGGAAGGCGAGAAGCCTCTCGCCGTTACGCACACACACACTTTGCACACACACACACTTTGCACAAGGGAGTCAAACACCTCCCATCGACCATCCCAAGAGGGATGGCAACCCCGAAGTGGACTGCCCAGAATATGGGCGACCCGGCATCCACTGTCGAAATACTCAAGGAACAGTGCGAGATACTTACAGTCTATCCAGAAAGAAACGGGACACTTTCCCTTTCTGGCTTCTGAAGCCCGCTGACTGACTGTAGGCCCAGTGGGCAAGCCGTGAGATTGCACTCCTGTCTTCGTTGGCAATCTCTTTGTTTTCGTTGGTTTGGGAAGCATGGTCTTGAATACACCCGGCCGATCTCCTGTGGCGATGATCGACTGGCATACCGAGATCATGTTCCTTGAGGCATTGATGTCTCGATGTGGGAGTGTGGTGGATGCATTCGACCCTCTGCACAGCTTCATGGTTTCTCGATATCAAGATGCTCGACCTTCTCGAGTCGCTTGGCTTCCCGACAATGTGAGCACACCTGAGATGTGTTGAACTCGTTCACCGATCACACATGGATCTTGGAGACGGATCGGTCTGGTGGGCGTCTCTGGTGATGGTGGAATTGCTCAAAGTACTTGGCGAACCTGAGTCTCCGTGGGCTGGATGCGTATCCCTTCCCCTGTTTCCAGGATGCATTCCCAAAGGCAATCACCACTTCGGTCTCCTTTGGTGCCTGGTCGATGACCTGCTTGCACATCTCGTGGACGGTGCGCTGTCGCTTGCTGTGGAGATCGAGTCGTTTGAATCGCCGACGCCGGGTCAGGCTGAAGTACAGCTGTTTGTCCAGCATGTCTCCATCGAACACATGGCGAATGTATTGCAAGAAGGAAGCCAACCCGGGGATCTTGGGACTTGGTGTGGTGCTCATCCATTCCTGCAGACCAAGGATCTTGTGGGTGCTCTGGATCCACTTGGTCGCCTGGCTGGTGTCTTTGGCTTGCGGTGAACCATCTGGCGAGAAAATAGCGACGATGGCTGGTTCTGCCCTTGGGGAAGAAAGAATCTCCTCAAAACCAGCGCATTTTGGGCTGGCAGAGATACTGTGCAGTGGCGTCCTTGATCCAGATCCAGAAACGCATCGCTCGCTCAATCAGTCGTGGGAAGACATCTTGTCAAGGTGAGTCTTGCCTGATAGCCAAACGATCATGTCATCTCGCTGACACACAACCACGCTTGACTAGGTTTCCAACCAGAGAGATTCAGATGGTGGTGGTTCTTGTCCGCAATCGGAGTGGAGCTTCCAACAATGATACAATTGGTCATTCCTCCACACCAATTGCCCACCACCACCGTCAATCGGCTCAAGACGATACCAAATGCCGTCAACCGACCATGGCCGGATTCCAACTTTTGCTGCATCTTGGTCTACAGCGTGTATTCATATTCGAGATGAGCAGCCGCGAGGGGGCCGGAAATAATTGATAGTGCGAATCAGATCGACAGCCCACAGGCAACACTGCTCGCGCTTTCCATTTTTGGAGCCTTGTCACACCGCCAAACGACACGCCGCACACACACACACACCAGATCCGGGATTGCTTTTGCTCGCTCGGGCTTGATTCGCTCGATATCTTCTCGGCCCCGACTGCACCAGCGCTCCAACAGCACAGCAAGCAACCCGCCATGGCTACTCTCCAGGCTATCAAGTACCGCCGAGGTGCGTCTGGACCGCATGGATGTCCCTGGCGGCCCTGGACTCATTCCCACCTCGCCCAGAGACGCCTGGGCGTGACCGCTTACTGATCGGGTCCTCGCCCATGCTTGCGCCTCCTGCAACGACAGGAAGTCTCGAGATCCTCGACCAGCTGCTGCTTCCTTTCGAGAGCGTCTACGAAGAGGTCAAGGACTCCAAGGATGGACACAAGGTCATTCGCACCATGAAGGTATCCATCCATTCGTGTTGTTGCGTATAAGGCCTGTTCGGTGTCGGTGCTCCCGAATAACCTCCAGTAAACTTTGTACCCAATCGCTTCCCGCTGCTGGATAGGTCCGAGGAGGTAAGCTGCGCTGAAGATTGTGAAATAGATCTACAACTCGTCCTTGCTCCGAGGCTCAAGATTGTTGCTGCGAGTGCCTGATCTTGATCTGGAGCCCGACAGCAGACAAGTGCACCTCCGGCGAGCCGATGGCTTGGCCAGTCAACGCAAGCCCCACCCAGCCGATTGATTCGACTCCCTCGCATTCCTTCAGCGCCCGCCATTGCCATCGTCGCCGCTCTCTCGCTTGCTGTTGAGCTGCATGTCGCCCAGACGCATCGATCCGAGCCCAAGCTCCAGTCCAGCGAGAGCGCCGAGACGTTCATTCTCGAACAGCTCGAATACCTCAAGACATCCCGCCCGACTGCAGTCAATCTGTTCGATGCTGCCGGAAAGCTTGCCAAGGTTGTCCAGCAAGCTGGTCGCAATGCACAAGGATTGAGCGAGCAGGATGGTGCCAACGCCGTTGTGGCGGCGTATCTGGAGGCCGCCGAAGTGATGCTCCAAGACGACATCAAAGACAACAAGAACATTGGCAAGTTTGGTGCCGAGTTTATCCTGGAAAACAAGCCCGCATCGCATGAGCGGGTTCAGGTTCTGACCCACTGCAACACCGGAAGCCTGGCTACCGCCGGCTGGGTGAGTTGAGCACGGCTGCCGGAGCGCGACGGCAATGAGGATGACGATTGGAGACCTGCGCTCTATGGCATGAGAGGTGGTGTGTTCGACACAACCGGGCCATTATCTTGCCGACGATGACCCGGCTGGCTGTTTTTCAACGGTCACGCTGAAAACTGCGCCGAGTTTGTATCCTTGAGAAACATCGTGCTCTGCTCGGCTGCTGCTCCATCTCCATCTCCTGAAGCCTTGTTTTTTGCCGACCTCGACAGGGCACTGCTCTCGGCATCATTCGGGATCTGCATGGACTGAATGTGCTCGAGCATGCGTACTGCACCGAAACTCGACCCTACAATCAGGGCTCGCGCCTCACGGCCTATGAGCTGGTCTACGAGAAGATCCCAGCCACCCTCATCTGCGACAATATGGCCTCGGCTCTGCTGAGCAAGAAGCCCGTCACCGCCATCGTTGTCGGTGCCGATAGGTATGATCCTGCTCAGCACACTGTGTGGCCAAAGAGCGGCCCTGACTGTCGATCGGGCTGTCCTTGGCAACCGAAAGCCCATGGCGGGACCGGACTGCAGCTGGCAGCATGGCCAGTTCGGTATCCTACCACAAGAGTGCATGTTACATCTGCCGCAAGGACTACGAGATTGCCGGAGCGTTTCTGATTGTTCCACATCTGCTAGAGTTGCCGCCAATGGCGATACCGCCAATAAGATTGGCACCTACCAGCTTGCCATCGCTGCCAAGCATCACGGTGTCCTCTTTATTGTCGCTGCTCCTTCGACCTCAATCGATCTGAACATCCAGTCGGGTGCCCAGATCCCTATCGAGGAACGAAGTGGCCTGGAGGTCGTGAGGATTCGTGGTCAGAACCTTGAGGACGAGGCCGGCATCAAGGAACCTAGTGGCCCTGCCACCTGCTCGACCGTGCACATTGCTGCCCACGGTATCAACGTTTGGAATCCTGCCTTTGATGTAAGTATCCAGAACGTCCTCCGTTGCGAGTATAGGGCCCGGCAAGGACGGCATCAGCGACATTGATATAATGGATAGAGCGTGCGGCCAGGGCGAACCATTGCTGGCGATCGCTGATGACGATCGCTGATGACGATCGCTGATGACGATCGCTGCTGATCTTGACTGATGCGGCTATTTCAATACCAGGTTACGCCTGCCCATTTGATCTCGGCGATTGTTACCGAGAAGGGCGTAGTCGTCAAGAAGGATGGCGCCCAGAGCTTTGAGCTCGCCGAGTTCCTTGCGTCGCGCTAGATAGCCCGACCTCGGGTGTTTGGAGCTGTCGTGGGCAGCGGCTATAAAAACCATCTCAAAAGCACACAGATGCCATCGCCGACGAAGCGAGCTGCGGTCAGCGAGGTGTCGCGATCTCTGTCGACATTCCAGAACCTCGTGGGAGTGTGCTTGCCTGGCTGGCTGCGGCTGCGCTGCGGTGATGACTGCGCTGCTGGGCCGTCAGCCGGCCGTTCAAAATACCGAGCGTTTGGTGGCTCGGCAGCCGGTCGCAGTTCTTCCGCCTGCTTGGCCTCGCCCGAGCCCGATACAACGCAAACATGGACGACGACCCAGAGTGGAATAGAGAGCAGCAGGACAATGAGATTCTGGCTTTGCAGGTACGACCGACATGTCATGCTGCCATCTCTCTTGGGCTGCCACTGCGATATCGGCCCAGGTCAGTCGACTTATCTTCAGCCGACTCTCCGGGTCGGTGCCCCTGTTGGATTCTCTTGGCTGGATTTGTCGTGGATGAGCAATGTTTTCTCGATCGGACAGCTGACTTTACCGGATTCTTGCCTGGGCTGCTCATCGCCGCTCGCCTGTCGATAAACGTCTCTGCCAAACGGTGTGCCAATATGGCCGTCGCCCACAAAAACAACAATGGCTCGCTGCCCCGTTGGATTGATAACCAATTCCGACGGGCAGTCCATCTACGAAACCGAGTTCGAAATCGAGTCGTCTGATCCCCATGTTGGAATCCTAAGAATCAACTGCGAGCTCCCCTTCGAAGGAGTCCATGTCCGGCAACGGCCCGCGGACAGCACCCCCGAGCTAATCAGCCGCAATCCCTCCCAAGCCGATCAGCAGTCGGCCAGTCCTGCATCCGACGACGCCATAGCAACCGCCCACATCTTACATCTCCCGCCAGTGACTGTTCGATTCATGATGGCCAAGGGCTATCCCTCGCGCGAGCCCTTGATTCTGCAGGTCGAATGTCCTTGGCTGCACGCCCGGCGGCAGACGGGGCTCTGCAAAACCTTTCGGCAATTCTGGGATGAGGACCACGACGTGATTCTCTTTCGGATAGCCGAATTCATCAAGTCCGAACTGCTGGAGAGTTTCGGGTACCTGCAGAAGGACGAGAACTCGACAGCATCCGAGGAAGTGCCTGTTCTTGAAATCGAGTGGCCCAGCCCACAGCACGCAAGAGAACCATTCAACAACGTCCTGGACCAACTCATTGAGTACAGCCAGCTCCAGGAGCAGCGCATCTTTGACGAATCTGTCTTTAGTTGTGGCATCTGTCTCGAGTCAAAGAAAGGCACAGCATGCTTCCGATTCAGCCGCTGCAAGCACGTCTTTTGCAAAGGCTGTCTCGAGGACTTTTTCTCGGCAATGATCACCGAAGGTGCGGCGACGCTGACACCAGCGGCTACGGTGCTCAGTGCGGACTCATGCGTGTCCTCCGGCTGCTGGGCAAGGCTCTTGCTGGTGATAGCTGGCGCTTGTATGCGGCGATGGGCTGTCTTGGATCACAAATCTAATGTCTTCCGTGATGTTCGTGCAACAGGGTCGGTTTCGTGCGTTGGCTGTCCGGATCCCGAATGCACCAAGCTGGACTCGAAGAACCACGAACTGACGTCGGCTGGCCGATTGCCAGTCGCAGACGTCCAGCGCATCGTCAACAAGACACTCTCCAAACGGTACACGGAAATCATCCGCAAGAAGATTCTCGAGAGCCGCAACGACGTCACGTACTGCCCACGACAGGACTGTGGAGCACCCGTAATCCGTGAAAGCATGGATGACAAGCTGTGCGTATGCAAGGAATGCGGGTTCGCCTTTTGCTGCTTCTGCCGCAAGTGCTGGCACGGCTACCAGAGCTACTGCAAGCTCTCGAATCTGGACACAATTCTAGAGCAGTATCTCAAGGCCGACGACAGCGCCAAAGCTCTTCTTGAGAAACGCTACGGCAAGAAGATGCTTCTGAAGCTTGTTAAGGAGATGGAGGACGAGAAAGAAAGCGAGCTCTGGAAGAAGAACAACACTCAAAAGTGTCCAGTTGCGTATCGTACCATCCCAATCCACTGCCTTTGGTTCAGCTGGCTGCTTCAGCTCGGGGACATATCAGGGCATGCTTTGTGGGTCGCTGGATTGGCAGCAGAGCTATTCCAGTCGATCGAGCAAATGCTTCCTGCGATGACCCCACCTTCATCGAGGATGCGTTTTGAATCTCGCCGTGCTGCTACCGTTGTCGCTGCCGTTGCATTGATGGCCGCATGCTGACAGAAAGCGTTGCCCTCCCCCATATCCTTCCCCATGGCAATAGGAGTGTTGTATATCCGTCATCAAGTCCGAGGGCTGCAACAAAATGACCTGCCACATTTGCAAGACCTTCTTCTGCTACATATGCGGCTCGTTCCTCTCGCGAGATGCACCGTACTGGCACTTCAACGATTCCAACAGCGGATGCTACCAGCGCCTGTTTGATGCGCCCGAAGATGATGAAACGATCCAAAACCGGGCCCGTAATGCCGAGGATGGCGAGGCTGTAGAACCCTGGTGGGGCGCCAATGCTGCGCCAGATGAGCAGGCCGAGTGGTTCCCGAATGAGGAGGTTATCAATCTTGTCCTCGGAGAAGGGCACGGCGAATAGACTCATTGAAAGTGGCGCGAAAGGCGCGCTGCTGTGAACCGATAACCCAGATGAAAGCAGACGACCGAAGGCACATGGTCTCGACGCTGATACGTCCATCGGACATGCCTTGTAGCATTGCTCAGGTCGCATCATGATAGCGGAATGCCGCGATAAATGTGCTGGTTGTGTCCTCACTGCAGGATAATACACCTTGGGGCTTCTTGCAGCTCCGTAGCGATCGGTGCCCCATTCGAAGCGATGCGTCCGACTCGGAAGTGGTCGACGAGGAGGACCCCGGTTCCCAAGCGTGGTTGTTCTTCGGGTGTGAGCTCTCAGAGTGGCACTTCGCGACCGTCGAGCTGGGGCATCAACAGACAACGGATGTATATTGGATATCTAGCCAATAAAGTTGATAACAAAGCCAAAGAGGACGATGCCCGAGAGCAAAAACTCGGCGAAAGCTCTGTCGTTTGGAGGGCACCGGGCAAGTAAAATAGCAAGGCAGGCGGTGGTCAGTGCGCTGCGGTTTCAAGGCGACCGTGTCGATAGCCAGACAGAAAGAGCAACCAACGAGTATCAGTGAGGGAGACCTACTTTTCATGATGCTGATTCGAATATTCTGTGCTCTCAGGGTTGGTCTGGATACGGAGGTTGGCTGGTGCAGGATGGGATCGGGGAGGAGCGGCATTGATCGAGACAGATTTAGTAAGCCGAGACGACCCACGGCAACGTAGACAGCCTCTCAGGCTCAAGGTAACAAACAAAGAGGCACTCCGGCACAGAAGCTATACAGAGATGCAGAGACGAGCGAGGCTTGAGCCAGCCAGGGCAGTCATCGTGTGCGGATCGATCCTTGGCCAGCAAGATGGGTGGATCCGCTCCGGTTGCTGCGTGCGGGCCATCAAGAATGTCTGCCTGGGCATTGGCGGAGCTGGAGCACCGCGCGCTGCAACATAGATCCGGGCAATCAAGCCCGTGGCCGAGTGAGCTGGCTGCTCTATCGCGATCGTTACCTGCAAGAATGAAGACGCCGACGCTCGAGATGAATCCCGACAGGAACGCGTTGTAGGGATAGCTGCCGGCGATCAGCATGTAGACAAACTGGACAATGCCGGTGATCATGACAAAGACCAGGAAGGAGTCGATGAGCTTGAGGCGCTGGGGGGTGTTGTTCCAGTAGTTCTGCACAAGCAGCTTGAGGAGCGATGCCGTGGAGAGCTGCGCCGGCTGCTTCCTGGACGGGGCAGGGCTCGCGGCCGGGGGCTTGGCTGAGGAAGCCGGTGCAGCGGGAGACGCAGCAGCGGCCTTGATCTCCTCCGCGGAGATCGAGGCAGACGAAGCCTGCTTCTGGGCGTTCTTGGAGGCGTCCTTCTTGGCCATGGGTGTGGTGCCGATGGAGGTGGGAAAAGGAGATGCCGAAAGCGCCGGGCGAGATTCCAGAACACCAACGCCGCATATGGGCTGCGGCGGGTCATGTGCATGTCACGCTCGGACCGGCGGACCAGGCTCCTGCAGGCCTGGAATCCTGGAATCCTGGAATCCTGGAATCCGAGTGCATGCGCAATGCAAACGGGCATTTTGTTGGATTGGAACATCGCACCGTCCATGGCCATCACTCGCAGGTGGTGGCAGCGCAACATGTGGCGACAGGCCTCTGTGGTGTGTATTGAGGACCCAGACAATGGCAGCTGCTGCCCACACCCCGGCGCAACCTGCTTCGTCACAAGTGCCGCCGAGGACTCAGCGGATGCAAACGGTATCGCCCACAGAATCTCTTGCTACCGCTCGAGCACGTCCTTGACGACCTGCACCAGCTTCTTCTCGGCAAAGAGGGAGAGTTCGATGCCGTCCGGGGTCGAGGGCAGGTCGATCGTGACAAAGAACTGTTTCTTGAATTTGGCGGCTGGCGAAAGCGAACATGGGCCAGCGGAGAGAGTTTTGGCGTTGGAGACGCTTTTAGTGGGTATTCCAATGCCCAGCACGTCCCTGGTGGTGCATTCGATTGCTCGTGCACGTCGGACGCTGCAGATGGACGTCGATACGTACCGAGTCGCTTGGCCATCGATTCGGATCGCTCGTCAAGAGACGCCCCAAACAGTTTCGTCGAAGTCGGCACCCCGTTCTGTGGACAAGGTTGAGATCCGCTGCGTTAGCCAATGAGGGCGACGGATCTGTGGATGCGGGCGGGCAGGGACAGCACCCAGTGGACGCCGGGAAAGAACAGGTCCGAGAGCATCATGGTCTTATACAGACTGCCGTCACGTACGCCGAGGTTGGGCATCGCAAGAGCAAGCGAGCCAAGTCGTCCGGTTGGGGCGCTGTCGCTGGCTGACCGTCGCTGCTGCTGATCTGAGGGGCCGTCGCCTTTGCCGGCCCAAACGATCAGAGAGTCGGCCATGACGACAACTTGGAAATGGACGGCGACGCCGTCAAAGATCTCGGAGGCCTGCACCACATTCATGCCGTCGGCCTGCGGGTTGGATCGACGGGAAACAGTGAAGCCCTGGCGATCGATCGGAACGCCCGCCCAAGGAGCGAAGAGCGATGTCGGAGCAGCCAATGAGAAGGCGCGGCCGTTGTTGTTGTGCATCCGCAGTGTCACCACAGCGCGGGACATGATTGGGAGAACTGCTGCAACGTCCCGTGGCAGCAGGAGGACAACTGCAATGCCCCGTGGCAGCGCCGAGGACAACCAGCATAAAGCATCTGCCTGCTGCACCGACAGAGCCCATCGCCGGTGCTGCCGATATCGAGGGCGACACCAAGACCACCGCCTATGAACGCTCGACCCCATCGATTGTGTGCCGAAGCCGACCCAGTCGACAGCCTCGAGGTTGGGCAGTGCCCCGTCCACCCAACCCCAGAACCCGCCCCACGCGCATGCTCATGCATCCCCAACTGGACCGGTGAAGACTGTGACAACGATGACAGCGGCGAAGATCAGATAGTCAGGCCAGCTCTCGGAAGCCTGGGCCCCAGAAGCTCGCAAATGCACTCCTCTCAAACCCAGACCCGCCACGGGTTTGGGGCTGCATCGGTCGGAAGGATCGAGTCTATCCCCGCTGGTCCCAGACGCCCAGCCTTTTGGGCTTGGCGGGGTCCCTGTGAAAAGCCACAGTCCGAGACGGAGTTTGCTCTGCGCCGTCATAATCAATGCCCAATTAAGCTTGTTGTCGACCAAGAGCGCAAAGCGCCTCTCAAAACCGACTTGGGCGAGCTGGAGCACACCCATTCCCAGCGACCACGCAGTCGCGGGCGGCTCCGGAGTGTGCTGCAGTCTCTTTCCCAGCGTCGAACATGGCGCAAGAAGCTCCTCGGATGTATAGCGGCACTACTGGTCCTCGCCAATCTGGCCTGGCTGGACTACTGGGTGTTCTTCCGCCTCCAAAACAGCAGCGGGACCATCGCCGTCTCGATCAACGGAACCGAGGAGTGGATTCCGGTCCAAGACTATGTCAGCCAGCGGATCTGTCTGGATCTCGCCGCCGTCATGGCCCCGGCCGATTTCTACAAGCTTTGTCCGGCCTGCATGTCCCTGGAAAAGTCGGGCGACTTTAGTGCCGTCGTGCAGCTCTGCGCACTCTCGGATCTGTACTTTCAGCAGCGTCAAGCAGGCCAAAGTGCAAACTCACTTGGAGCAGGCTGGATGCAGAGCCCGGATGTCTGCTCCTGGCAGGGTGTCCAATGCGGACCCGGCAACAACGTATCGGAGTTGTAAGTTGGCGGAGGAATCGAGCCGCTACATGTCCAGTGAGCATTAGGACTTGGCACACCCAGAATGCCGTTTCCCACGGCTCACCACCGCTATTTTGATTGCCCTCCCTCCTCGCGCAGGATGCTGACCGGCGTCGTCGGCAGCCTCCCTGACTCCCTCGGCTCCTTGATATTTCTCCAAAATCTGCAAGTATCCTGCAGTGCGTGGGGCTTTGATGGGGCTTTGATGGGGCTTTGATGGGGCCATGCTCACTCATGTCATGACTTGCTAAGAGCCGATTTGTCTTGTCCTCGACTGCCGCCAGCACTCTTGGCGCCGCCGATGCCAACAACGCCTCTCTCCAGACGGCCTCGTGGGCTTTCCCGTCCAGCATCTGGAGGCTCCCTGGATTGAAGCAAGTGTAAGCGGCCCCAATCTGGCGCGACCATCGGGGCAGCGTACTTGATGCCCTCAGTCGCCGCTGTTGACGCCCATCCACATTCCGCCAGTCTCATTCAGCGAGGCCACTGGAAGATCGATCTGGATGATATCGGGTCGGCCCGCTCTCTTGAACTTTTGTAGGTCGTGCGCTTGTCGAATGCTACCACCGATTGTGGATTGCGACACCTGCAGTCAGTCGATGGCTGGCTGTCACTGACGCTTGCAATAGACACCTCCTGTTTCTGCCTCAGGCAACCGGTGCCATCCCAGCCAACATTGGGAACACTCCGATTCGGTCACTGTAAGGCCAAAGCCGTCGTGGCTTGTGTGATATACTGTCGGTTGCATGCGCCGTCTCGAGTCAGAGTATGATACCTTGGCTGATCCATCGTCATGCCTCAATCACCATGCCTCAACCACCATGCCTCGATCACCGTGCCTCAACCGCCAGTGTCCTCCAAAATGTTTCGATCAATGCCAGCTTCCCGTCATGGATTCCCTCGTCGCAGCAATGGCGTCAGTCCCTCGTGGAGCTCGTAGTAGAGTCGTGCGGACTCACAGGGGATTTTCCAAACGACCTTGCGGCATTCAATAGCCTGGCAGCCATCAACTTCCAGAACAACGACCTGACGGGGACAGTGAGCTCGGCCATGTGTAGCAAATTCAGCGCAGGCTCGACTTCGAGTCAGACGTCCTGCCAAGTGGGCGGTAACCCGCTGCTCAAGACCCCGTCGAGCTGCGGATGTCAGTAACCGCTGTCGGTGCAGCGCCTCCGACAAACATTGGCAGTGCTTGTCAAGCACGGGAGTCTCTGGCAGAGATGGTGCATACAATCCATGTTTGCTGGCGAGAGGGAGTGCGGCGGTGATATGTGGGTGGGCAGCAAAAACAAAGGCATCCAAAATATGATGGGAGAGAAAAATGGTGAAATTAGGACATGAGCCCTCCGGGCAGGAGTGGGCTCGTCTAGAAATGGGCGCAGAGCAGGGGGCAAATCGGATACGTCGATGGCCATCAGGCCCGGACACAGATGGGCCAATTAGGCGGTGGTGCGGTCGCCGTCCAAGAGCTTGCCGAAGAGGGGAATGAGCTGCTGGGCGATGGTGAAGCTGTGGAGCAGGAGACGGATCAATATTGGGCCGAGCGATCGGAGGCCTGTCAACGGGAGTGCCCCGAGGAGTGCCCCAAGGAGTGCCCCGAGGACGTCCTGGCTGCGCTTCAACAGAGCACAGAAATCTCAGCTAGGAGCATATCACGCAGCTCACCTGAACACCAACTTGGGACCGACAATAAGGATCTTGGGGGTAAGGCCCTGCAGGCGAAATAGATCATGATCGGTAAGCCAACACCGACGGGCAGGGGCACGCGACTGCTGTGTTATAGAGAGCACCGACAGTCTTGCAGTCCCTACCTTGAAGAAGGAGCCAAGGCCTTCGTTGCGGATCATCTTTCCAACGATGGTCCATCCGGCCTCGACCTGGTCCTTGGAGCGGGCCTGGATACGGGTCTTGACGACATCGAGCTGTGGACAGACACGGCAAACAGACCTGGCTGGTCAGGCAGCAGTCGCCCAAGAGCACGAAGCAGACCGTCTGCACTGGCTCGATCACATGCGAATAGCGGATGCGGCGACCGGCACAGTCACATGGGCGACAGTGGCTGTCAAGGACCATCCTGCACATAGGGCAGGTCGACACTCACGGGAGCAGAGACGGTGATACTGGCGACGGCGCCGGCGATCGAGGAGCAGAAGTTTTGGACGAAAGTGGCCTTGCTGTAATCCTCGAGTCCGAAAACGTACTCCTTGGTGACGGCGGAGGCGCCAAACAGGGCAAAGGAGCCGGGGGCGTTACGGGCAGCAGTCCAGGTAGCGCCGCTGGAGTAAAGCGAGTGTGACAGAGAAACGATCAGAAACGGAAGCGCAGATGCCGGTATCGGATTGTGCAGGAACGACAGGCGCATCACGCCACCGTGCGGGGAGGGAGCGTACCGGTACAGGCCGAAGCCCTCATCGTAGAAGACCTGGAACAGGCCCTTGCCCTGGAAGATCTGGGGGTTGGTCTGCATCTTGATCTTGAGGACATCGAGGGGCAGGAGAACAATCTCACCGATGCCGATCAAGCTGTCGCACCGCGCAGTACACAGCAGTCGGAAGGTCAGCGAAGCGGACAACAAGCACGTATTCGATCAGTCATGGCCGAAGGTTGCAACCACGCGAAACTGAGAGACCGTCTATCCGAAACGATGGATTCAACGAGAGATGAGCGAGACGAAGGCCGCAGCACGTACCTGCCAGCGGTGGCGTGCATGACGGCCTTGGCATAGCGATCGCCAAAGGTCTCCTGGAAGACACCTTTATGGTTCTTGTTCAGGTAGTCATTGACAAAGGGCTGGCCGCCGAACTTGTAGACACGCTGCATGACCTTGTAGCCGGCAGCATAGCCCAGTCCCGGGAACAGAGAGATGTACTTGGAGAACCCGCTCTTGGCGGCAGCATCCTGCGGTGCGGTGGCGCCAACGCAGGCAGAAGCAGAAGGAGCGGGAGACAGATCCGAAATCAGACACGGCGCGTAGATCCGATGATCGAGGTGTGCAGGTGCGGGGGAGAGCGCAAGTGCGAGCGCGAATGCTGTCTCAGAGGCTGTCAACCCCGGTGTGGAGGCCGCGCTCATGTCGCAGCACCGGGGGACAGATCGCCAGGACTTGGGGATGCGCGGAGAGGGACGATTAGGTACCTTGAAGATGACCTTGTTCAAGATGGCCGAGCTCTCAGCAAACGACTGGCCGCTGGTGAAGACCTAGAGACAAGCACAGAGGGCGATGGTTCAGGGCGCCGAAAGACAGCTGGGGGCGAGCGGTGGTCGGACAACCAAGCAAACGAAGCGAGTCCGATGCGGCAGCGGTTGCGGCGGCGACGGCGACCCTGAGGGCTGATCGGCCAGGACAAACCCGGCAATCGACGAGCCCGCCAGGCCAGCGCGGCAACAGGGGATCAAGCCGCCCAGGAGCCAGGGGGACGCTCATCACGGACAAGACGGCAGGATGGAGGCCCCGACAGCGGCAGGTAACCTTTTGCTGGTTGTTCATCAGACGCTTGGCGACGGTGTCGACAGGATGGAAGCAGAGAAGCTCCAGGACACCGGAGCAGCCAGCGCCGAGGAAACGGGCGGTGGCGGATTCTTTCTTTCCAGAGCTCGAGAGGTGAGGGGCCATTGCGACAGAGCAGCAGAGGACGGGGCTGGGCGATGGGCTGGGCGATGAGCTGGACGATGGGCTGGACGATGAACGGACAAGAACAGGATGAAGTCGCCGACCCGCCAGGCCGACATGAATGGGCGAAAAAAAGCGGCGGCGGCCGGTTCGAGTGGCGGCTCGAACCAGATAAGGGTGACGATCCGTCGTCGACGTGCCTGCGTCTGGCTGTGATGCCCATGTGTGGGGAGGAGCGCTCGTCTATCGGTCACCGTGGCTATCCACCGCACTCCCGGATCCCGCATGCAGGCAAGGAGGTTTGGCAGGCATGGAGGTTTGGCATGCATCGTCGCATCGGCAGCCTCTGCTTTTTCAGGCAGTCCCGTAACCGCACAAATCTCCCCGAGGTGTCGCGATGAGTCACCAGGCGCGCAGGCAGACGGTGATGAGGTGAGGTGCGCTGTCGAGTCAAATGGGACAATGCTGCCTCGGCTCGTTCTGAACAAGCTGCCATTCATTTTTTTATTGATACACCTGCGCGGCTCGAGATACTGCCATCAAGATGCAGCAGACATTGAGAGTAGGGAGAAAGCACACATACCGATGGAGGAAATACAGACCGATAGAGAAACAGACAGACCGATAGGGAAACAGACAGATAGAAAGAGATAGACAGACAGACAGACAGACAAAGCGAGAGGACCGAGGCATGGATAGGATGGGGCGATATGGTAGCCACTTTGGCGACCAACAGCGACGATCGAGACGGCGAGCAAAGACTTCCTAACGGCGAACGGGCGGGGCCTTGGTGGTGTTTTGGCGACCGCGCCTGCCCGATTCAGAGTATCGCTCTCACCTCTCGGAGAAGAACGCCAGGGCCTTGGTCGGCGAATCCAGAATGCCGCCGATGCCACTGGGATCGCCGCTCTCTCCGGCATGGACCCCGAGCAGCTTCCACAGGTTCCCGCCGTGAGTCGGGGATTGCTCCATCGCCGTCGGGGACACCAGCGGCAGTGACGTTTGTTCGGGAGAGGCCGAGGTCAACTTCCACCGCGAGACATCGAGCGACAGCTTCTCTCGTCGCTGCTCGGGTGATCTGAAGGGGAATGCCTCTGTTGGCGAGGCAGTAGTGGCCACCGTGGGAGACCGGAAGGGGTCGTGCGGCGCCTCGCTGGTGTTGGGCGAGGTCGAGCTGCCAAACTTGTAGTGTCCCTCGACGAGGTTGAGGTCCGGGTCGGAGCCTGGCCGGATGTTGGGCAGCACGAGCATCTCATGGCTCGGGTTCTCCTTGAGCCCTGCGATGGGCGCCAGGCCCGTTTGTTCCGTCGTCGCAGTAGCAGCAGCCGGCTCGCTCGGCTCTCTTGGCTCTCTCGGCTTGAGGCTTGTCCCATAGTCGGCGAGCATGTCCTTATCGTCCAGCAAGTCCGCACTCATCGGGCCCTTGTCGACGTCGCTTTCGTGGCCGTAGGTAAAGTAGAGCTCGGTGACGGATGGCGTCTTTTCGGTGATGTGGAGAAACTTGGAGTGCTCTGTGTGAATTGATGCTGGCGAGGGATGGACAGCCTTCGAGCCTGGGGCGGCCTCGCAATTCATCGCTGTGCGATTGCTGACTGCTGCACTATGACTACCAGTCATACGGCCACCGACTGCAAGCGGATCGACAGCTGAGCCCCGATCGTCGTGCCCTGCATCATTAGTGCCCTCAATCGCATCTCCGAGGTCGACAGAGTCATACGGCCCGAGTGCATCGCTGCCTTCCATAGAATTATTGTGTTTGCCGGCTTCATCTGCTTCAGCCGGACTTTGAGCACCAATACCATGAGCTAGATTCCCATCAGCAGCAGCCGAGAGTGCTTGATCTTCGGCCAGCGGCTGTGACATGCCCTGATCGCCTGCATCGTCGTCTGATCCGTCGTCGACTGCCTCGGACTCATCCGCAGTTCGGGTGACCCTGAGAGGATTTTTCGTCCGGCTTCGGTTCTTGGATAGATGCTCCTTGGTTTCCTGGACTGCCGACGTCCGCTTGCGGTCTCTCGATGACTTGACGGGCACGTCGGCAGCAACTGAGCTTGAATGAGCTGTAGATGATGCATGCGATGATTGAGACAGCATTGACGACGAGAGATGTGCAGAGGCCCCCGGGATTGACCCTGAGGAGTAAACGGGGCCGTGGCTGGGCTGCGACATGTCGTGGAGACGATGCTGCCCCTGCATCGAGGGATGGACAGCTGGGCCGGGGGCTGCCACTGCGGCTGAGTGTGGTGGGCCCAGTGAAGGATACATTCCCGGCAGAGACACCGGAATCGGCATCGGGGCAAGCGACCCGTACATGGTTGGCATGCCCGGAACGCCGGGCACTCCAGAGATTCCAGGCAACATCGGGATGATCCGCATTCCGGACATGATGGGCATCCCCGGCATCCCATGTATTCCATGTATTCCGGGCACTCCTGGCATTCCTGGCATTCCGGGCATTCCGGGTATTCCGGGCATCATGTGGATTCCGGGGATGAGGTGGATGCCTGGGATTGACCCTGGCGCCAGCGCCGACATGGCTGGGATCGGCATCATCGGGATGCTCTGGAGCCCCATCGGCCCCGAGACCATTGCAGGGCCAGCCGCCATTGTCGACAGCATCGAAGTGCTTGGCTGGACCGCAGTATCGCCGTTACCACCGTCTGGGGATGTGGGCGGGACCGCGAACGAGGGACCGGCAAAGGGATATGCGTGGAACGGATAGGGACTACTTTGCATCGACGAGAGCGGCGGCGAGACCGGCATGGATGGCATTGGCCGTGGCTGCGAAAGCTGGGCGATGGTCTGTTGAGGGGTGGCATCTGGAGTAGCCCAGGCGTCTTGGGGCTTGGGAGATTTGCTGAAGGCGTGGGGCTTTTTGGAGATCCGGGCGGCGTCAGGGGCAGAGTCAGGGGTAGACACCGAGCCAGGGGCCGGGACAGGGGCCGGGATCGGAGCGGATGCGGCTTCGATCCCCAATGATTCGGAGCTCTGCTTTTGCATCGCCGCCTTGGCGATGATGCGCATTTCGAGACGGCTGCGGATGCTCTCCTTGATCTCGGCACGAGCGAGGTCCTCTGGGGTCGCTACGGCGTGAGCAGCCGCTCGCTGTGAGGCAGTGAGCTGAGTGCGCCCATTCTTGTTGAAGAGACTCTGCTTGGATGGCTGGGGAATATGAACGGGCAGACGGGTGCCGCCTGGGAAACGGTGCCTGGTTGCCTGGGTAGAAGCAGAGATGATGGTGTGGGGCTGAGGGCCCATGGCCAGGTCGGCTGTTGGCGGAAAGCTGGCCTGTCGCTTGGATGGGGATTCGACAAGAGCTTCGTTGGCGCTGTAGCTGCTGACGACCGACGACGGCGAAACGGAAGAAGACTGGCGGTCTGCGTTTGCACTGGCATCGAAGGCGACAGCCGACTGACGGGCCTGGGGCGACGGGCGAGGAGGCGGGATCTGGGGCTCATAGTCGATCGAGCGGCGCTTGCCCAGGGTGCGTGGGAAGTCTGGGTTGTGGGATTTGTCTTTGTGCGAGTCGGCCATGGTAGGGCCTCGCTCGAGAATCTTTGCCGAGTTTGGGGGCGACTCTGGAAGGCGGAGAGCTCTGGAGGTATCGATGGATATGGAGGCGAGGGGGTTGGGTGAAGACATTTACGGTGAGCCCTGGAAAACAGCAGCCGAAGGACGAAGCGATATAGCAAAGGGTGTTGGAGGGAGCGTGGGAGAGGAGCGTGGGAGGAGATCGTGGGAGGAGAGAGAGAGAAAGGAAGGGGCGTTCAAGAATGAGGGCCAAGAATGAGGGCCAAGAATGAGGGCCAAGAATGAGGGCCAAGAATGAGGGCCAAGAATGAGGGCCAAGAATGAGGGCCAAGAAAGGGAAAGGAAGGAGATGAAAACTATACAATGACTGGAGTGATAGAGTCAGATGATGATGGCTTCGTAGCCGCAAACGGTGCCAGCGAGAGCTTGGGAATAACCGGAACTGCTTCTAGCAACGTGGATAGGGAATCGTGGATGCCGATGAAGCCAGAATAGGAGGGTACCAATGCCGTGGCAGAGGCCAAGTGTATCGATCGATAGTGCAGTGGGCGAGTCGCGATGGAGAAGTGGTGGTGGGAAAGGAACGAGCAGTCACGCCGAGCAGCGCAAAGCGACTTGTTAAGAACTAAGGCGCTACTTTGGACTGGCGACCATCACCGACACAGGATGGTCAAGCGAGCCAAGTGGAGTACTGGAATGGGCCAGGAGGAGCAGCAGAGGAGCGATCGGCGAGCAGGGGCAAGGCCGGTGGGATGCCGGGGATAGGGGAGGGTGGAGCAAAGCGACCGAATCCGGGAAGGAAAGTGCAGCTGCGATGGGGTCGGCCGGGAGGGCAGAGCGGGCTCTGGCCGATGGAATTGTTGTTATTGTCGTCGGAGCGGCGACGCTTCCGTTCAGACTTGGTCCTCGATCGTCCCCCCAAACACACCCAAGCGAGGAAGAGCCCGGCGGGAAAGGCAAGGGGCGGCCACACGAACGAATAGGTGCTAATCATATGTTTGGGGCGGCTGCAGAGCGGTTTGATCGAGTGCGGTTGCCAAAGTCGGTGGAATCGCATCCAACCATGGCCAATGCCGCTTGATTGGGCGCTCGCTGGAAGGTCGGCTGCGGGCCGGGCGAAAGTTGGTGCTGTGTGCGGCGGCTCGATGCTGCCCGAATGGCCGAATGGTCGAATGGCCGAATGGTCGAATGGTCGAATGGCCGAATGCGTGAATGCCCACCCCCTGCACTGCCCATGCACTGCCCATGCACTGCCCATGCACTGCCCATGCACTCGGCGGTCATGAGCCGTGTGCGGGCCATGGCGGAGAGCCGGCCGGAGAGAACGTGGGTTGTGCCGCTGGGGAACCAAGGCACCCCACGGATGCTCATTTGGATGCGCCGTGCGGCCGATCTGCGGCACCACCGCCCATCTCGGATGCGTCCACAGACCCGTCGTGGTGGCCGAGAGCGAGCATGGCATGGTTGTTGGTCGGGCCGAGTGCAGAATGGCCGTGGTTGCGGCTCATCGACTGCAACTTGTCGCATTTTGCATACTTTTGCATACTTTTGCATCCATTTGCATTCATTTGCATCCATTCCATTCATTTGCGTGCTTTTCACACCATCGCACCGCACACCCCCGCACACCATCGCACGCCGTGTCCTCACCGCATCCTTCAGCACTGGCCGCTCCCCCTGTCCTGCGGCCAGTGCCTCACCTTGGCCTGGATGGCAGGGCCACGCTGCGCTCCCGTGGCCCGACACACCTTTGCCGGCCCCCGCGGACGTCGCTGGTTGGTCGGCAGCGGGGCAAACGTGCTGTCCCTTTGCTTGCGCCGGTGCAACGGCGTGCGTTCAGAGCCAGCCAATCGGCGCGGACTCGCAGCCAACAAGGAGTGAGCTCATGGCCCTGTGCGAGAAAGGCTATGGTATCGGTCGCGGATGGTGACTGTTCGTTCGTTCGTTCGTTCGTTCGTTCGTTCGTTCGGCTGCGATGGTTGGAGCGGCTGTTGATGGCTCCGGTGTACTGGCGACAGACCCGATGGCTCCGTTGCCGACGAGGGAGGATACCGCGGACCATGCGCGGGAATCATGTCGTGGCGACGACGGGCTATAACGGCGGCTGGAATGTGTCTTGTTGCATCGGGAGGGTGGTGCAGACAGCGAGCATGGGCCGGCCGGGCAACAAGATACCTTTGGGGGCATGAGTGCAATGGCCGCGGAAATGCAGCGATGGGGATTGTGGTTGCGTGGCACCAATACGACGCCGTGTTTTGGCGATTCCCCTCGACATTAACGATTGGCGGTGCATTAATGTATTAACGATGTATTACTGCCAATGCATTAACGACATATCACTGCCGATGCATGGACAACATCGGCAGCGCAATCCGCCATGCAATCCGCCATGCAATCCTCTCGCCCGCACGATACCCGCTGGGCACCCGACAACGCCCCAACCCCCCCGCCTTTGCCGCCTCCCCCCCCCCTTGGCCGCGACCGCGTGCAATCCGCCCGGCCCTTTGCAGCCCCGAGCAACTGCCGCACAGAGACCAACAGCAAAGCCGTCGCCCGAGTCGGTCGCACCTTTGCTGTCCGGCCTTGTGAGCCCGTCGCCAACATGCTGCTCCTGCCTGGTGGCGGCCGCGGGATTGCATGGGATCGCTGCGAGCATGGCCGCCGCGATTGCGTCCTGCGCGAGGCCGGGCGGCACCGAATATAAGCCTCTGGCGAGGGCTGTTTCCCCCAGGCCTTCCCAGGCTTTCCCAGGCTTTTCCGAGGCTTGTCCCGAGACTGTTTTTTTTGTGTCGCTGAGCTCGCTCGTTCGTCCGTCCAGCCAGGTGTGCAGACTCTTGTCCAGCAGGGTCGTTAACAGATCTGTTAACGTTTGCTTTAACATTTGCTTTGGCCGTTGCTTTGGCCGTTGCTTTGGCCGTTGCTTTGTATTACTTTTGCTGTCTCCCTGCTTGCACTTGACCACCCGCATCGACCACCCGCATTGATCAGCTGCATCGGTTTGCTGTGTTGACTTCAGTCGTCGCTGACTTGACCACTCGGCTTACATCCCCCCCCCCAAGCCTCCTCCACCCCTCGTATCGGCACCCAGCCTTCTTTCCTGCTCCCTCGCTCGCATCGTTCATCAAACCACCCCCTGCAATGTCGTCCATCAAGCAGTTTCTCATCGTTCCGGACGTGGGCATCAACAACTCGGAGCTGCCCAACGCCATCGATCCCAACCGCACCTTCCAGATCGAGGCCGGCTGGGGTGTCCCCGCTGAGCTCAAGGGCCGTGTGCGTCTGCATACCACCAAAACCCTCAAGGACGTCACCCTCACAGTCGATTTGATCGGTCGCTGCGAGACCGTCTGGGTCTCGCCCAAGGCCAAGACCGACCCCAATGCCCCCGCCGCCCTTGTCAGCAAGCACCAGACCGAGATTTCCGAAAAGGTCTTCCTGACCCTGACCGAGACTCTGAAGTGCCGGCTGCATGACAAGAAGGAGAACCTGGTCCCGAACGAGTTTGGTGGGTCTCTGTCTGTGCCTCTTGGCACTCGCCCATGTTCCCAAGCGATAGAGGGGGGGGGACAGAGTGTGTGTGCCGGGCTGGCTTTCCACTCTGTGTGCCGGATTGTCCATCTATCTATCGAATCTATCCCTCCACTCCATTCATCTATCTATCGAATCTATCCCCTCCACTCTACTCCATCCATCTATCCCCTCCACTCTACTCACCCAACGCTTCCTCGTCGTCGCAGGCGGAATCAACATTCCCTTCACCATCAACCTGCCCTCGTCCGGTGTCCCCTCCAGCTACAAGGATGCCTGTGGCTGCATTCTCTACGAGCTGCGTGCCGTCCTCACCTGGCAGGAGGGCCTCAAGATCATCAAGACCACCCGCGAGGTCATTGTCCCCGTCACCATCCTCATGCCCCTTGTCGCCCAGCAGCGACTGCTTGCCAAAAAGTCTGAGATTGTCCATGAGTCGCCCATCATCGACAAAAAGTGCCGCTTCTCCGTCAAGGCCTCCTCGCGGGTCCTGCGGCCCAACGACAAGCTCTTTGTCGACTTTACCATCTTCACCGTCCCGCCCGGCCAGAGTATCTTCAAGGTCTACATCGCCGTCGTCACCGTCGTCGAGTATCGCGGCGCTGCCGGCCGAGCGGCCGAGCTGACCCTGCCCAACCCCATCGCCGTTCACGAGGAGACCAACCCCGTCAGCAACGTCGAGGACACCTTTGGCTGTGTCCTGCGCTCCAAGCTTCTGCTCAACCTCAACGCCACTGGCTTTGTCGCCTCCAACGAGAGCGCCCTCGTTTCCATCAAGTCCTTCCTCCGCGGCAAAATCTTCTTGAGCAACAATCCTCTGGAGCCCAGCTCGACCTTTGATGTCCCTGTCGTTCTGGTCCCCACCCCCGAGGACGTCTCGGCCGACAACAAGGCCGGCCGTTCGAACCGGCAATCCGAGGTGCTGCCTCCGACGCAGCCCCCGTTCGAGGATGTTCCCAGAAGCATCACCGAGCCCACCCAGCACAACTTTGGCGCCGGCAGCAGCAACAACTCTGGCGGTGCCAACAACTCGCCTGTGCGCCTGCATGCTCGCCCGTCTCTCTCCAGCCTCAGCAGCTCCGTCCAAATGTCGCGCACCATTTCGCAAGACCCTGTCGCTGCCGCCGTTGCCTGGAACCGCAAGTTCTCGCTCGCCAGCAACGGCGACGAGAACATCAACGTTCACTACGGCCCTCCCCGCCGCGACCTGGATGCCCCTGGCCTCTACACCCCGCCTTCGATGCACCCCGCTCCTTCCCAGGATCCCAACTCGGTCGTCGACGATGTCGTAAGTGTGCCACGTTTGTGTGTTCGCCACCAAACGTGCATGGATTGGAGGGGAGGAGGACAGCAAAGCGTTGCCCGACCGGGGTGGTGGAGGAAAGCAATGTTTCCTCGTCTGGGCCCCACATGGTGCGCATGTGTCTGAGCCGGGTGCGCACGTTTCTCTAACGCGTCTGTGCTCTGTCGCTGCCTCGCCTTGTCTCTGTCGTCGATCCAATCCCCGGCTTTGGAACGGTCCCTTGCACTGTATCGTCCTCAATGTCTCCCCTCCCATCCCCTTGATCGCCCGTGCTCGACACTGCTTCTGGCATCGCTTGCCCTCAATGTCGCTCCGTGTGTCGCTTGCTCTTCCCGCAATCCCGTGTCTCGTACGCGCCGTCCCCGCTCGCAGCTCGAGGTCCTCGAGCCCCAGATGTTCCCTCAGCTGCCGCCTGCCAGTCTCCCTACCGGCCCGAAGCTTCCCTCTCCTCCGGACAGCAACCCCTCCCCGCCGATCCGCCCAGTATTTGACACCAACCGTCTCAGCCAGCAGCTTTCGGTGAGCATCATCTCTCTGTCCGGGCCCCTATGGATCTCCATTCCGCCTGTCGCCCTTGTTTATTCCTAGTCGGTTCACATACTCACCCGCCCCTTCCTCTCTGCAGAAACTCTCCACCGCAGAGGGCGACTCCCAAAGCAACACCAAAATCGAGGCCCTGGTACGTCCCCGGCCGCGTCCCGCTTGTGCTGATAATCGCGCCACCAGTCGCCATCTGCCACTCTTACACCGTCCCTCCGTCTTTGTTGCCTCGCCTCTTCTCTCCTCGTCTCCCCAGCTTGAGAAGCTCAGCCAGATCAAGGACGAGCAAAAGAGCGTCACCAGCTCGCCGTCGCTCTCGCCAGCCAGCTCGCCCTCTCTGAACCCTGAGCGTCGCTCCAGCGGCCGCAAGGGTCCTGCCAAAAAGTACCGCGCAGTCCAGAAGTATGTCCCGCGCATGTCGGACGAGATTGCGCTCATGCCCGGAGACCAGGTTATCATCAGGTAGGATCAGGGGTACTCTCCTCTCTCGACCTCGTGTCCTTCCAGCCAAAGCCGGCAGCACCCCCAGCTCCTCATGGGGGGGACCCAGCCCGGATGATGCCGATGTCAACTGCATCACCCAGTCTGTGCGCCGCGGAATTCCATCAGAGTCGTGTAACGCCTACCCCCTCAACCCAACGGGGAGCATTCCATCTCTGTGTGCATATCCACTCACCCTCTTTGCCCCGTTGACCAATAGGAAAATCTATGGCGATGGATGGGGACTGGGCTTCAACGTCTCCACTCGCCAAGAAGGCGCCTTCCCGCTGCACATCATTGCCGTCATGGACGAGCCACAGTAATCTGACAGAGCCAAGTGCCTGGGCTCGTCTTGGGCATGTGTGTCTTCCCAAGTCTGGACTCGGTCAGGCTCTGCTGTTCTTGCAAGGCATCAGACCAGATCGTGTCTGCTGGGTCGGCGCCCTCTTTCCTGTGGACGTCTGCGTCACGATCCTCCAACGCACTCAAGTCCCTCTCCCTTCCTCTTTCTCCTTCTCCATGGGAACATCGATCCAGCCCCATCGATTCCCGCGCTTAATTCCTTGACAGTGCTGTCTGCGCAGCCCTCCGATACGAGGTGGACACCATCCAGTCCACACGCTTCTGTGCCCATCAAATCTCTTTCCAACCAGTCTCTCCTCCCCTCCCCCCTCCCGTTCCACTTTTTGGAGCCATATGCATGCTACCTTGCTCGTCACGTCTCCTCTCATTAATATCTGTCTTGGCTGTGCTGCTTTGGGGATGTACTTTTTCCCCCTCTGTTTGCACTCCGAGTCGCCGCCCCACCCCCTCCCGTTTGAATTTGCGTAGTTTGAGGTTCGACCTTGTTAGTTTTATTCTTACTCTTGCCATTTCATCCCCCCCCCTTTTTTTACTCTTCACCATGTAGTTCGGCATCGCCATCACCACCCTGTCTTTCTCTTCCTCGTTTGCTCGCCGGAAATATGTGTCGGCTCTCCCCGCAGCACTGTCCTCCCCCCCGCCCCATGGAATATATCCCGCAGTTTCACCGATCTGCCCAGACTGCAATTGGAGGGGGGGAAAAGACAGACAGGAAGTGTGCCGAATCGTCACCCAGGATCTCGCGTGGAAACAGGCTCGCCCATCTGACGGACAGCATCGGCAGCACCGATGTTAGTGGTCCCGCATCCCAGAGCGAGGAGAATGGGTATCGTTGTTGTGTTTGGCCCATGACCGACAAAGACAAGTCCCTCCGCTCCGTCACTCCTCTATGCATAATCGATCTTGGGCACACGCCTGCCGCCCCGCATCTGGGGCTCCGGCAGCCCGAGCGAAATGGGCCTCCTCCGCCTGGGATGGTGGATCTCGTGGACCATGGGCGAGTGCTCGGCACCAAAGACCAGATCCAGGCCCGACTCTTCCATGTACGCCGAGAGGGCATCGAGCTGCAGCACCTCGGCAATGACCTGGCCCTTGGTCGTCATGTTCTCGACCTGCTCGATCACAGCGCGCTGCTCCTTCTCGCCGACGAGCTCGTCGCGCAGGAAGATGTCGACCTCGGCCTCGGATCGGCCGCTGAGGATGTGCGGAAACGGCACAGGGCGAGCCGTGGGTGCGGTCGGAAACAGCGTCGAGCCCCTGAGCGACGACATGCTCGACAGCGTATTGTTGCTCTCGGTCAGGGTTGCGGACGGATGGCTTGAGAACATGCCTCCTCCGCCGGGGTGGTGAGCCTGCGTGTCTCCCGGCTCATGCCCGGAGTGCCCCGAATGCCCTGGATGCCCTGGATGCCCTGGGTGTCCTGAATGTCCCGCCGCCCGATCGCCGGCCGAAGACGGAGCCGATGTGCCTGAGGGAGCGCCTCCGATGGTCTCGGTGGTGATGGCACGGGCCTGGACCAGTACTGCCTGGGCCTCCTTCCGGACCATCTCGCTCTTGTCGGTTTCGATGACCGTCACGAGGGCGTCCTTGAAGGCCGCATCGATTTCCAGCAGCCCGAGCTCGCCAATCGACCGGGCGGCTTCGACCCGCACGGGCGCTTCGGGTTCGTGATAGAGAAAGTAGAGCAGCGCCTCGCGGATCTTGGATTCTTTGCAGCGTGAGAGCCCGACGGCTATCGATATCGATGTCGATGTCGATGTCGATGTCGATGTCGATTTTGATGCCGATTGCACAGTGGATATACCACGTTGCATGGTGTGAATCCATGTTGTGCAGCGTGGATGCCATCCGGTATGATGCAAATGTTGGTTTAAGTCCGTGTCGCAGCGGATGGTCTGCACCGTTCTTTGGGTCAAATCACCAGCCATCATTACCTTTTACTGCATATGCCCGGACTCGCCAGTCGTAGTCGTCAAAGCGGTCGATCAGCGCCCCGACCAGCTGGCGGTTGTTCGTTGCCAAGACGCAGGCAACCTGACAAGTGTCCGCAATCTCGTTAGCTCACCCATGCTTCATCCTGCCTCGCTTCTGGCTCCGCATCAATCAATCCAAAGGCGCGCCGAACTTGCCTTGCATGCCTGGATCCGGACCGAGTGGTGCGAGTCCACAAAGCATGCCAGGTAGTTGTCCATGGCGCTCTTGGTCATCACCCCGATCGAGCCAAGTGCTTTGAGCGCATCGATCTTGCGGAGCGGATCGTTCGACTCGAGAAGATGCACGATCCGATCAAACACCGATCGGCCCCGTCCAAGCCGTCCAAGGGCTTGTGCCGAGCCATTGCGGACTTCTGTGGACCAGTCGTTCCACATCAGGTCGAGCAGGATCTGCACGGCCCGGTCGATCATCTCGAGCCGCTCCTGCTGCTTCTTGATTTCCTCCTCTGTCGGCGGCGGCTTGGGTTTGGGCTTGGGAGCAGGCCGTGCGGCCTTGTTCGATCCCTTGGGTCCGTTGCTCGGGTCATTGGTGCTGCCGTTGCCGTTCATACCTGGGGCTGGCTCGGATGCCCCGTCCGAATCGACAGCAGCCTTGGGCGACAGGCGGTGGATCCACTTCTCGAGCAGATCGACCGTCTCCCGCCGCGCCCGCCAGCTGCTGTTCCGGCTCTCTTCTACCAGAATCGAAAAGACCTGGTGCACATACTCGGTGCCCATCCGCTCCAACATCGCCTTGCTCTTGTTGCGCCGTTGTTCTTCGACATCACCCAGCCCCTTCTGGAGCTCTCGAAACACATGCTCGTCCACGTTGTCGAGCTCGCACAGGGTGGTTGCTGCCAAGAATCGCTGGTGCTCCGCCCCGTGCCGGATCATCTCATGCAGGGCAGCCTTGAAGGAGATGTTGTCCCATCGACCCAGGGTGCTGAACTGTGCGCCCATCATGACAAGAATGCGGACGGCCTCGTACTTGAGGAACCGGTCACCCTCCCGCAGGGCGAGCATCATGGTCTGGAAAATGGCTTGGTAGGCCGGCGTGTGCTTCTCGGGGACAACAGGGTACTCGGTGTATGGGGTGTTCAAGAAGTCGCCGAGCTCCTCGATGACGCTCGTGGCATTACTCTGGGTCTCGCCTTCGCTTTCGTCCTTTTGCTTTGGCCTCGGCATGGCCCGTTGCTTGACTGGAGAGAGGGGCAGTCCAGATGATGATCGATACAGCCAAATCAGTCCCGATACATGGGTAGGAGAGCGGTCGAGTCGGATTCAACAATCTGGTACTCTCGACAGACACACGATCCGTATCCACTTACTCATGGCCACCGCAAACGCCAGCGACCACTCGGATGTCTGCGCCTCCTTCTTGCGGACGTATCGGAAACTCTTTGCCCGGGCGACTTTGAGATCGTCGCCAGACTTGGCCTGGATTTCGCAGGTTCGTGAACATGCAATGTGTGCAATGTGTACAATGTGTGCAATGTGTGCAATGTGTGCAATGTGTGTGGAGCGAGAAGGTGTGTTAGCTTACAGATGAGATGATTGCATTGTCGTCGTAGTATAGGTATAAGCCACAGAGTAAAGTGAGGAAGCAGATGCAGATGCTGGCAGAGAAGGAGGGAGAATCACCTCGGTGCCATCGGCATCGTCGCTCGGAGCAGCGGCAGCTTCCTCGAGCTCTTGGGTTGGGATGTCCATGTACTTTGTGAACGAGTCGGTCATGGGCTGCATCTTGCTGTCGGCAAACATGGTTGTTATCCCGCTCTCGGTCGAGGCGTCGTCATCCCGGAGGACCGACGGCAGAACGAGCTTGAAATCCTTGGAGTCGTCGTCGTGGGGCTCGTTCGCCTCGCTGGTGTCGATGCGGAAGCCACGACGCCGACCCAGCTTGCGAGGATATCGCTGGACCTTGACGGCTCCAAGTGGATTGACAAAGGGCTCGGTGGTCTCGCCTGTGCCCATGAGGGTGTGCTTGAGAATCTCGTGCATCTCTTCGTTAGAGATGACGCTGCCGGGGTTGGCATCCTGGGTAAGCTTTTTGAGGAGTCGGATGGTGCCCTTGGACAGCGTCTGCCCGCCTGTATCCACTTCGGGCTCGATTATCGGCTCGCTGCGAGAGATTCGAGCCTAATGGCGGGAAGAGTCGTAAGCTGTAGTGAACTTGCAAGAGTTGATCACCCACTACCACTACCACTACCACTACCACTACCACTACCACTACCACTACCACTACCACTACCACTACCACTACCACTACCACTACCACTACCACTACCACTACCACTGGACCTTACCGATATTGACTTGTGTCGAGGACTGTTGGGCGACTCCGAGCCATAGAGCGATGGTCCTCGGGACGTGCCATGCACCTTGCCACTGCGAGCTCCCAGCACTTCCTCCAGGTCCAGCAGTCCATCGGAATCCAACCATTGTCGCCACAGCTGGGCCATCTCTGACTCGCGCTCCTCGATGATCCGACCCTCATCGTCGTAAAGCAGCTCCTGCGACTTGAGCAAGGCGCCCTTATACCACTCGCCGCGCTGCTCGGTTAGAATCTCGTTCCATCGCTTGTGGATCTTGAGTTCTTTAATCCACGAGCTCTTGTGATGCACAATGTCGGTCTCGAAGGCAACGTCGCGGTTGTTCCGCAAGATAATGGGGACCTTGGACTTGAGGATCCGTGGCTGCTTGAAAACCTCCGATGGCGGAAACATGCCAAAGGGCCATTCGCCACGCTCCTTTTGCACATCCGGAGTAAAGCGCAGGCTCAGTCTCGGGGTCGGATCGTCGCTGGAGTATGCGTGAGAATGACCGTGATGCTGCAGTGCCTCTTCTTGTTCCAGAAACTCCAGCCTCTCCTGGATCAGCTTCATATTGTGCATCTGCCGTCGATATGCCGACGGAAGCTTTGGAAGTGGCCGGGCCGCTTGAACCCGGGTGTTGGGTACAAACGGCGCATCCATGGCCGCAGCAACGGGATTGTTGTGGATTGCCATGCCCGGAAACGGCTGGTCGACCACGCCGATGCCGATCTCGCGGAGCTGCATTCGAAGGGCCTTTCTCACGACTTCCGAGTCTGTCGTGGTCGCTGCGATCGACAGCGCACGCATGCGTTTCTTATCGCTTCGCCGACGCTCGCCCTGGACGACGGTGTGCATCAGGTCCTTGTGATGCGGACGGCTCTCGAGTGCGGGTTTACTGCCGGTCGATTGCAGGTCGAGCTGGGGAGAGGAGCCAAAGAGATGCTGGTAGCCTCGAGGGAAGCCGCCGGAGTGCCCGTCCAGCGGCTCCCCACCGCCGAGTTTGAAAGGCATGGGTTTCGGTTGAACTAGAGTCGACTGGGCTATCGGTGCGGTGAGTGCAAAGCCAGTTCTTCAGAGTGGATAATGGTCCTGGGCCAAGCAAAATGGTTGTTTGGTATTACAGTCCGTGAGGGCCGGCGCAAATGTTCTCAGTAACCAACACGATTCCCACGGCGTTCGAGGAGCAGTGTCGAGGAGTCCCGGTCGTTCAAGCGACCAGAGCAACGGCCGTCCATCGCAGGTCTCGGCCTGATGCTTCAAGCCCAACGGAATTATTCTCCGGGTGTAGTCGGACATGCCCGATCACTGCCCGGCAGAGATCGCTGCTTGATCCGCCAACACAGCCGACGTCATCGGTCGATGACCCTCGCAACACCGGTGCAGTGTCTTCGACTGCGATCGCCCCCAGAGGATCCCACAAAGTGCCTCTGCTCATGACCAAGACCAACTCGGCGCCTCCGCTCTTCTCGTGGAGCATTTGGGACAGTCAGACGAATGGCGCATATCGGGGTAGGCACGATCACCAAAATACCACTGCTGCCCGCCGTCAAGTACAATCTATCGCGGCGACCCATGGAACGGACGGTGTGTATTTGTACAGGCCACCCTTACTCCAGCATCGCTGTCCAGTCAAACTCTTTGAATTTGCTCTGGAAGCGAGCAAGTTTGGTGTCAGCCTCTTGTGGCGTCTGTCGCTTGGGCTTTCTCCAGCGGTCATGAGAGATATCCATGGCGCCGGCAATCACCTCCTGTCCCATCGGCATTGGAGGGGAGTAAGCGGGTTAGAAGCGTCGATTGTACACAGCAATCGGACACCATCGGATGGGGAGCATCCATAGCAGCAATCGAACAGCAACTCTGTGTTTTCAGACCACAAGGGATCAGCCGATACTGCACCTTTCCGAACCACGGTGGCCAGTCTTCGCCTTCAATGACGTGGCCCATGCCTCGGTTCGGGTCGAACCAGACATGGAAGTACGGCAGATTCTTGACAAGCGATTTGCGGAAGCCATTCTTGCTGGTATCGATAACCTTGGGATGCTGGCTCCATTCCTCCTCCGCACTCAAGAGGGCTTCCTGCTCGATACAACCCCCACCACCACCACAGTCGCACACAGTCGGGGTCAACATTGATCGAGCTGGAGCGGACCTGCAGCTGCGGACAGCCTCTCGGAGAAAGACAGGAGCGACGAAAGCAAGTCGCCACATACCTTGTAGTAGGCTGGAGCATCCTCCCACACCTCGACCGAGAGCGGTAGGCACTCAATGACTGTGTGGCGATGGCCCCTCAGAGACGTCACTTGCTCCAGAAATATCGCACGGCGATTTTCCTTGGCAAACATTTGGATCAAGCACTTCATAAAGTTCTGCCAAGCACGCAAACGACCAAATATGGTACATTGGAAGCGACCACGAGGCAGTCAGCAGAGTGGCATCCACGCAGCGCTGTCGATCGGTCGACAAAAGGTCCTCGGGGGACAGGCGAGCGCAACTCGATCGGCTCAGCGGATGCACGGCCCATCTTACCCTGATCTCGTCCCAGGTATCGTCGTCGGATTGGAGCGTGGTGCTGATGTGGTCCAGAGGAACGATCAGACAGTGGCCGGGCATCATGTCGACGTGAGGAGGAAGCCCAAGGTACACTCTGGTTCCAAGTGCGACGACGTCCACAAGCGGCTTGTTCCCATCTTTGAAGCAATATTTGCACGATTCTTGCGCCGCCTGTGCTTTCTTGTAATCTACAATCGGGTTGCGATAAAACCATCAGCCACTTTCTCGCGCAGGGATACGAGTTGCCGAGCATGCGGGACCGAGAGATGGCGTGTGGTTATCCGCACCTGTGATGGCCGCAAGCTTCATCTGGCCCTGGGACTTTTTCACTGTCTGTGCCATGCGGTCGGCGCGATCGTCGTAGTAGTCCAGATCGTTCTTGAACAAGGCATCCTTGGAAATCTGATGCGCAATCTCAGCATCATAGCTCATGCCTGTCTTGAGTCTCTCCTCGAGCACCATCTGCGAGAGAGTCGATTGGTCGTCGACGAGGGGCTGTGATTTGCGCTTGTGCTGGGCCTGGCCCGAGGGCTCCTTCTGAGACTCGTTCATCCACACGTTGAAACGGCCCTCGGAATCGACCATCGGCAAAGTGAGATCATCCTCCTGCGCCAATGTGTGAGCGATATGTAGGATGATGATGAGAGGAGCATGTTAGATCAGCCGCGGAGCAGAGTGGACCATATCGGTCGATAAACGGAGCATGTTAGGGAATGGCATGGGAGAGGGGAGGCGAGCTGTCATGGCTTTGTGAGTGGCTTCGTTTCGGGAGAGGGGAAACGTAGCACTCTGCGCTCAACAGATGGAGTGCCCATGGGAATCGTACCTGCTCGGCCGCTGGCTGCGACTTTTCCAGCTCGAACCTGGCCATTTCTCGCTGGTACTCCTCCTCAATCTCAGCCGCGCGGGGATCGTCCATGATGCTGGCCTGTAGAGCCTTTGACTTGAGTTTGTTGAGCTCGTCCAAGGACAAGGCACGACGCTGCTTCTTTTGCGAATGCTGCTGGTCCGACTGGGCCGCCTGGAGAGTGGGGATCGAGAGCAGCTGGGACTGAGCAAAGGTGCTCTTGAAGCCACTGATGCCACTGCTGCCGTCGCCGTCGTCGCTGCGGGATCGCTTGGAGCCCGTTGGAGGCTGGGAATCGCCCTGGTTGAGCAAGTCTGCCGAGTCATCGGGCCTTCGGAATCGTGGTTGTGAGCGGCTGGTTGCAACTGAGAGTGAGTCGAGGTCCTGGCGGTGGACAGAACCAGATGCTGTTTCAGTATCGATCCGAATCAGCGGTTCCCAAGGGAGCGAGCTCAGCCTCCCAGCGATCAAGCCCGAGCAACCACCTTTCCAGTGGCCAGATGCTGCTTGATGTCTGGGTTCAGTTCCCGCGAGATACGGGCCGACTGCAGGACAGAGACGGATCGAACGGCGTTTGTGAGTGTGCGCTGGGCGGAGATCGGTAGTATCCAGACCCCTGTTCTCATCGCAGTCGGACTGGAGACGCCGCCGAATCAAAACTGCAGCATTGGAGTCGGGTATGTGCTCTCACAGAGCCGATCGGCAACCATGAATGAATCGATGCAGCCGCGGTGCAAAGAACACACACATTGAGATCGACTTTGGGCGTATCCAGGGCGGGAGCAGCATCCTGCTTGGACGGACCAGCAAAGAGCTGCTCGAACGGATCATCGGTTTCTCCAGCCATCCAGGTGTCTCGTTGAGCGCCCAAGGGAGCCTGGATCACAGAGAAGGAAGAGGAGCTCAGGGGAATGAATGGTCGTGCGAAGAAACCTTTGGCATGATGGATAGCAGGGTCGAGCCGCGGATGCTCAGACGCAGACGCATCGGATGGTCGAGAGCCACTTGGTTGATCACTCTGCTCCAGCACCGATATGGAGAGCAGATCCACTCGGATCCAGCAATAGATCTGCGGGATGCAGTCGCTCGATAGCGGCCACAATCCACCTGGCGATAGAGACTTACCGCCTGCGGCTGAGGACGCTCCATACCTCGTCGAGCCGCTCTCATCTCTCGATCCGAGTCAGATGCACTGTCATCCGAAGAGGAAGACGATCCTGCTGCAGCTACGGGCTCGGAGAAGCGACGGGAGCTGGGGCGATCATTGTCTGGATGCTCGCGGCTCCGGCTGCTCTTGTGATCTTTGGCCTTCTTGTCCTTCTTCTTTTTGTCTCTCTTTTTCTTCTTGTCTCGCTTCTCCTTCTTGGACTTTTTGGATTTCTTCTCCTTCTTTGAGTCGCTGCCCATGGTTGCCAGGTGGGCAGAGTCGAGGGAAGGAAGGCGGGAGGGTGAGCAGTCGCCGTGGAGGGGAACAATGGGGAAGAGGAGGCCAAACGCGATCGGGACAAGAACGCCGCCAGCTGGGCTTGCGGCCTTGGCCGACACTCCCAGCAAGACACACAGCACACAACAGCGAGCGCATCGAACGGCATAACGGCATGCCAGCGACCGGGCAGGTGTGTGTGCTCTGGTTGAGAACTAATGGACCAAACGCACTCCCCATCCCTTCACTCGCTCGCGTTCACGCACACGCTCGCACTTGCAGATGCAGCATCCCGTTCTCATGGGGTGTTTCTTTCGTGTTTCATTCAGAACAAACTATACATCAGGAAGGCCAACCCAAAACGAGCCGCCCCCGCTGTGCTCGGCATTCGGGGAGGCGCAGAGGCAGGCCAGGAGTAACAAAATCAGAGTCTCGGGACAGACTGCAGGGAAAGAGGACAAGTAATTATGGCAGCATATGATGGAAGGGGAAGGCGGCAGTCCATCGTAGCAGCTTGGCTGGAGCGAGCGGCTGAAGCTGATGGAGAGCCGTCGCGGAGAGGGAAGCTTATCGGATTAAGCAGTCGAGTCCTTCATGTACGAGTCCATATCGGCGTCGAGATCCGCCTGGGACTTGGCGGGTCGCTTCTCACGGGCCGGCTGTCGGCTGCGGCCACCGCGAGCAGGGCCGCTGTTGTTGCTCTTTCGGATTCCACTTTACGGCACGAACAAAGAATCGGAGACGGGTGTCAGCAGCAGGTTGACGATGGAGTGCGTGCCGTCTCGTCGAACAGAGTCGAAGCACCAGGGGACAGGTTGATATTCTTGTGCAGAGAAGCATAGCCAGAGCCAGAGCCAGAGCCAGAGCCAGAGCCAGAGCCAGAGCCAGAGCCAGAGCCAGAGCCAGAGCCAGAGCCAGAGCCAGAGCCAGAGCCAGAGCCAGAGCCAGAGCCAGAGCCAGAGCCAGAGCCAGAGCCAGAGCCAGAGCCAGAGCCAGAGCCAGAGCCAGAGCCAGAGCCAGAGGATCGTGTCGGCCGCAAGCGCGTCTCGTCCGTCTAAATCGGTTGGCTGACCCACCTTCGCTGCACGTTGCGGATGTTAGGGGTGTTGCGAGTAGGGGCAGCAGAGGCAACAGAGTCGACGCCAACGACCAGCTCGATCTTCATCGGTCTTTCGTCCAGAGTGCGGTTGTGGTATTCCTTGACGGCTGTGGAAGTCGAGAGAAGAGGATGGATGGTGGTGTTGGTGATTTTTTGAGCGGAGCGCAGAGGGACACATTTCGGGGGGTCATTCAAAGAGCGAACGTCGAGAGCGGCGCGTTTGAAGCGGGACAGGAAAAGAGGGAGGTTGATGAAGCCATCCGAGATGCAAGGCATGGTCGGTCGGGGCATCTCGTCTGATCCAGCCCGGCACTACAGCGGAGATCGGCAGATCGAGGCACGTGCGCAACGGAGGCAGGTGGACACCCAAGGACAGGCATGCGACGGCGGCGCATCGGCAGGCTCTGTTCTGCTCCGGTTCCGTTCTGTTGCACGTCTTGGCAGCCGCTCGAGCATTCATGTCCACCTCTTGGTCCCTCCTCCTGAACCCTCGAGACTCCATGCGATTCCAGTGGATCCGTCCGACGTCGAGGCATCCTTGCGGAGCTTGCGACCCAGCCACGTTTGCAAGCGGCGCAGAAGGAACGAGCAAGCCAAATGGGAGGCCAGAGCGGATGCCAAGCGGATGCCAAGCAGACAACCACCTCTGCAGGCCCGGACCACACGACGGTCTCGCCATCAATGTACGGCCACTGCGACAGTCTCAACCCGACGTTGAGAGCGCAGCGGAGGAGCAACTGCAGCACGGCAATTCTCCAGCAAGAGCCGCCGTCGGTGCTGAACAAAGCCAGCGTGGGAGTGTCGCCTGCGACGACCAACCAACCAACAAACTGATCGACCGATCGACCGATCGACCGACTGACGTCCCCAGACGCCAGCGGGAGCTCGCGACAGTCCTCGACACGAGGAATGCCGAGCACGGGGCAAGTACAAGGAAAAGGGAAATCAAGGGGCGGGAGCAAAGGAGAGACCGACAAAAGCCAGGTGCGAGAGACCCGATGCCGCGAGGCAGGAGCGGATCGCCCGAGGCGGAGCGGGGCTGGAAGCGAAGAGAGGACGAAGAGTTGTACCTCTGGCGGCATCACCCTTGCGGTGGAAGACGACGGTAGCGGTGCCCTTGGACTTGCCGGTAGCATCATAGTTCAGGGTGGCGACCTTGACGGGGCCAATCTGGGTGAAGAGGTCGACGACGTCCTTCTGGCTGACACTGTAGGCAAGGTTGGAAACGTTGATCTTTTGGTGCTCGGAGGTGACGACAGGAGCGGCGGCAGAGGCGGCAGCCGTTCGCGAGGGCTGGTTGGGGCTGCTGTGGGGTCGAGGGCGGCTGTTGCGGGTAGGACCGCCGCTGGTTCTGCGGTCCTTTCTGACGTGCTTTGCCTTGGTGATCTGGAGAGGTGAGCGGGCCGGAAAAGGGGGAGCGCGTGGAAGAGGATGCGATTAAGGACCAGATGCGTGGAGGATGAGTGCGCTGGGCCAATTGAAGGTGCTTGGGGAAGATTGGCGGCCCAATGCTGGTGCGGCGAATGCCAGAAAAGAAAGAACGGAGATTCGAGGAAACATGTCGAAGACATCGATAATGTGGTGGGGGGGGGAAGGAGGATCCCGGAGAGGGACGAGACACAGACAGACATAGGTCGACACATGGCAGAGAGGAGCGATGACGACAACTGAGACGAAGGAGACGAAGGAAGCGAAGGAAACACGCCAAGAGCAGGGCGTTAGGGATCAGAGCGAGAAAAGAGGACAACACATACAATATCATCGAGAGCCATGTCCATGTTCATGTTGGCGGCGAAGAAGACGAGTAGAGGGGGGAGCAGAGGGAAGGCAAAGGGCAGAGACGGGCTGTGGAGCAGATGGATGACGAGCGGGAAGGGGAGGGGGCGACGGGATGCCGGGCTTTTGGAGATCTCGCAGGGGGGGCGCGGGCCAGCTGGAGTGTGGCTGGAGTGTGGCTGGAGTGTGACTGGAGTGTGGCTGGAGTGTGGCTGGTCGCCTGGCTTGATCACGTGGACTCTCCGTGTCCGCGTTACCCCCGCGTGTCATGACACGCCGTGACATCCGCCTCACGGATCATCCGTCAGCGATCGAACCGCGCCGGGTCGGAATCCGACCGAGGGCCGTCTCTCTGGGACGCCGCTCTCGGGGAGGGCGTCTTCTCGCCTCTGGGCTGGCCTTGCCTGCATCCATCGGCATCTGTCGGCATCCATCGGCATCCGTCGGTATCTGTCGGCATCGCCAGCATTGCCGGCGTTGGCTGATCTCCTGCACGCGGGGCTGCCCTGCGATGGTCTGTTGCGCTCGGCCTCGCTCGGGGCTTGCATGGCCCGGACCATGTCCCTTTGGCCCTCCGCCATGGTCGGCGGCACAGAGAGCCTCCTCGCCACGCCCTCGCTCCTCGCCCGCCACACATTCGCGGCTCTCGCTGCTCGGCCCGGCTCGCTGCCTTCAAATGCGCTCGGTGTCGCCCTTGGACCTTGGGACTTGCTTCATCCTTCGACTCTCATCTCAAGCCTCTTCGACCCACCCCTACGGCTGTGCTGCATTGCCGCCATGACCCTCTCCTCGCTCCTGAAGCTGTCATCGTCCCGAACCCGCTCGCTGCTTGTCGCCGCGCCGGTCCGGAGTTCCTTCCTGCTACAACGGGTGTGTCGCCGTTCTTTGCTCGAATGCAGTGCTGCTCTCGCCAGATCGCATCGTCGATCCTCCATGATCGTGAGGCCGTTATGGGAGATTTGAGGCGGGCCGTCCGATGCGTCCTTCATCGGCGTCGGCCCTGCTTGATCTCCTTCGCGAATGTCCATCTCTGGCCAGAGCAGCCTTGTGAACTCGGCCGGCATCCGATCTGGCGGCATCGAGCCATTCCCGCCCTGCAACCACTCACACTTCTCCCGCTTTGCCTTCGATCGGTCCTTTGGCCCAATCCACGCGTATCTTCACCATCCGCCCCCTTGGGCTCTGGCTACCGTCGGTTCCAGTATTATGCCCGCGCCCCGCTCCACCCCGAATGGAAGGAACTTGTCAAGAGGGAGCTCAAGGGCAAAGAGCCCGATATTCTGATGTGGGAAACTGCAGAGGTAATCAGCGCGCCGGCTCGATTGGGCACCCTGCCGCTCTGTTCAGCGGTGCTGCTTTTGTCCTCTCCCTGCCGAGAGCTCTTCGCCAGCAAGCCCTCCTCGCGACTCGACTGGATCTAATGCCTCCACACGTCTCTCCCGCCTGGCTGTTTGTGTCTGGCAACCCGATGACCGGCTCCGATCTCCTTGCTGGACACCCCAACCCCCGCTCTCTGGCGGTTGCACGACTCCATCTTGCCAGGGCATCGATGTCAAGCCCGTCTACACTAAGGCCGACATCACCGACGTCGCCGAGGAAATCCCCGGCAAATTCCCCTTCACCCGAGGTCGGTCTTGGCCAGCTCTTCGTTGCTCATCGGGGATGGCTCTGCCATGCTGTTCGCGCGGCCATGTGATCCGGGATTGGTCCATCTTTGCATATCACTGTGACTCATGTGGACAGAGTCCCTGGGGTCTTGTCCTGGACAGTGTTTGGATCCTCCACCGGCCGACATTTCCTCCCGAACACCAGTGTTGCTGTTTTCTCGGGCCTGCTGGGATGGCTGTCGTTCGAGTTGGTGCTGCTGTTGTCCATGACAGCCGAGCGCGATGCTGACCTATGTGTCCTTGCCCTCTACACAGGTCCCTATGCCTCCATGTACACCTTCCGTCCGTGGACTATTCGCCAGGTACGTCGATAACTCAGGTTGTAAAGCGCGGCTTGTTTCTATCGCGCTCCTTCCCTCTCTCAACGGCGTCAAGCAGTCTTGTATCCCTTTCGCGCGAGCATTTGCATCCCTCTCGAGTTGTATCTGACCCTTTGTGTCCCCTGTATCTCAGTACGCTGGCTTCAGTACCGTCGAGGAGAGTAACGCCTTCTACCGCAAGAACTTGGCAGCCGGCCAACAGGGCCTCAGTGTTGCCTTTGATTTGGCCACCCACAGAGGGTAGCGTATCGTCCCCGATATCGTCCACCTGTCAGAGCCTCAAGGGATCTGGCCGAGCAGGCTATCCCAAGCGACAACTCCTGGGTTTGTGCAGCCGCTGACCCGTTCCCCTCCTCCATGCTCTCCGGGCTGGCACTCGCCACTCTGCAGCTATGACTCTGACCATCCCCGTGTCGTCGGTGATGTCGGTATGGCCGGTGTCGCCATCGACACCGTCGAGGACATGAAGGTAAACCGATGTCGCTCTGCCTTTGTTCCACACATCTGCGGCATCCCCTTGATTGACTGGCTGGCGTGGCTTCCCTTGCTTGTGCGCGACCGGCTGTGTGATGAGCAATGTTGTTGCTCTCGGTGTGATGTGCCGATTGTGCCGATTTTAACCCAACGACCTGCCGCGGACTGTGCTTCGGTTGTCTCCAGCGTCTCTTCGAAGGCATTCCGCTCAACAAAATGTCTGTCTCCATGACCATGAACGGAGCCGTCTTGCCCGTCCTCGCCTTCTACATTGTCGCTGGTGAAGAGCAGGTTGGTTTTCGGCCTCGTTTGCGCTGCCATTGTCCGCACTGATTCCAGACCCATGTGACATCGGCCTTCGCGCTACAGACGACTGCACATGCCAGTACTTCCCGTACATATCACTGACCCAGCGCCTCCACCATTGCAGGGGGCCAAGCAATCCGAGCTCGCCGGAACCATCCAGAACGACATTCTCAAGGAGTTCATGGTCCGAAACACCTTCATTTATCCCCCAGAGCCCTCCATGAAGCTGATCGGTGACATTTTCGAATACACCTCCAAGGTACGCAACACCGGGTCCTCATGTACACTGATCCAGTTGGTGCCCATCGCATCGATGCTCCTTGGTCCTCGCACCCTGACGCATGCAATCATGTCCTGATGACTGTCTGTACTCCACCAGAACATGCCCAAGTACAACTCCATCTCCATCTCGGGCTATCACATCCAAGAGGCCGGCGCCCATAACGCCCTTGAACTCGCTTTCACCATTGCCGACGGACTGGAGTATGTATCCAGCACTGCAGACCCTCCACCTATGTTCTGGCAATGCTTCTTGTCCGTCAACGACATACCCCAGCCGCCACAGTCCCCTCGCGATCTGTCTAACTCGACTGGGTTTGGTGTCTGTCTATCTCCACCAGATACATCCGCACTGGTCTCAAGGCCGGCATGTCTGTCGATGATTTTGCTCCCCGTCTCTCCTTCTTCTTCGGCATTGGCATGAACTTTTACATGGCAAGTGGCAGCATCACCTTGCCGCTTCGATTGCCTCGCATTGGCACATTCTCTGCCGCTCGAGTCTCCTGCTGACTCAATCGCCGACGATGTGACCTTATTCACAGGAAATTGCCAAGCTGCGTGCTGCTCGCCGACTTTGGGCCACTCTCATCAAGGAAAAGTTCAACCCCAAGGGCCAAAAGTCGCTGCTGCTCCGAACGCACTGCCAGACCTCGGGCTGGTCTCTGACCGAGCAGGATCCTTACAACAACGTTATCCGCACCACCATCGAGGCCATGGCCGCGACTCTTGGTGGCACGCAGTCGCTGCACACCAATGCCCTTGATGAGGCCATCGGTCTCCCCACCGAGTTCAGCGCCCGCATTGCCCGTAACACCCAGCTGATTCTCCAGACCGAGGCCATGATCCCCAAGGTTGCCGATCCGTGGGGCGGCAGCTACCTGATGGAGTCCCTCACCAACGAGCTGTACGACTCGGCCCGCAAGCAGATCGACGAGATCGAGGAAATGGGTGGCATGTCCAAGGCCGTCGCTTCAGGCATGCCCAAGCTGAGAATCGAGGAGGCTGCTGCCAGACGCCAGGCCCGTATCGACTCTGGCAAAGGTAACTCATTTTCCATCGTGACCGTGTGCCCACCGATACACGATGCGGTTGATGCTGTTGATTCGTTTGGTGGCTCCTCGCGCCGCAGTCCATGACACAAATGCCTGAACTCGATCCGGTATATCGACACAATGGTCGGCCCTATACTAACGACGCACATCAACTCGCGTTGTCGCATTGTCGCTGCCGCTGATCGGACTTGCAGAGGTCATCGTTGGTGTCAACAAGTACAAGGCGGCGAAGGAGGAGCCTGTTGAGGTCCTGGCCATCGATAACACCCAAGTCCGTCTTGCTCAGGTACGTGGTAGTTGTTTGTCGCGCCAACGGCGGATGATGTGGCAACATCACGAGACTGCAACACATCCCCACAGTTCTATCCGATGTAACTCAACATACCGTTTTGCCGCCTCTAGATCGACAAGATTCGCCAAGTCAAGGAAAGCCGCGAGCCCAAGCGTGCCGAGGCAGCCCTTGCGGCCCTGACAAAGTGTGCGGAAACCAACGACGGCAACTTGCTGGCTTTGGCGATTGAGGTAGGCGCACCACCTCGAGCGACTTGCATTTCTCTCGTTCGAGGCGGCTTGATCATGGACACACACTTGTCACTGGTCCGGGCGACTGACTTTGTTCTGCCTCAATCACAGGCCGCCCGTGCCAGATGCACTCTGGGCGAGATCTCGTATGCCCTTGAGCAGGTAAGAGCTCCTTCGTGGCTATTTCGCGCATCCGGCGATCGCCGACGATGTATGCTTGCGGGTCATTGTACACCAGCCAGCCATGGTCCCAACCAAGATCCCGACACTCACGTCGGCTTTCCTTGGCTGCTCGTAGGTCTGGGGACGCCACAACCCTGCCGTCCGTGTCGTCAGCGGCGCTTACAAGTCCGAATACGGCGAGTACGACGAGATCACAAAGACCCTGGACATGGCCGAGGTGAGGGAGGCGGTGCATCTGATGATCGAGCAATGCTCTCTGTTCCATTGGAACCTGTGAAGCGATCCTGCTGCCTCCATGGCTGATGGCATCTTTGCTGCATCTTTGCTCGTGTAGGAGTTCCTGAAGCGCGAGGGTCGTCGCCCTCGTATCCTCGTCGCCAAGATGGGTCAGGACGGCCACGACCGCGGCGCCAAGGTCATCGCCAGTGGATTCGCCGATCTCGGCTTTGACGTCGATATCGGCCCGCTGTTCCAGACCCCCTCGGAGGTGGCCCGCCAGGCTGTCGATGCCGATGTGCACGTCGTTGGCGTTTCGTCCCAAGCCGCTGGACACAAGACCCTCGTTCCGCAGCTGGTTGCTGAGCTCAAGAAGCTCGGTGCCGAGGACAAGCTGGTGGTTGTTGGCGGTGTGATTCCCCAGCAAGACTACGAGTTCCTGTACAGCGCCGGTGCCGCCTGCATTTTTGGCCCTGGTACGTATCGATCATCTGCCGCATATGTGGGTCCAGACTCTACACACCTCCCCGGATATGTCCTGACTCGCCTCGTCGCTGTTGTGCATTTGTGTTCCTCCTTCCTCGTCCCAGGCACGCGTATTCCCTTGGCTGCCCAGGAGGTTATCCAGAAAATCAAGCCCACCAAGTAATTGCGACTTCCTGCGGCTGCGTGGCTCGATGCCCTGCGTCGTCGCGATGCGCTCTCCACCCACAAATGTTGCTTGGGCGGCACTCAGCGATTGATGTTTGCCGAACCGCGGCGCTCACCGCCTCTTGCCGTTGTGCTCCACATTCGCCTCCTCTCTCTGGCAACTCCTTCTTTGCAGGCGACGCTGTTTACCTGCCCCCCCCCCTAATCTGTGCGTTCCGGGACTGCCTTCCCGACCCTGCCTGTAGAATGTACCTGGGTTTCACACCCAAGAATGTGGACTGCCGTTTTTCTCCATCTCCCTCCGTTTCGCTTCGTTCCGCTTCGTTCCTTTCCTTCTCTCGCTCTCCTCCCCTTTCTTCGCTTCTTCTTCATTTGCATCTGTTTGGACGAGCCCGTGGTCTTCCCTCGTTTCGGACAGACCGGGCCGCTCGGACCGCTGGGTTTGTTGTTCATGGAAGGAAGGCCCAATACACAGTTTGCACGCACCGCACCGTTGCACAAGGACAGCGCGCACTGCCACGACGCGCACTGCCACAGCCGTCTCGCAATTCATTTACCGGCCATATGAAGCCGCCAAATGAATTTCGTTTTTTTTGGCCAGCCGGCCTGGCCCAACCCGATCGACTGATCGATCGCCAGCCGTCTCCGATCCAGCTGCGAGGCTGCACACACACGCATCTCTACCGTCCCTCCTCCAGCCCGCACACGCCATCGACGTCGACACAAATGGGCAAGCCTGGACATAATCGCTCCAATAAGCCTTCGAGGCCGTCCAAGGGCAGCGGCAGCAGCAGCGGTGTCAAGCGCGGCGGACATGCAGGTGGCATCGCCAAACGAGGAGCCAAGGGCAAGCCCGGACAGCCCCAGCGGCCCCGGTACGAAGATCTCGAGCAGGACGGCGGTTCATCCAAGGCTGGCCACCATCAGAGACAAAATGCAATGAAGGGCAAGCAGCAGCATCAGCAGCAGCAGCAACAGAGAAACCCAGGCCGTAAACAGCTCTCGGCCACACCGCGACCGTCACAGTCAAGAGAAAAGTTTGGCGTCCAGTGGGAGGGCTTCGAGAAGAGCGCCTGGACCAAAAAGAAGGAGGCCTACAAAGCCGAGCGCGCTGCCCGGGCCCAGGAGGAAGCCGGCGACTCGAATGCGAAAGGAAAGGCAAAATCACCCAAGGGCGACAAGCCCTCCAGGTTTGCGACCAAGGGCGACAAGTTCAAGGGTGGACGGAAGGGTCGAGCCCACGGCAGCGACGACGACGGAAGCGGCCGCGACCACGATGAGGAAGAGAGCGACTTTGAGGAAGTCCCGATGCAGCAAGACAGCGGCGAGGGCTTTGATGATGCCAGCGACGACAGCGCATTGGACGACGATGACGACGGAGAGCACGGAGAAGGCCCAGACCAGTTTGATGACGAAGCCGGCAAGGGCAACGACGACAGCGGCTCTGAGAGCTATGATGACGATGACGATGACGATGATGACGACAACGATGACGACGACGATGAAAAACGAGAAATCGCACAGCAGGTTATTGCATCGAATCGCAAGCACAAAAAGTCTGGAGGATTCCAGTCGATGGGTAGGCAATTCGAGCATTTGCATCGATTGATGCACACCAGTACCACAGCGGCGAGCACACTGCCGATGGGCCGGAGCGTGGCAAGCATGCATCTGACAGTGGCAACCTCCCCTGCTCGTCGGTGGCATCGAATCTCGCAGGCCTCAGCTTCCCGATCTACCAGGCCGTCCTGCACAAGGGATTCAAAGTGCCCACCCCTATCCAGCGAAAGGCCATCCCCGTCATTATGGAGGGCCGGGACGTCGTGGCCATGGCCCGCACCGGTTCCGGCAAAACAGCTGCCTTCATCATCCCGCTGCTGGAGCGGCTCAAAGTCCACTCGGCCAAGGTCGGCTGCCGCGCCCTGGTGCTCTCTCCGACCCGTGAGCTCGCCATCCAGACGCTCAAGTTTACCAAAGAGATGGGCAAAAACACCGACCTGCGTGCCTGCATCCTCGTCGGTGGCGACAACATGGATGAGCAGTTCGCAGCCATGGCCACCAATCCAGACATGTACGTAGTTTGGCTGAGAGGGCGATGAGCGACAGAGGGCTTCTTCACACCCCATGGCACCAGGACGGTGCAAGTTCACCATCCGCCGCTCAGCCGGGCTTGCCATCGAGTCTGCCACCTTAGCCGATATCTGCTCCTCACACTATCTGTTGCTCGAATCTACACAATGCGAAACCGTTCCACGGACGTATCGCTGCCGCGTATTTCTACAATTCCCTCCATCAGCATCGTCGCCACACCAGGCCGTCTGCTCCATCTGATGATCGAGATGAATATCGACTTCAAGACAATCGAATACGTTGTCTTTGATGAAGCTGATCGGTGAGTTCACATCAATGCACGGTACAACCAATCGTCGCCGTCTCGCCCGTCATATACTCATCGATATGACCTCTGCCAGCCTCTTCGAGATGGGATTCGCCGAGCAGTTGCATGAGATCATGCACCAGCTCCCGGAAAGCCGACAGACCCTGCTGTTCTCGGCCACGCTTCCGCGACTACTGGTCGACTTTGCCAAGGCGGGCCTGACCGAGCCTGTGCTGATCCGGCTCGATGCCGATACCAAGATCAGCCGGGATCTGGAGCTGCTGTTCCTGTCGATCAAGGGCGAAGACAAGGACGCGGCGCTGCTGTACACGCTCGAAAAGCTGATCACAAAAGGACAGCAGACCATCATCTTTGTGGCAACCAAGCACCTAGTCGAGTATCTGCACGAGCTCCTGCTCGTCGCCGGCATCGACAACACCTACATCTACGGCTCGCTCGACCAGATGGCGAGAAAGATCAATCTGCTCAAGTTCCGCAACGGCCAGTCCAAGATCATGATCGTGACGGACGTGGCAGCGCGTGGTATCGATGTGCCGCTGCTCGACAACGTCATCAACTACGACTTCCCGCCCGCACCGAAAATATTTGTCCATCGCGTGGGTCGTACGGCCCGTGCTGGCCGACGAGGCACGGCCTACTCTCTGGTTTCGAACGACGAGGTGAGGTTGATCATGTGAGAGCGATACGCCCACGATGGCAATCTAGGCTGTACTGCTGTGACCCGCCGTGATCGGATGTCTTCAACTCACATCTCTGCCCTGCTGTCGCCTCGCACATCCCCAGCTCCCCTTTCTGCTCGACCTCCAGCTGTTCACCGGCCGGCCGCTGATCTTCGGCACCGCCTTTGAGGAGTCACCGGCCAATCCATCTCCCCCCGAGCCCGACTTCACCTCCGAGATTATCTACGGCGGCATTCCGCAGGCCGAGCTCGATCTGAGCCGGGAGCAAGCGCTTCACATGGTCAAAGAGAACATTACGCTGTCCACTCTCCAGCACACCGCCCGCAATGGCTACAAGCTCTACTACAAAACGCGCCCGCTGGCCAGCAAGGAGAGCTACGCACGAGCCAAGGATGTCATCAAGGCCAACATTGGCATGCACCCCGTACTCGGTAAGGGCGAGCGTGGGCCGGTAACGAGAGCCAGGCGTGGGAGCCTCAGACACAGCCACATCCTCGGACCAGGCCACGCAATGTACCAGCAGGACGCCGCTCAGTTACTGACTGTGCCCTGTGCGCGTGGGATTCATTTCGCCCCAAAGCCGACAAGATCGACCCTGCTGAGCAGCAGCGGGCCACGATGCTGGCATCCTTGTTGTCGTTCCGGCCGCCTGAGGTAAGCGGCTGCTTGTCGCGCTTGTGTCTGCGGCGTCAGAGGTGTCTGCTGGATGATACCGAATGTCGGGCTGTCCGGTCGTGTCAGTCTCACCGAGCTGGACCTCGCAATGCCATGTTTGTGCGATCACATTGATGATATCCTGGCCTGCATCCGCTGTGACTGAACCACTGCTGTGAACGTGACGCTTCTCTCCGCCGTAGACCGTGTTCGAGGTCACCAAGAAGGGCACAAAGAGCTCCGAGGCCATTCTGATGGCTCAGCGACGCAAGCAGCTCAACAAAACCATCGATGCAACCAAGACGCAGACCAGCGACCTTGCTTCGCAGACCATGATGGCTCAGCGTAAAGCCATCAACCGTGGCAGCGCCGGTGGCCCGACCGGTGGCCTCGAGATGGTCGACGAGGACGAGCTCGAGGTAAGGCACCAGTCCGTTGAGAGCTGCATGGGCTTGACTCCAAAGTTGGTCGTGGGTACTGGCGTTCATCGCCAACCGTGCGCATGCATGCTGACTGGATGTGCTTTCTGGATGTGCCTTCTGGATCAGAGCGAGTTCCGGACTGTCATTGGTGGCGACAAGGCCAAGCGCAAGCACGAAGGAGAAGGTCAGGGTAAGCCGTCCGTGTGTCTCACACAGCGCTCGCAGCGATGTTTGGGCTGAGATGATCTGTCGGCAGCCGCACCTTTGATGCTCCATCTGGGATGCTCGGCGCCTGCCGTGGACTGACATGACGCACGATCTGCTCGGTCTCCAGATGCTTCGTCCAAGCGACCGGCCAAGTCGTTCCGTGACGAAGAGTTCTACATGTCCTACACGCAGAGAGATGCACACACTGAGAAGGGCTACAGCCTGGCTGCCTCGGGACAGGGTCGGCCTGCATCCTTCCTCCAGCACGCCAGCACCGCGACACTCGAGTACCAGGGCGACGACGAACAGAGTATCCAGAAGCGAACCAGTGCCGCTGTTTGGGATGCCAAGAAGCGACGCTTTGTGCGGCCCACTGTTGGCGCAGACAACAAAAAGCTCATCCGGTCCGAGAGCGGCGCACTCTTGCCAGCCAGCTACAAGTCCGGCAGGTATGATCTTGTTGACACAGCAATCACAGAGACAGATGCAAAATGCCATCGAAGGGGCTCTGTGTGAACGTGCCTGCTCTTGAGCGCACACGTCGGAGTGTCTTCACTTTGCCACTAGCATGGGCACGGCTCGATGCCCAAGGCTCTCTCAGGGAACGCCTATGAGTCTCTGGCCACAGCCCTCTGCTTCGTGATCGCTGTCTGATACCCTCGCCATGTCACGCTCCCAATCCATCGCACAACGACACCAGATTCGAGGAGTGGCAGAAAAAGTCAAAGATATCGCTCCCGCGCAGCGGCGAGCGCGAACTGGCGTCGGCGGGCTCCAATGCCCTGGGCGGGACGCTGTCCAACATGCGGCCGGGAACCAAGTTCCGACACAACAAGATTATGGCGCCCACACCGGGCAGTCTCGCGGGAGCTCGCAAGGCAGCACGGAGAGAGCGCGAGGCCAGGCTGGCAACGGATGGCTCGGAAAGCGGCAGCGGAACCAACCTCACGACGACGCAGCTGGGCAAGAAGTCCAAGGTCGTTCGGCACAAGACCGTGGCTGGCCGGAATACCCGCAGCGAGCTCAAGAGCGCATCGCAGATCCAAAAGAGCCGGAAGGAGAAGGAGAGGCGACGGGAGAAGACTGGTCGCCACAAGCAGGGCAGCGGCAGCGGCGGCAGCAAGCGGCGCTGAGCAGAGAGGGAGCAAGCGGATGGCTGCTTGGGCTGGCCCACAACGCTCGTCGCAGCGGTTGCGGATTGAAGCAGAGATGCCCAGCGCCGATGGCGGGCGGGGAATATACACATGGTGGCGCCCGAGAGCGCCGCCGTCGAATCCCATGTCTGGTGGATGCAGCACCCGTCGCCCATGAGATCGGCCAGGGCGCGGATGCCGCCACCCCGTTCCCGCCGACCGAGGAGCAACCGGAAGCGCAGCCAGAGTTGCGATCCATCTTGCCTTTTCGGGGCGGCCCGGGGTCAGGGACCCAGCAACAAGGGCACAGGCGCACGGGGCAGCCCCGAGTTGGGCTGTCTCTGCCCTGCCTGCCCGGCTGTGGACATTAAGGGTGGATTGGGAACGAACTGGCAGAGACGACGAGCTGGTCGCTGGGTCGGCGGGGACATGGCATGCTGCCCCGCCAGGAGGTCCTGGATTGCAGTGCCGGTGCGCAACCCCGTTGACAGCTGCAGTCAACTTGGACAGGTGCGGTCAATTCGACCTGCCGTCAGTCCGACCTGCAGCCAGTTCGACGCAACGGCGCTCTTGCCAGCCGGCTCCCGGCCCACCCAGGCCACAACGCCGCCGGCCGAGGCCCGGTGGCGATGGCTGTCCTCCTGGGCGTGCTTTCGGTGCAGTCTTTCTTCTTTTGGGTGTTCCCGGCCCCAGACAAGCAGCGGCGCCAGGCAGTGCCTGGTCATGGCATCTTTTGCTCGTCGCTCTCTCTCCCCGGTCTCCTCGGCCACGCCGATATAAATACGGCCCCGCTGCAGCCCATCTTCTCTTTTCTCCAAGCCGCTCCTTGGCTCCTCTGCCCCTTCTTTGCTCGCCATCGCTTCGTCTCCCTCCCACGCCCTGTCAACTCGCACCCACATCCCCCATCGGCTATATCCATCTCCTCCCCTCGCAGCGCTTCAGACTGGATGGCTCTCCTGAAAATTCCTACTGGCAATGTCGCAATTCAGCCTGCCCGGATCGCAGCATACCCTTTCCCTCCGAGCTGCCTTGCTTGTATCGCGGCTTTCCTGGGCTGCTCCGACGTCGCGAACCTGTGCTATCCCTGGCTATATTGCCGGCCAGCCCCACCGACCTCCCGCAAAGCCCAACTGGATCGCCGGCAGCGCCGCCATCGCCAGCCACCAGGCGCAGGCAGACCCGCTTCCTCCAGCAGTCTCCTCCCTGAGCCTGACGAATGGCTGGTCCCTGGCAACCCCAGTGCTTTGAATCGGGGGACTCGTCGGTGAGGGTGGCTTATGGAGACACCCTGGTCGCTTTCGTCGGTTTTGCAGCAGGACTTGCGCGCACAGCCAAAGCTGGTCTCGGTGGTTCTGGGAGAGCGGGGCCAGGCTGCCAAGATCGACTATTATTGGTCTTTGGAGCCTTGGTTCTTTGCTGCATGGTCCGGGCCTGAATCTTGCCACTAGTATTTTTGGGTAGCCTCCATTTTGGATTGCCGTCTTGCGAAAGGGTTTCCACCGTCTCAGCCGCTTCTAGATCATTGTCCAAGACAAGCTGGGGTGAGCAAATGCAACAATGCCTGGAGCGGGAAATCTAACATCGATACCATCGGTTAGCCATTATTTTGGGGGCAGCTCTCGTCTGTCGATCGTTTGGCCCTGGTGCCCGGCTCGCAGCGCGCCAGATACTGGCCAAGTCCCAGGAAGAAGGGAGGGGAATAATTGCATCAATCTCCTCCGACCCTCTTTGGCAGCACAGTGGCATTGAGGCAAATGATATTGATTCGTCAGGGGAGACAATACCCGCTTGAAACATGCACATTCGCATACATATACACATACACATACTCATGCAACAGTTACAGCAGCTCTCATCGATGGTCGCTGATCCGCAGGTTGCCAATGTCGCAGAGCACCGTTGGCGAGGCGGACTGGTACCGCTTGACCTTGGCTGCGCCGTCCGGTCCAACATCTACCAGGATGCACCACGCACGCTCCTTCTTGAAATCGTTTCCGCTGGCCACGGCGATGGTGCCAGAGCGATTTGCCGGGTTCGGCTGTGACGATTCGGGCTCTGGCGCTTCCCACCGAGTGCGATCGGGCGAGTCCACGAACCGGCGGCTGGCATCCACACCAACAACACCCTTCTCGACAGGATACTCGCCCTGCAGCCGATCGATGTGGGTTTTGGACATCCGAACGGTTTCGTGGATGTGCCCGTGCAGGCTGACGAGCGGCTGGACGGTTCGGAGAAAGCGGAGGAGCCCCAGGCTGCCGACGTGCGCATGCGAGGCCATCAGGTCGAGGCCGGTGGCGAAGGGAGGTGTGTGCGCCATCACGATGAGCCTGGCCGGGTCGATGTTGGAGATGCCCAGCGGCGGCTCGCGGGACAGCGTCTGGTGGAGCAGCCCCTCGAGCGAGTCTTTGGCGTCGAGGCTGAGGCTGCAGATTGAGAGCACCGAAGAGCCGCAGTTGTCAGTCGAGTCTGAGCGACACCCGTCCACCGCAATCCGGCTGTTGCGATAGATTCGTGGCGGCGGAGGATTGTAGCCTGGGGGCCTGGGGGCCAGTACGTGTTGGTAGTAGAGGCAGTCTTCGGGGGTGTCCATCAACTCCCAGTCCTTCATGCTGCCGGCCAGAGAGAGACAGCCGATGAGCTTTGCGGCCGTGGTCAGACTGCGGGGAGTGAGAGCGACTGCGATTGCCGCCGTTGTCAGGCAAAGCCACCGGCATTCGGTAGCAGCGAGACAGCCGATCCGCGGCCGACGAGCCACACTCGCTGCCATCCTCCCGCTTACCTGTGGGGAGTCGGCGGGATGAACGAGACACCCATGAGATGGTAGACGACCTCGGGGTCAGGTCCCAGCCGGAGGGGGGTCACCTCCAGACCATCCATCATTGTGATGTGCTGATGTTCCCTGCCGTGGCGCTGGATCGGCGGCAGCGCTTCCAACGTGCGTTTGAACGATCCGAGGTTGGCCCGAAAGTCCGAGTTGCCCATGATCATGTACACTGGGCACCGGCATGTCTGGAGCAGTGGCACCAGCGACGCCTCGAACCATTCCTGCTGCAGCCGGACCGAGTCATTCTTCATCATGTCGCTGAACTCTTTGGATTCTTCCGGCGGCTCATGTGCCTTAGAACGCCCGGTGGTCTCCCGCATCTTCTGGACGACGAGGCCTTTGCGCCGGGGACAAATGTCTCCGCCAAGCAGGAGGGCATCGCTGCCGTGGTTGTTGGCTTCCTCTATGAGCTGTGCATAGTGCTTCAGATTGCCATGCAGATCGGAGCTGAACAGAAGCTGCATCGTTGGGGAGCCGGTGATGGCGGAATCGATGCTGGTGTTGATGTTGATGTTGATGTTGAGGCTGATGTTGATGTTGATGTTGAGGCTGATGTTGTTGTGGTCGCTGCTGGCTGTCGTGGCAGAACCGGTCGGCACTGACTTGTTCGCTGGAGCTGTCGGCGTTGACCTGGTTGCCAAGTTGCCTCTGCTGGCGGGGCTCGTCGCTGTCTCGGCTTTTGAATCGAAGGATCGGCAAGCCGGTGGCGCGGCAAGGCAGACACACGTGATCGTCGGTAACAGCGGCCGGTACATCGTGGCCGGTATCAGCGTTTCCCACGCAGTCGGCCGCACTGAACACCATTGCACACTCCCCAAGCAGAGCGAGGACGGGCGGATCGGAGTGAGGGAGCAAAGGAAGAGCACACGGGAGGTAGGCGGTCAGACAGCGGGGAGAAGCAATGCATTGAATCATTCGTGTTCCTGGGAAGGTGGTTATGGAGGGACATGAGACCGTCTCGCCCGAGCGAAACACAGCACAGAGCCAGGTCAAAGTCGGTGCGGGATCTGGATATGGAGGAAAGAGAAGGCAAGGGGGGTGACACGCGGCAAAAGTATGGAGGACGTGGGAAAGCGACGAAGGAAGAAGAAGATGAAGAAGAAGGAGAAAGAGCACGATTGTTGAAAGAAGAGCAGGACAGCGAGAGATCGGGATGGAGATGAGTAGATAGAACAACGGGGGAGAAAGAGTCGCCAGAGAGACCTGTTGGCTCCAAACTGGCCAGACACAAAGAAGCAGACAATCTTGCGATGGTGGCACAGGGAATCGGATGCCTCGGGACGCCAACGGGCCAGGCGACGGTATTCAACTGCACAATGACTATCCAGCCAGCAACAGCAAGTCCGCCTGCCCTGGCAGCCACACGTTTCATAGCGCTATCCTCTAGAGCTGTAGATATTGGATTGCACCCGCACTGCCTCGGCAGAGTCTCAAAACACGATCACGTCCAGCCGATAGATACCCCCCCTTCCCTCTTCTTCGCCACGGCCAACGGCATCGATGCCAGTGCGGTGCCGATTGTACGAGAGACTGATCCGCATGCATCCGTGCGTGTGGGCGTGCGTGCGAGCGTGGGCATTGGTTCCCTCAAAAGTCTCTGAACTTGTCTCGGTAAGGGTCGGGGCAGATGATGCCATATGGCTCGTGGTCCTCCGGATAGGCATCAAAGTTGCTTGTGTCGCCTTCGCCTCGGCTGGGCGGAACGTACGGGGCCGGGATCTGCAAGGTCCGGAGCTTCTGCCAGTCCAGGCCCGAGAACCACTTGTGCTTCTTGATGTCGCCCGATCCGCCCTTGAGGTTGCCATATCGCTTGGTCAGATCGGATGTCAGCAGGCGCTTGACCAGGTCTTTGGCGTTGGGATCAAAGTGAGCCGGGAACTTTGGCTTGCATGCCAGGATCTTTTCGTAGAGCTTGAAGTGGTCCTCATCATAAAAGGGTGGATGGCCGGCCAGCATCTGCCGATATTCGGCACAAGACAGACATGCACAAATACAGAGAATGACAATGGCAAGGGATGGTGCGTCAGCGCAGGTTGGGCATTTGATCAAAGTACTTGTAGCCTTGCTCGACGAGCAAAGTCAATCATCGATCAAGACCCCACTGCCACGGCCCCCGCTCTGTTGAGACATCATCAGTGCGATCCATCACCTCATATATCAGGACACCAAGTGCCCACCAATCGACGGCTCGGCCATAGCCCTTGGACTGGATGATCTCGGGAGCGAGGTAGTCAGGAGTTCCGCACAGCGTCCAAGTCACATCCGGCACCACCTTTGCGAATCCAAAGTCTGTGATTTTGATGTGTCCTTGGGCGTCGATCAGCAGATTCTGTCCGCAAGAGCAGAACGGTCAGGGCAGAGCTCACTGATCTTCCCCCAAAGGGCCAACCGATGCAACATCGGCCTCGCTCCAGCTGGTAAAGCAGCGGTGTACTCAGCCATGGCTCATGATTCCATGCTGGGCCAGCGCAGGGCCATTGCTGCAGTCCTTGCAGAGTCGATGCAGAGCCAGTATCGGACCAACACAGGACCAGCCACCACGCAGCACCAACTGACCTCGGGCTTCAAGTCGCGGTAGATGATGTCGCGCTCGTGGAGATACTCAAAAGCAGAAATGACCTCGGCGCCATAGAATCGCGCTACCAGGTTGGGGAACCGCTAGATGTACCCAGGCATGGATTTGCATATGCACAAGTGTCTGTCAGTTTGGGCTGCAGTATCCTGAGCTAGGGAGAGCCAGCGTCTCGAGCGAGGACGAGCCAGCGTCCGCATACACAAGGACTGTCTAGTCTCACATCTATCCTGCAACTGCACCGGTGCAAGCACAAGAAAATGTCTGAGCACGGCGCCGCACAGCGCTTGTCGGCGCAGCGGCTCTGTTCGTCCATAGCGACTTACCCCGCAGCGTCGCAGATACGTGAACAACTCTCCGCCTTGGACGTACTCCAGTACAAAGTACAGATTGGCACAGTCCTGGAAGGTTCCCAGGAGCGAGACCAGAAAGGGAAAGTCCAGCTGCTCGAGGATGCTTTTCTCGTTCACGGTGTGCTCGACTTGCTTCATCTTGACGATCTCGGTCTTCTTCAGCACCTTCATGGCATAGAATTTGCCCGTGGCCTTCAGGCGGACCAAGTGGACGCGTCCAAATGAGCCCGTGCCCAGAGTGCGGTCGATGATGAGATCGTTGATGCCGATCTTGATCTTGGGCTTGGGAACCGCAACGGGCGGCGATGTGGCCCCGGCAGCCTGAGCAGCGCCGCTGCCGGATTGCGATTGAGACTCGGGCGACTCGACCCTGGTCTGTGATACGGCGCGTGGGATGGTGGTGGCCGGAGGGGTCTGTCCCAAGTTTGAAGGGACATTCGGAGAGCTTGCTACGGACTGAGGCGCCGATGTGGGGGTGAGGGCCGCACCAGCGCTTGCGGAGGGCGCCACGGCCAGCTTTTGCGACGGGGCAGATGAGGAAGACTGGTGGCCGTGTGGTGTCGCAGGCGAGTCGACCTTGGGACTATCGGTTTTGGAGGCGCTGGTGGGGGTCGACGACTCCTTTGTGGACAGGGGTGCGACCGAATTGGACGTGCCCTTGAAGACCTGGTTCCCTTTAGATGCCGTCTTTTTGATTTTATCGAGGAGCGACATGGTGCAGTGGTGAGAGCAGAAAGAAAGGGAGGAGTAGTTTCGGTTCTAACTCTGGCTCTGGCTCTGGTTCTGGGCTTGGTCCTCGCTCTGGTTCTAGTTTTTGGTTCTGGTTTTTGGGAAGGACCGATGTTCCGACCAAGCAGTGGGTCTATGCCAACAAATCAGCAGCAGTACACAGTGTCGTTGGTTAGGGCTGATGCGTGTGAGTCGTCAGAGTGCCGGCTGGATAGATAGCAACTCACTCCAGTGTAGAGGCAAAAAACCAGCCTGCCCTAACCTGCAGAGTACTGAAGACGCGTTTCCACTCGGCCTGGGTGTTGGATAGAGCAACTCAGACGGCGACGACGAAGGAAGAGGGGCAAAGGAGACAAATTAATGGCGGCAGATGGGAGGGATGCTTGCTGCGGATGGCGACTGCCGGAGTGGAGTGGAAAGAGAGTGTGGGTGGAGTGTGGGAAGGATGGGTGCGCTCACGAGAGCAAGTAAAGACGAAGTAAAGACGAAGCGGACGCAGACGAGGAACCACAGAGCGACGGGCTCGGAGAACAAGCAGGCCAGCGAGACGGCGAGACGGCAGAGAATGCTTTGATTCTGGGAGAGGGGAGGACGCACAGTGCGGAAGATTGCATCTGCCGGGGTGGTCTCTGCAGCATCTCGCTGCTCGCTGCTCGCACGGTCGCTTGCCCGGCTCGCTTCCAAGCAGCGCCCAATCGGGCAGCAAAAGGATGGAAAATCGCACAAACGGGGCGAGGTCCGGTCTGCCCGAGGCGCTGATTGGGACGGCCATTGTCGCTGCCGAGCCGGATTGATTGGGACAAAGAAAGCGGCGCTGGCGGCATATGTGCGGGGTGATGGTGTTAATTGGGTGTTAGTAGGATGATGTTAGCTGGATGATGGTGTTAGCTGGATGATGTTAGCTGGATGATGTTGGTTGGATGATGCTGTTAGTTGGATGATGTTCGTTGGTTGGATGATGTTGGTTGGTGTTCGTTGGTGTTGTCGATGAGCGTTAGTCCATGATCGAGCGAGTGCAATGGACAATACATATTGAGCCGCTGATAGTTACGCAGTTCACCGTGTCTCCGTCGCAGTCGAGACAGTCTATCCTTAATCTTTCAAAAGTAACATCCCATCTGAGCCATATCGTCAGAGCAGTTCGTCCCCGTCCTCCGTCTGTCTCTCGACCGCAAGCCATGGCGTCCGCGCCGGCCGCTTTCTGTCGCCACCAACCCACCGCCCTCGCTCTCCACCCGCCCCTCTTCGCTGCCTCCCTGCTGGCCGGCTCTGCCTCCCATCTGTCGTTTGCTCCGGCCCATGCAATGAGTTTCTTTGACCAACTTCGCCAGACCCTGGCGGGCTCGATCGGCCTGCCGGTCGCCCAGCAGAACCTGCAGAACCACCCGTCGCTGCACTTCCACTCGGCTCCTCTCACTCGTCTCGGGCTTCCCAAGGACGCCCGCCCCCTGGCGCTGTGCTTTGACCCCATCCAGTCGCTGCTCTCCGTGGCTCTGTCGAGCGGCCAGGTTCATGTCGTAGGAGCCAAAGGCATCGAGTCCTTTATCAACATTAATGCCGCCCATTCGGCATCAGCCGTCCAGGCCAGCCCGGCTCTCGAGCCGATTCCCGTCAGGAGTAACACCGTCCAGCTGCTGCAGCATCGGCTTGGCGACAAGTTCCTGGTCCTGACCGACACCGACAACGCCGTCTATGCTGTGGACTTCGTTACATCCGCTCTAGGCCCCTCGGTTCGTTTAGCCGAGACCATCTCCTGCATCTGCACCCCGGCGCTCTCCAAGTTTGTCTTTGTCGGCACCGCCAAGGGCTCCGTCCAAGCCATCGACACAAAGCGGGGCGAACTTTCGCCCTTCTCAATCCCACTGCCCCAGGGCGACGACCTCAGCCCATCCGCTGTCGTCGCGCTCGAGTGCAATCCATCCGATTCCAACATCCTCCTTGTCGCATACCAGAATGGCTTCATCGTGCTGTGGGATCTGGAGCAAAACAAGCCGTGGAAGCAGTTCAACGTCAACTCCAAGGCCGTTGGTCTCTCCCTGGACGGGCCCGGTGCCTCCTCTTCGGCGCCGCGGCTCACTGCAGCTGCATGGCGGCCCGATGGACAGCAGTTTGCGGTCGTCTGGAGCGGGCTCCTGGTTTTCTGGAACATCAAGGACGGCTGGTTCGACGGCATCGCCGAGAAGAAGCCCTCCTGGGTCACCAATGCACAGTTCTCCGAGAAGCTTCCCAAGGCCGGCGGCGGCGGGTCTTTGCCCTCTGAGACCATCGACGGCCTGGTCTGGTCGCCGGTTGATCCGGACAACAGCTTGCTGGTCTTTGGCCACCGCGGCCACCTCACGGCCGTTGCAGTCTCGCACACGGCCAAGGACTCTCCAAAGAGCCCCGCCAAAATCCACGTCGTTCCGCTCGAGCGACAGGATCGAATCAAGGACTTTGTCGTTGTGCCTCCATCGGCGACCGGTCCAACTGCGGCAGCCGTGGTCCTCTTCGGCTCGGGCCAGATTGCGGCGTATAGCCTGGAGCCGCCGTTCCGGACCCTGGAAATTTCTCCCTCGCTGTCGCTGGCTGCCTCGACCGACCAGGGATTGGATATTTCCTTCTCCGAGGCTCCTGACACCCTCGTCTACGACCTGCGACTGGCCCCACCTGCAACAGATCCGCCCCTGGGTCTCGGGGGCGGTCGACATGTCCCTCTATCCACGGCCCAGAACTGGGACGTTGTCTCGATCATCGACCACCAGGGTCTTTTGTGGTTCTGGCACGCCTGTGCACCGACCCCCAAGCCGCTCTCGGTTTTCGACGTCTCGCCGTACTTGCCCGCCAACGAAACCGGCTTTCGTGTGGCTCTGGACATGGGCATGCAAATCTGCACGGTGGTCTCGGGCGAACATGTCCTGGTGCTCAAGTTCCTGTCGTCGCGGGATATCAAGCGAATCACATCACCGGATGCCCAAGTCGACGACCTCGACATGGGTGCCATCATGAGCGCCATGGATGACGCTGTTGACCAGGCCATCGCCATGCACGCCGGTGACGATTTCGACCCTGAGCCTGAGCCCGGCAGCGCCGGTGTGCCGAGCCAGGGGCCTGGTCGGTCGCACTCGATCCACTCTGATGACGATATTCGCGCCATTGCTGCCGATGACGGCGAGGAAGCCTCCGCAGAGGACATCGACGCCAAGGAGGCGGCCCTGTGGGATGTCGGTGCCCCGCCACTACCACCCAAGGACTCGCCTCCCGAGAGCGTCAGCGTTCATCTGGATTATCCCATGAAGACCTCGGCGCCCGGATGGAACCCATTCATCCGCATCTCGCACAACGACGGACAGAACGTTTGCTCTGACTTTAGTCCCGTAGTCCGGCTGTAAGTTGCTGTTCCCACCGCCGCTGATCGACCGCTCGCGACCGTTAATCGACCGTTGGCACGACCGTCCATCGAGCGCTCCTGTCGTCACTTGTTTGCCCGTGCTTTTCCACTTGCAGTCGAGCCGTCATTGTCAGGATCACGATCGTTTGCTCATCGCCATGTCGGCTGCACTCCCTCTGTCCAGATCCGCTGTCGCATCCACCTCTGGCGTCCTGACAATCTTGAACGTCGTCGACGGCAGCATTCTGTATTCCGACTTTGTGCTATGTAAGTCTCGCGCACTTCATTTAGTTGCTATGTTGACATGACGGAAGAGCATTGGCGACTTTTGCCAACGCTGCATCGTATTCCCCCCCCCTCTCTCCAGTCTCAGCGACATCGGAGCCGTCCTCTCCCACAGGCCTGCTGCAGCAAGAGGCCGGAGCACCGTTGCAGATCAAGATCCTCCATTTCGCCGACGCCTGCTGTCCCAACGGTATGTCGCTAGTGCTGATGCTGACATCTGCACGAGAGGCGATCACACCCGAGACAGGCTCTTGAATATGACTATGTGTCTGGCTGTGGCGCCACCGAGCTGCCATGGGCTCCGGCTCGACGTTATTGAACCTCTAATCGTAATTGTGCATCCCCATCCCCATCTCCATCTCCATCTCCATCTCCATCTCCATCTCCATCTCCATCTCCATCTCCATCTCCATCTCCATCTCCATCTCCATCTCCATCTCCATCTCCATCTCCATCTCCATCTCCATCTCCATCTGCATCGCAGAACCCGAGCCGCGCCCCTGTCTGTTTGTGGGCATGCAAGACGGCATCCTTGTGCAATATGGCATCTATCAAGACGCGGAGGACGGCACTATTACTTTTGGCAAATGTAAGACTGATCTCGAATGCGAGTTTGCTTTATCTCCAACGCATCGAGCCTTGCTACGAGTTCTCAGTTGTCCAGATGGAATCCCCCTCCTCTGATGAGTGCGTGTCGCCCTTGCCTCAGTCTTTAACACGCCTTTTGCTTTGCTTTGCAGTTGTCATCTATGCACCCAGGAAGAGTGCGGGTGATCCGCTGCTGATCAAGCTCCTCGACGGAAACGGCAACATTCGCTCGTGCCACACGCCACTCGACAAAGTTGGGAACGGCGCCCAGGCAGCCACGAACCCAGAGGAACTGGAGCGATACATCATTTTCGCGACCACGGATGGGATCCGGGTGATCCTAAGCGAACCGCGAAGAGCCCCGCAAAAGATCAGCTCGGTCAACCTCGAAGCAAGAGCCGGACAGAGGGCTCAACAGCCGTCGCTGATCAAGGCCGCGATTGGCAAGTGCGACGAATCGATTTGCCTCGTGGGCATAGTGCCCTCGGGCGATCTTCGTTTCTGGGAGCTTCCTCAGGCAAACGAAATATGGCAGGTCCAAACAGCCGCAATCAACCTCGGCTTTGATTACGAAAGGTAGGCGGCTGTGGCACAGGGCGGTATCTATATCTATATCTGTATCTGTATCTGTATCTGTATCTGTATCTGTATCTGTATCTGTATCTGTATCTGTATCTGTATCTGTATCTGTATCTGTATCGACAGAGTGCCGGCGCTCTCCTTTGCACTTGGCTGCTAGCGTTCACACTCCCTCACCTCTGCTTGCTGCCAGGTCATCCGTCCACGTTACCAAAGACAGCCGCCTGGTCCTCACCGACCCATACCAGGTGGCAGCATTTGCGCTACTTCAAGACACAAGCAGGTAGGTTGAATGTGACTGTGACTGTAGCTGTGACTCTGTCTGTGCCAGATGCTTCTCATATCGATACAAGCTGGGGTAGGGTGCCGTTGTGGTCATCTCGTTGACTGATACAACTGTACTCTGGGACCCAGATTTGCCAGCCAAGAAACCAAACTCTTCGATCAGGTCAAGTACTCGCAGTGGTCGCGGGACCGAACAGCCAAGGCGACCCTCGAAAACAACGCTCATCGTGAGTATGCCTGTTGCAAACCACCCTGAGAGCCCGCGGACAGATCTCCGCGACTGGCCTGGTGTCCGTTTCGTTGTATTTGGCCAGAAGCCGACTAATATGGCATGGCCACACCTGCTGTACACCAGTTGTGAAGCCTGCTGCACCTTCAACGCCTCCAAAGTCTGCCGACGGTAGCTCCAGCGCCTTCTCAGAGGCACAGCTCAAGCTGAACGAGCGCGGCGAAAAGCTGGAGCAGCTGGAGCAAAAGTTTGGCGAGCTCTCGAATGCGTCAAAGTCGTTTGCAGACACTGTCCGAGAGTATAACGAGAAGCAAGCCAAGAAGAAGTGGTGGGAGTTTTAGGCCCCCCACTTCCTCCTTGAGGACGAGCGAGGAAGCTGGACGATGGGATGGCAGGATGCCCGCTCTGCCTTGGTTGTCAGTGACAGTCCTCACAAAAATGAAACGGGACTATGGTTTTCTTTCGATTGTAACTTGTTTTGGGTCGGAATACATCCACAATCACCACCCATCTCGGCGGAAGCAAGGCAAGAGCCATGCAACTTGTTCAACTCGACAATCATGACGCCGCGAAGCCGCATGGGGTTGTCCAGAGGGTCGAATGCATGCATCAACTCCCCCTCCCACACACACTGTGATATCAAGGCCTCTGCAACGTGAGTTCAGTCTGTCATCGCCAAGAGACCGATCAGCTGTATTCAAGAGTGCGCACCCCCAAACCAACCGAAACCCACGACACAGCCACGATTGTCAATCAAGACGGAAACAGTCGTCGGGCCTGTGGCTGTCCCACTGAGAAAGTGGTTGTGATGAGTGTATTGTCGATCTTGCTTGGAATCAGAACGGCAGCTCAGGGCAATATGGAACGATGGCCGGTTCCGGCGGTGACGGCCGCGGGCGACTATGACTACAGAAGGATGCAAAGTTGTGAGTGCTGTCAGTCTCCTCCCACATGATGGCAGACTTCAGCTCGGGCACGCCAGCGGCGGTTCGTTCGTGATGGTGACGGTGATGATGGAGCCATCGACCGCCAGAGCCGTGGTCGCAACCGAGATCACGCTGCTGATCTCGCCACAGTTTTTCCACACAGCCGGGCCGGTGATGGAGACACGGACGCCGCTGGGATAGTGTACCCTGATACCGAGTGGGTCGTAGCAAGGCAGAAGACGAGGCGGCGATGTGAGGAGGGAGAGAGGGAGCAAGATCGGCGCTGTTGGTATGCAGCACAGAGCCTTCATCTACCCACATCGCATTCCAGCGAGCAATCAGACAGCACTGGCAAGCCATTCCGACGCAGCAACACCAAGCCAATTTCGATCTGCAAGCACCAGAGAACAAGATCACTCACGCGCGCTGGACCTGGATCAGCGTCAGCTGGCCCACGCTCTGGGATCGCGCAGCATAGGTCATTGTGAACTGGGCATCCGAGCGCCGAAAGTTGAAGGAGATCAGATTGCCTGCCGTTGCGGATGGATAGGTCCGCGAGAGCTCCGACACAGTTCGAGGATGCAGCAGCCCCGTTGTGTCGTTAAAGAACGAGTCGCCGAATCCAGTGATGGGCACGAGCCGTTTGTACTCCCACCTGGAAGAAGACGAAAACCAAGCCGGTCGATGCAAACTGAGACGTTAGATCGGCGTCGCTGGGCAGGGAACCCAGCGGCCACCGCTTATGTCGTTTCTGCTGGCCATTCTGCGCTGATGCTTCTGCTGTTTCTGATGTGAATGACATGTCCCCTACGCCTAGTCTCAGTGGCACCGCTCCGAACAGACCACATACCCCAGCCAGCTCTGCAGGCCAGCATCGGCGTGATCCAGCAGCTGAGGCAAGCCGATATTGGCCTTGGCAATGTCAAACTCGGTCATCATGAGGCCACAATTGAGTCGAGCGGCATCGGCAAGCCTCTTTTGAATGTGCACATCGAGAGTGAATCGGTTGGGCATCGGGTGATAGTAGTGGTAGCTGATGATGGACCGATTTCCGTATGCAAAGCCGCCTGTTGGAAGCGAGTATGTCGGTCGGGGAAGCGTCCCAGTGCATCCTTCTCCACAGCCCAGCGGAATCGCAAGGCTCGACATGCCTCATCCGTCCCCCTGTCCGACTGACATTCCTCTCCCCCTCATCCGGCGCACCCACACTCGGATCCTGGTGCGTGCGCCCATACCAGGAGGCTGTGTGAAGCCATTGTAGTTGTTGTCCGTCGTAGGACTCTCAAAGAATATAAACTTTTCCGTGTCGACACTCCGGATGGCCCTGTGGATCTTTTCGTATAGCGGCTGGAGGTTGTAGCGTGCCGAAAAGCCCTCAATCGCGAGCACCAATGGATTGCCCCATAAATCGCCGGCAAATGGCTCTGGATGCAACAATTCAGCAAGGAGTGCACTGTCCCTCGTCAGTACCAAAGAATGGGGGCGATGGAATGCGGACAGCGATATGCCAGCAAAGCAGACCATATCCTCGCTTGAATCGCAGAAACATCGCTTCTGCTCTGATCCCTGAGGCAAGCCTCTGTCCGGCCAGCTCTGTGACAAGACCGTTCTCACCATTCAGGAGGTCGTATCCGATAACGTTTGTGTAGTTTTTGAACTCGGATGCAACCTTCTTCCAAAACGCTGCCAGGGCGTCCGCATATCCGTTCTTGTTGTCGTAGAGATTCTGGTATGCCTTGGCCGCCGCGGGTGTGAGCTGGTAGTTGGGCCACGGATGGCTCTTGCATTCCTTCAAGGTCGGGATGGGATCGCTCCAAGGGCCCCACTGGAGCGGCATCGGGAAGGGCGGTGGCTGTACGAGCCCGCTTGACGAAGTGTCCGTCGCCCAGCCGGGCAGTCCTTCGCCGCAGATCTTTTCCGACAAAATGTCCTGATGGAGATCCAGCAACACATAGATGCCCTAACGAAAGCACTTGTGTGAGAAATAGGCGCCAGTACTCTTGGTGCTTGGGACAGAGGGACCGGTAGGGGCGACGCCAAGCACACTTCGGTCGCTCAGATACATAATCGAGAGAATCGGGTCGAAGTAGGTGGTGGAAGGGCTGTTTGCTTCTATGACTCCCTCGCCAGACGCTGATTCTCCACGGCTCAGGACTTACGTATCGAGCACACATCTCGACAATGCCCTTGACAGTATCGATGTACGACTGGTTGTAGCTGCCTTGATCTGGCTCCACACCGGACCACATTATCGCTGCGAAACAAGGGAGAAAATCGTCAATATGGCGATGGGGAACGGACAAAACTGGCACCGTTGGTAAAGCTGATGCGCTCAATGGCATGCCGAGCAGCATGCCTGGGCGTGTGTCTGCGGGTATCGAGCAGTGCATACCGAGGCGTATGATGTTGAGATTCACGTCTGCCAGGAAGTGGGCATCGTCTTCGGTGAAGGAATCGGTGGCATTCCAGGCATCCAGCCGCGGATAGTATGGAAAGGCTGTTGAGAGCAAGGGTCGGATGCTCAGAGTGAGTGGAAATTGCCACAAACAGCGGAGGATCGCAACAAGCGACCGAGAGGGTCCTTGGGGGAGAAGGATCCTGGTCATTGAAGGGGATAGGTTGCTCTTACCCTTGTAAACGACATTGACACCCCGAAACAGCCGCTGTCGATTCATCGAATCCAGGATGAGCTTTTGCGGCCCGACCCGGACCAAGGGATCGATGGCGCTTGCGTTGAAACCCGAAAATGTCCAAATGAGCTCGGTGGACTGATTCTGATAGTTGGGACTGACGGTCGAAGCCTGGCGGGTTGCGTTGGAGGTGAGCCACGACAGCCAGGTGCCGTTGGTCCCAAAGTCATTGTAATTGGGCGGACTGGCGAGTGCCGCTGGAAGTAAACCGAGAAGAGCCAGCACACACATTGGGGGCCTGGAGAAGTGCATGGCGCAGGACGACCGATGAGCCGAGACTCGAATGGCGGCAGCTGTGAAATCGGTCGAGAGCAGGAGCAGTGCGGCAGCCCATCAACACCACCCAGTAATCCGGCTGGGAATATGAGCTCTGTTCAAACGACTGCTCCAATCAGCGGTCACAATGGACATACACTTTATTCAGAAAAAAACGGGACAATATAGCCGTTTCCATGAACATGTAGTATGTGCTGTGCTTGCGTCAAGCAAAGCCACAAGAAATAAAACAGATCACTTTGGCAGCCTCCGAGTGAAGACCGCCGGTCGCTCTCCGGTCTCCACAATCGACCTGCACACTTTGATCATGTTGCGCGCCGCATTGACGTCGCGATTCCACACTGTCCGGCGAATGGTCATGGCCAGCGCGCGATAACATTGGGTAACAAAATATTCGATGAATGGTCAAAAACCCGGTGTCCCGTTTTTTATTGGATTGCCTATAAGGAATCCGTAGGCAGCCGCGATCCAGCAGAGCCAGCGAGTGCTCCGAAATGCCATTCGAAATTTCAAGCGATGTTCGATGATCTCGAAAGCGATTGTGTGATAACCGGCGTGAGACGCTGAAGAATGGAAGTGATATTGGCTCCACTCCTGCGACTTCAAACTACTCTTGCCGATCAGGGGCGAATGCCATCCAGTTTGAGAATGCACGAATCCTGGACCAGGGGCGAAGCCATCCCCAACGACCCATGCCGCAGACGCTCGATGGAGTGGTTATGCGCCTGTCCAGACAAGTTCTCGATCGACCCGCAGAGTGCCATTGCACTGCTCCAGCACCGAGGGCACTGTATTGGCTGGTCACTCGAAAACAGGCTTCTGGCTGAAATCCATCTCTTCCCACTCGTCTGCCCAGTTCAGATGCTCGGTTGCCGGCAGCGGTTCGTCGGCCTCGTCGTCGTCCGGGCATGCTTTCTGGAGGTCGACACCGGAAGAAGAGTGTCCCGAACGAGCACTTGTTCCGTGGATCCGAGACTCTCCCGTTGCCTGTGGCCCACCATCACACTCCTCCCATGCATGCGCAAGTACTGTCCTTGACGTTTTCGTGGGATTGGGGTCGCTCCTGTCTCCATCGCCGAGCTGCCTTTGCGGGGAGCGCTGCTTGCGTCTCCAGTAAGCCTGTTCTCGTTCGATAGGCCGTGCTCTGGGTCCCCGCTGCGACGATGGGGCATCGCTGTGCTTGGGCGAGTGCTCCGACCCAACGGCAAGGCTGTGCGGAGCATCCGTTCGTGTGATTGTGATGCATATTCGGGTGGGATCGCCCCGCTGTGCCTCGACTCTGCGCTGGGACGTTGGCGATGCCGAGTACTGGCTCATGGCAGGCTTGTCTGGGCTGTGAGGACGATGGTGGGCCGTGCTGGGTTGGCTCGTTGGTGACGCAGATCGAGGCAGGGCTTGTGCATACGGAGGATCGGACTCGGACCATCGGACGGTTTTCTTTGCTTTTGGGCTATGTGCATAGCGACTGCTGGCATCGGGGCTGCGAGCCGGGTTGGTGAGGAGATCGTTGGTGCTGGTGAGGAGATCGCTGGGATGGTAGAGATCCGAGTTGTGCGCATCGTGATCCCAGCGATCCCTTTCGTTTCGACTGGCAGCTCCGACGATGGATCGGGAGCCGCTGGGACTGGGAATCGCTTGCACTCGTGATACCCGGTCTGGAGATGGCCACTGCAAATCCGAGCGCTGGTCGTCGTGCGGATGGCGGCGGCCGTCGATGGAGTGACCGGCTTGGTCGTCGTAGGAACGAGAATGGCGATCGTCGTGACGGATGTAATGCTGTGGGCGGGTCCGTCGGGGGCTGTCCAGCGATCCCGACAGCCGATGCGGCTCGTGGTGGTGCCGTAGTGCTCCGGAGTGGTCGGCGAGTATATCATCGTTCAAGTCCGAGTTGATGGGGTCGCTGCGATGGCCAGAGCGATTGCGATATCCGTTGGTGATGCGGCCATCGATATCATAGTCTGGGCTGGCGTGGTGAGGGTCGTGGCGACTGGAGCGGTGGTGGTGCTTGCTCTCTCGATGATGCTGGTCGTCTGCATGGCCATGGTCGTCAATGTACTGTCCTCGAGAGCCGGAGCGAGTGCTGTGTCCACTGTTCTTGGGACGAGTGTGGCTGCCGATGTCACTGTCATGGCTGCGGTGGTTGCCCGACGAGCCATGGCCATGTTGCTGCGAGGGCTCTCGTCGCAGAGTCGAGTCGGTGCTGGGGGAGTGGATCCAAGGCCGCTCGCTGGCCGGGCGAGGTGGGCTGCACTTGCGATTGTTGATCTGCCGAATTGATTGCTGCGGGTTTGCTGGCGCTCGGGCGGCCTCTCGTTCCCAGGCATGTATGCCGTCCCATTTGCTCTTGCTGTCGGCAGCCATTGGGGTGGCAAGTTGAAGACAGAAGCCCAGTGATCGTGGATCTATAGAGAGATGGACAGCCAAGACCAAAGGGCGCAGGAATCGCCACAATGAGAGGGAATGGTGCGGATGGAGATCCAGAGGATGTGTCCGCAGCGGGGACGATGGATGGGGGCGACAGCGGGCACACAGCAGACTTGGGCTGTGTGGGTGTCGGAGGGACTCGGAATGATGCAGGTGGATGTCAGGGATGAGAGGGGTATTACTGGTGAAGTGGAATCACTCGAGTGATGTAAACGGGGTGTTGGATGGAGCACTTGGCGAACGGCGGCTGCTCTCAAGGCTGGTGGCTCTCGTGGGCGACAGAGGATCGATGGAGCGGCACGACGGATCGCTGCAGCTGGCGGATGGCGATAGAAACGGCTGAGCTCATCATCTGTCGCAGCAGTCGGGGAGGTTGTTGATTTGGGTTGCAGCTGCTGGATCTGGGTTGCGGTCGCCGGATTCTCATTCGAAGCAAACGACGATTTCGACGGCGAGTAGCCATTGGCGGATGTGCAAAACACATTGGCTGTGTGCACAACACAGCACCGCGGCGCTGCAGGCTGGGGCGATCATGTTGCGGCGGTGCTGCCACGGTGATCATGTCGCCGCGATGGTGCAGAGCCGATGTTGTAGTGCTGATGGTGCAGTGCCGATGCTGCAGTGCCGATGCTGCAACGACACCCTGGCGATGTCGATCCGCAACAAGCATTTTGTTCCTCCAGCCGCAGGTCAGGTGGACACGCGCCACACGCGAAACGGCACCTGTGGCGGGTCTGTCTTCCGCGCTCGCCTTTCTCCTGGCTGGAGACGTTTTGCCCTTCGTCCAGGTTGCCTCCCCCTTTGCCTGGCCGTCCGTCGTCTCATCTGGCTGCCCAGGCACCCCGACGCTCGCCATGCCACGTTCCCGGCCATGCGCCCCCGCACTCGCCCCATGTGTCTCGCTCAGGACAGCGCGCACAACCAGCAGCTTCCTGTTGGGGCTGCTCTGTCTCCTGGCGCTCGCGACCCTGAGCCAGGGCCAGAACTTTACCGGCCCAAACTGCTTTACGGCAATCAACAGTTGGAGCTCTGTTCCGTCTCAAATAGATATTGGTGAGTGGGTTATTTTCAAACGAATGCCTGTTGCGTCGTATTCATCATCGAGTTATATGCTCGCATGCAGCCAGGCAGGGAGATGGCTCGGAAGCGCATGCTCGGCAATATCATGCTCATCGAAAACCATGCATATCCGCAGATCAAGGACAATGGAATCCGTTCTCTAGTGGGCTGATAATCACCCTGACGACGTGAGTCGATCGACGACCCAACAGCTGAGCGGGTGTTCAATCCCTAACTCCTTATTCAACATCGCACACTTCTCTTGGAGCAGCCAAGCCCCCCAGTTCCACATTTACACAATTGGAACCATGCTATATGGACAAGTTTCGTTAGAAATCATGGCATCGAGCACGCCTGGAATATGCACGGCTCTGCGACTTGAGAACAGCCAAACTAGGGCAAGCATCTCACTGAACGTATTCTCAGGCGGACTCATCCAGCAGGAGGTTCAAATACCAGGTACTTATGTCAAGTAACTCATCTCCATCATGTGTGAATGAACTCACATCAACTTGAGTATCTGTTCACCACTGACATGATTTATCCACCAGAGCTACAGGTGCATGTCATCTCTCCAAATTTTACGAACCTCCTGTCAGATACAGTATTTTACAACTATAACATCAACTGGATGCCAGGATCGGTGGTATGAAACCAGTGTGCGCTGTAGCTGTCGTACATTGCGATATTCAAGGTATTTATTGACTCCTCGTTTCCCTACGACAGTCTTTTCAAGCCAACAATACTCTGTTAAAAACTATCGAGTTCTCAAGCTTCAATGCAGAAAGCGTTGGTATCCTCTCCCTCAAAATCCTGCATCGATTCATCACTGGCTTCTCATTTATCATCATCATTTTTGTGTATCAACAGAGTTTCAATTCACCAATGCATATCGCAATATCCACGTTCTATCAGTCCTCAAACAGTAGTCGGTATTTTCCCGAGTTCATTCATCCTTGCTATATCCCACAAATATCAGATTATGGAGGTTACTCACTCCGGCTTGTCCCTGTCTTCTCACCAATTGCAGCATCAATTCCGGCTGGTGCCTATTTTGCTGCCATATCAAACTTGACCATATCATGCAACAGCACGGCACAGTCCTCAACCACTTCCAGCGTCACTCCTACGTCGATCGTCACTTCAACCGCTTCCGCACAACCCAAGCCAACAACGACTCCTCCGCCAGTGGTTGACCCTCCTGCCACGAGTCCCGCAGCCATTGCTGTTCCTGTTGTTGTTGTGGTCATCCGTAAGTATGATCCAACACCTTCCCAACTCGCTGCCCTGTCCTCCACCGATCTGTGCCTTCACTGGCTGCATATCGAGTCTGCTCCCACCGCTCACATGCTTCTGCGACTCACTGTGATCCCGAATCAAACTGCCTTGGCCAGTCGTCGCTGCTGGTGTTGGCTTCTACAAGTTCAGAACCCGCCTGGGACTCGACAAGTTTGCTGGTTTGGGCAGACAGAGCGGCTCCGGATCGTCAGAATCAAGATCTGCTCAACCTCGTGCAATCCCACCCATCCAGATGCTTCAGTCCAATCCCTCATCAACAACGGACACATTGCAGAACAGTATCCAAGACCGAGAAATGACTCTGCCTGATCGTGCCGTCCTCAGCGCATCATCCGATCACCCTGCTACTCACAGAGCGGATCAGATTAGTCAAGCCGACATTCCTTTGAGCACACTCGATCCCTCCACCGGCAATCGCCGTGGGTCCATCGCCAAGCTGGGTCTGCCTGATCATTCATTCCACGACTCACAGCCTGACGGCAATGACCACAGTGTGCCGGCATATCCAGAATCTTCACCAAATCTCCTCTCGCGGCGCCATTCAAGCTCAACGCTGCCCCCTCCCTACTACCAGAGCATAACCTATGTGCCTCCACCTGTTCCAGAGATCACTGTCTATGTATCAACCTCGGAGCCAGACTCCAGCGACAATACGAACAACCCGCCCACGACGAATCGCGAGTCCATGCTCTCTGGCACCACCGACTCGGTGCCTCAGAACTGACACATGGATCTCCTTCCTCGAGAGCTTGCAACCTCATCAAGGATGTGACAACATCCACAGCAAGTACAACCCCTTCGCTATGGCCAGCGGCAGCATTTCTATATCAAATGCTCGAATGCTCGGTTTTATCTATGTATCTTGTCAGTACCACCTGAAACCCCTCTGATCAAGTCCCGATGTGACGCCAAGCAAAACTGTCAGCATGACATGGCCATTGCCGCAGCGCGCAGATTGATCGTTCGCTCGCCAAGGCCAATACTGTTGATGCAAAGCTGGGCACCTCATGGAGAGCCACTGACGCAGATGGTTTGATAGCCAGACTGCTTGAACCGCAAATCCCCATGTGCCGCCCCGCAATGCTTGACACCCTACGATTTTCTGAATTCACCACTTTTGCTTTCCTTCTATTGAACCTCCGTTGGCGACCTTTTCTCTTTCACTCTTTATTGGAGTGGCAGTGCCGGAGGAGGTTGCTTGAATCTATGAACAATGCTTTGATTTCCCAAAAGTGCAGCCATCGTCGCACACAAACTCCGATTGCTTCATCGAGGTGATCAGACTGCGTTCCAGCACGGACATACGGAATGGCGGCTCTTCCAACAGGCCGGGGACCCGCGTGAGCTGGCCAGACCTCGCCGTCGTCTGGATCGCTCCACAGGATCGTCACTCCAGGTCCGAGTCGCTGTCCATCGTCAGGATGAGATCGTTCAGCTCCGCAATGTTGTTACTGTGTGCCCGTTTCTTGACTCTTTGCAGATCGCTCTTGAGTGCCCGGAGCTGGGGGAGGGGGAGGGGAAAGGCATGCACATGGACATCTCAGCCAAGCAGCTAATGCCGACTCTGATCAATCGTTACGATCGCTGAGCATTAACGTGCTGCACCACCACCTGAATCGGCACTGCACCACAATGCCTTTCAGCAATCTCACTGACCTCGTGCTCCCCAAACTCCCGTTCGTCGCTCTGCACCGTTTCCTGTAAATCCCTGATGATCGGGGCAGTCTTTGAGCTGAAAGCGCCAGAATCTTAGTATCGCATCCAGCAGAACGACCTGGCAGCTCGTCATTGCGACTTTAGCCGCAATCTGCCTACCTCATGTGGTTCGACAGCGCGATTTCCTTGGTGCGGTCGCGCCGCTCTCGCTCCTTTTCCAGCTGGATGCGGTCAATCGACCGCTCTGCGAAGGCGAGTCGGTCAGCACCAGTCAGCACCAGGCGTCAGCCAGAGTGGATCGAATCGCCAATTCCCTCATCCAAGAGAATGGGCACGCCTCCACTCTCTTGCTCATCCGCCGTCGCTTACGAAGTCGGCGCTTTTCCTCGGCCCAGTCTTTCTCGCGCTCCATCAGCTCATGTAGCTGCTTGACAACGGTCTCGTTCTTGGACTCGAGGTTGTATAGTAGGCCCTGTATCCGCGCGTGGCTCTTCTTCTCGTCGGTGACTTGCGCCAGAAGCTCCTTCTTTGTCACCGAGAGTCGTTCGTTTAAGGCCTCTAGCTCCTCAACTCGTTGGATGTAGCGTTGCGTCTGCGTCTTGGAATCTGTGAGGAGAGCCTCGTAGTGGCTGGCCATCTGAGTCGACTCGTCTTTCCTGTGCGTCAGCGCATCCGTGTGAGCTCCAGACAATCGGATAGGCGACATTGAGGACAGTCGCGAGTTGTAACTGGCATGCCACCCTCCCATCTACTCCATACCATCGCTCGGCCATTCTCCGCTGTTCCGAGAGTAGTTGCTGTAACTCCCGACATGTTCGTGCATGAGCTTCCGTGACGGTTTCCAGCTTGGTCGTCAGGTCGCTCACCTGCCCAACATCACCGACCAGAGTTTGCACCATAGTCAGTCATGGCTCGATCGATCAATCAGTCAGTCATGGCTCGATCGATCAATCAGTCAGTCAGCCCGCCACATGGCAGTGTGCTGCTCGGCTGGTGGCGTGCCTCTCCAGCGCTTCCAAGTCAGCCAACGCCTGGATAAGAAGCGGTGGATTCGCAAGGGCCGCAACGCGCACATACCTGGCTGTCACTTCGCTCGGATATCATTGCCTTGTCGGAATCGTATTTCGCGGTGAGACGGGTGATGGCTTCGTTGGAGAGCTTGAGTGCATGGTCCAAGTCGGATATCTTGGACAGCAGCCTCAGCCTGTCTTCCTGTACATTGGCGTGTGTGAGATTAGTTTAAAGCTGCGTATAAGGGTCTATCTATCCATGTATCGACTGAGCTGTATCAACTCGAAGCCAAGGTCGCTAGCGCGGCTTTCCACAACGATGCTCTGAGATGTGCTGGATGGATTGAATCGGCATGCCTTTGTGTCCTCAAGCTCTCGCTCGGCCTTTCGGAGCCGCTTGTAGCTGTCCTCGCCTTTGGACGAGATTTGTTCCTTCTCCTTCTCAAACCGATTTTGGTCGCGCATGTACTTTTGGTGCAGACTGGTTTGATCAAAGGCGAACGCAGTCAGTTATGCCCATGGTTGCAGCGCAGAGACTAGCAGGGGCCAGTGTGGCCCGGGCATTCGGAGCAAATGAGACCATAGCAAAGGAGGGTCTCCCGGATCTGCACACCTCTCGAGTTTGTGCGCCGCCTCGATTCGTTCGCGTTCGGATGTTCGCAGCCGATGGTTTAGCTCCTCGATGGTGGCGGTGAGTCGGTCGTTTTCGGTCGGGATATGCTTGGTCATCTTCTCGAGCTCGCTCTCGGCCATTCTGTGAGCGCATGTATGTGTGAAACAAGGTCAGTGAGGCCACGGTCACGGATCAAGGTCGAGGCCGTGAGATCATGCTTTTGGACTCTTGTTGTCGATTCGCACTACTCTGGCTCGAAGGTTCTATTCAATCGCAGCAGCCAACATGCGATGGGGAGGGCTGCCTTCTCACATGGGTCCAAGTTACCTTTTTTCTCGGATCGCGCGCTCCGACTGGCTCTAGTACAGAGGTGTCAAAGTCCCGAGATAAGATTGAATGCACTGATGGAGCGACCTATATCGAACAAGGGCGGGATAGAGTGTCTGTCTTACCTGGATCGACGCCAGCTTGGACTCAAGTACGTGGATTTCCTCGGCCCATTTCTTCCTATCCGTTGTGTACTGGCTCCGCAGCCTGCCGATCCGAGCTTAGGTTGTTCAGCCACATGCAGGAACGATCGTCGTCATGCCTCCCCCGCTCCAGCGCCGGCAGTACGTACGTTTCAATATCTTTCGAGGCACGCTCGCGACACTTGGCCGGAATCTCCTGGAGTCGTTGGTTCAGCCGCTCGATCTCGCCCTGGGCCTGTTGTTCGCGCGCCAGGGCCTTGTCTCGATCCAGCAGCGCATCCTCGATCTGATACGTGAAGGGGCAGTTCGGGAGACATTGCAGGCTCGGATATTCAGCCACCACTGGGTTTGTCTCCGATCCAACACTCTTCTACTCGATCTCCCCTTCCTTTCTATCTCTAGGCCATCGGCAGCTGCTTTGCTGAGATCGTACCTTCTCGGTGATGGTCTGGACTCCTTGAAAGTGCTCGAGCTCTTTCTGCTCAGCTGTTTCGAGCTTGAGCTCGAGATTCTTGACGATCTTGCGGAGCTCTGCATGTTCATTTTGAAGCGATGTGTGCTCGCCCATCAGGGTGTCGTACTTGATTTTGGAGTCTGTATCATGGGGGCAGAGTTTGGAGAGCATGGAGAGAATGGAGAGCACGGAGAGCATGAGAGCATGGAGAGCATGGAGAGCGTGGGAGCATGGAGAGCCAATCCATGTTGAGTTTATGACTCTTGTTAGTCAAGAGCCAGATGCCAGCACACCAGAGGCTCACCGATCGCCAGCGGTCAAACCCTGAGTGATTTCGCTGCTCTCCCGCGCTTGCTCACCGTCCAAATCAGCCTCCATGGCCTTCAAGCTATCGATCAGGGAGCGCTCCCGCTGCGCCAGCAGGCCAGACTCGGCAACATGGGCTTGATATCGGCCGGTGATCTCGTCAAGGGCACGCTTCATATCCATTCGCTGCGCACTGGCGGCCTTGATCTCCTGTATCCGCTGCTGCACATTCTCCTTGAGTTCTTGGTTCTCGAGCTGCAATTCTGTGGTTTGGGACTGGGCCAGCTTGAGCTCACGCTCGAGGCGCATGCTGTGGTCGTCCAGATTCTCTATTTCTCTCTGCAGCTCCAGGTTCTGGTCCCGGATCGACGCAAGTTCCTGGCCGGCGACATGAACTGGAAGGCAGACCGACTTAGAAACACCCAGGTTCGCTCAGATTGAGCCCGAAACCCTGCTTCGCCTTCACGGACATTCACACACTCTGCAAGCGGACTGTGCTCGCACCTTCCCGTGCCTGATCGTCCATGTGCTCGCGCAGCTTGTCGAGCTCTCTTTGAGTCGTCCGATTGTGCTCCACGAGTATGTCGTTCTCTCGAATGAGGGTGTCGATGCGCTCGTTCATGTCCTTCCTGCCAGCGGTAAGATGGATCCAGTCTCTCAGCGAACCACAAGAGCACTCGGAGCTTGGCGGAGACAGCTGAGCCCTATCACCGAGGGCGATTCAAAGACTAGAGTAGCGGCCATGCTATGGTGACGACAATGCGAGCTTACCACTCAATGTCGGTGACCTTTGCCCACGAATCCGTCACATGGATGGTGTCGTTCGCCCGAGAGGATCTCTCCCGCTCGCGCTCGAGTCGCTCGGAGATCAAGAGATTCTGTCGCCGCAGGGCCTCGTTTTTGTCCTGCCATTGCTTGATCTCACTCTCGTACTGCGATTGGACGTTTCGGATTTCGCCCTTGGTCTGGTCGAGCACTGAACGCGAGAGCTCCTGTTTTGCAAATGGCCAGGGTCAGGGACAGCAGGACAGGGCAGGGACGGGATGCACTTTGTCGGTGCCTCGTCAGTGTTTGAAAGGAGGGAGAGGGAAGGACACATCTTCAGTCGCACTGGATTCCGATGCATGTGCTTACCTCGGCTGTCAGTAGCTTGCCTTCGAGCTGGCGGATTCGGTCAATGTACATGTCGTGGATGTTGCTGGGATCGGAGTTGCCGTCTCGCTTGTCGCGAAACATGGATGGATCGTGTGTCTGGGTGGTGGTGGCCGACAGATTGTGCACACCACCGCGAACAAGATAGTCAACTTTCGGCAGGACGGAAACGAGGCAGCTGGACGTTCGCTTGGACGATTCCAACAAGCAGATGGCACAAGTGATCTCAAGCTCGCAGCGTCGCAGCCGTCTTGGATGGTGTGTTGCTTGGAAGCTCACCTTGAGATTGCCCTGGGGGCCGTTTACGATGCTGAGGGGCTCGCGATTCATTTCGAGGACTTCAAGCGGCTTGCGCGCTGGGTTCATACCGGCGGAGGCAGAGACGAGATGAGAAACTTGATGGCGCCGACAGCGAGCAGCATGGGCCGTGAGCGACTGCCGACACCAATGGTCTCTCGATACATCAGCGCGCGTTTCCATCGGTGGCTGTTCGCGACTCACTCGTCATGATCGAATGAGGTCGAGATGATGGTGTCCTGTCGATTCAATAAGTGCCGAGGCGGGAGATACGAGCGGCTTTATAGCGACCGAGATGAATGCTGGGCAGAATCTCGCTGGCTAAATCGTGCAGAGAGCACAGAAGGCGTCGTGGGCGGGGTTGAGGGAGAGTTGTGGGAACCAGCAGACCAACACACTGCGCCTGAACAACGGCGGTGTCGGAGCACTTGGATGGTCGCTGGACGGAGATGGGACGGTGTCGATAACCTGCTTCAAGACGAGACTGCAGATCCGATACCGCCTCCGTCGGACCCGCCAAGGCCTTCGGCGCCAAAGTACAGACACACAAGAGGTTCCAAAGAGAAGTGGCAGACCAACGCCGTGGGCAGATTGGCCCCGGTCGCTCCCACAATCAGACGGGCGGGCTGGAGTCGTTTGTCGATGTGGACAGGCGCACCAAGCTCCCCAGCTGCACGATCGACATGGGCACTCGCTTTGGTGGCAGAGTGCGCAAACATGCTCGCTATTTCCCAAGGTTGTCTGAGGCACGCAGCGAGCTGCCCACCAGCGATCGAATGGATGTGTGGAGGGACAATCTTCTCCAGCGAACGTGTGCACTCCGGGAATGGGGGGGCATCGGCAGCGGCGACGATGTAACCACACCGCTCGCCCAGTCGCATCCAACAACATGGATGCACTAACTGCAGCCACCGATCCTGGTGCCTCGAGTTGATCGCGCTGCTTCACGGCATTGCTGTGGGAATGTTTGTGATCCTAGAAGCGATCTGTCGCCGGACCCTCTGTCGATTCTTCATTTCAGATTCTGTATTCAATATGTACACTATTCTATCTCTTCCATAGGCTCCTCGCTGTCAAAGTACGTATCTTCTTCGTCCCGCATCGCCTCGACATGATCGTCCAGCAATGTATCATCGATCGCGTCGTAATCAAACCCAGACTAGTACATACCAAGCGAGTGCCGTCCGTCCATCCGTTCGTCCGCCCGTCGATAGAGCCAGAATGGCACAGTGCAAGCAGAATCGAGGTGGCGTCAGATGCGATCGCAACATCCGAGGCGAAAGCAAGAAGAAAGACATTGCATGACAGCATCGGTACCACTGGCGAGTCGTACATGCCGCATTTCGGCTGCCCTACATACCTCTCGTCCATCGAGAAATCGCTCCTGCATGAGCCGCAGAAACTCACCCCTCTTGTCCAGCCGCTCCTGCTCGGGTAGACTGGGTTCTCCGGATGAATTGCCGTCTGCTTCGCTGTCGCTACCTGGCTCCTTGTCACTGGCATTACGGGGCGCATTTTGGTCTGGTGTCGAGGGGAAACGAGTCGCCCGTGAGTCTTGCAGCTCCCCAGAAGCACATTTGATGCCGTATGCAGTCCCGCATGATGGACAGAACGGCCAGGCTGCATTTGCCGAGGACCACGTGTTGCCCGTACCAGAGCTGCTCCTGGCATCCCTTCTGTCAAGATCGTTGTTATCGCCCGAGTCGCCGTCGTCCGGATCGCTGTCGAACTCTTCAAACTGTTCTTCGAGCCGCTCCCGACTCCTGGCGAGAGCATCGCGATGCCGCTGCTCGTCCATGTCAAAATAGATTCGCTCCACCAAGGTCATGTCCTCCGGAAACGGGGTGTTGAACTTGGCCTTTGATTCGTAGCGTCCTGTGATTGCGTGGATTGTGGACAATTCAGTAATCTCGAACGGATGCGCTTCGTCAGCAGCACAGGATGCTCCCGACATCAGCATCCAGAAGCAAGACGTGCAGTCGACCCCCGGGCAAGAGCAGCGTACCAATGTACTCCTGTAGTCAACGGTTGTCGCACGGCAGACAGTTAGCCAAGATGCTAGAGTGCTCGGTTAGACACACATGCCATGGCACATCGACATGCGACGATGGGAACAGCGGGTATCAACCTCGTAGAGTACAGGCTCTCGCTGTTTCATCTCGGACTCTTCAAAGAGCTCGGCATGCTGGCTGATGTACTGGAGTCTGGAGACGATCACGGCAGCTGAGCATTAGTCCCATGTCCCTCGGAATCACGGATGGTGTGAAGGGCAGGACCGCCGCCGCCTCATCACCCTCGGATCTTTGAGGGGCGTCCGAGCTGAGGCTGCCGAGGTTGCTGTGATATCACCTGCGGTTGTTTTTGGCCTTTCTGGAGAGCGGCTTGGCGGCAGACACAGGTGCCAGAGTGTTGAGGTAGTGGCTGACTTCGTAGTTGTCTGTGCTCGAGCCGAGAGGGGACGGATCAGAAGAATGGATGGACAGATTGCGAGCCGGCGGGGACTTGCAGCACGGACGAACCGGAGAAGATGCGAAACTTGCTGAGCTGTTCCGGGGGGAGGAATTTGCCCCACTTCTCTGTTGGTTGAAACAGCGGCGATCGAGCGGGAGTCAATGGTATGCCCAGCAGCAAGATGCGATCCAGATGGCGGCATGTGCCGGATGGGATGGTCCTACCAAGGAATATGCTTGGATCCCGATTGAGAGTCTGCATCATGGCACACTTGATCTGGTCGGGCGCCGGGTCGGGGTCGTTCGGTCCAAGGGGCTTGAAGAAAAAGTTGCTGGCGGCCATGGCCGAGTCGACAACGCCCGAGGCGACGGTCGAGTCCATGAGTCCGCGGATGGATGGGTGGATGGCTGCGATAGAGTTGGTGAACCGAGCCAAAGTCGACGGCGAAGATCGATGGCGATCTTGATCGTGGGAGAGGAGGACGGGAGCGGCGTGGTCAGCGGATGAACAAGACCACCGATGGCTTTGGACATGACATGAGCGAGACGATCAGACGAACATGCATGCCGATCAACCGCCGATCAACCGCCGATCAACCGCCGATCAACCGCCGGTCGTCGTTGGGCACTGTGGCGCACCGGCCCAAGGCCAAGCACGAGCAAGTCGGTCTTCACCTGCGATTCCCGGCTCTGCGATGGCCCGTTCGATTCGCCTCGGCCTCGCCCTCGTTGGGATCGCCGTTCCGCTGCTGCTGCTCGTCTTCGTCGCCTCTCGCCTCCCTCCCACCACCACATCCACCTCGTCGCCTGGCCTCGACCGCGCCGCCTTCGCTCCATCGCCTGCAATGTCCGTCGCCCCTCTCAAGAGTGTCATCGTCCCGGCCGTCGCCAACCACTCGGCCACGGTCGTCTTCCTGCACGGCCTCGGCGACAGCGGATACGGCTGGTAAGCACCTGGGCAGATCTGCCGCCGGATCCATGCTCGAGCGGGGGGCCAAGGACGCTGTAACGGATCAACGCCGACTCTCCACTGCGATGTTTTCGGCCACGATTCTCACTCTCCTCTTGGCTCTGGCTTCAACAGGCAGCCTCTTGCCCTGGTTCTGGCTCGTCAATTCCCCCATGTCAAATGGGTCCTGCCGAATGCGTAAGAAAGGCTACTGCAAGTCGCTCGGCAACATGGCCCATAGCACCAGTGTTTAGGAGGGAAAGTGTCCATCACCGTGCTGATCCTGTTTCGTCTGCTTGATGAACTCTCCCTTGTGCAGCCCCAACCGGCCGATCTCGATCAACATGGGCATGCGCATGCCTGGATGGTGAGTCTCCGAGCAGTCCTCGATCCTCGCCTGTGAATGAGCCCGTCTCTCATCCTTCTCTTGCCCTTGCCACTGCTGCTGTCCAGGTACGACATCAAAGCCCTTACTCCCGATGGAGAAGAAGATGGCCCGGGCATCAAGCAGAGCGCTGCTGCAAGTATGTAGAGCATCCCGACCCGACTACTGCTCTCTCTCACTCATTATATGCCTCTCTCACACTCTTACACCTCTGCCCTTTGTGACTCAACCGACCCAGTTCGCCAGCTGATCCAGGACGAAATCGACAGCGGCATCCCAGCCTCGCGCATCGTCCTCGGCGGGTTCTCCCAGGGATCGGCCATGAGTCTGTACACGGCCCTCACCACCGACAAGAAGTTTGCGGGTGTGATTGCCCTCAGCGGATACCTGCCGCTCTCGAAGCAGATCCTGGAGGTGAGGGGCAATGGGATGTGTCTCGGTCACTGTCGTTGCTATCGCCACTGGTGTAGCCGCTCGCTCGATCAGCTGCAAAGCATCCAGCCTCGACCTCTGTGGCTCACCCAACCCGATCGGCTGTTTCATCGACGTCAATCTCTCCAGTCTCATAAGGATACCAACAAGGAAACGCCCTTCCTGCTGGGCCATGGTGACGAAGACGACGTCGTTGCCCTCAACTGGGGCAAGATGTCGACTGCGGCCCTCACAAATCTAGGCTTCAAGATTAACTTCAAAGTCTATCGCGGCATGGGTCATTCGACATGCGAGCAAGAGATCCAAGACATTACTCAGTTCCTGAAGAGCGAGTGCAAGTTCTGAGCGCTGAGGGGGGGGGAAATGCGGTTGTGATTTAGTCACCTTCCACTCGGCACAGCAACAAGTTCCCTGATGCACACCACGCCCCGAGCAAATGCCTTTTGAAACAGAGCCAGAAACTCCAGAACCGGTCACCCCACGATACAAATACAATGTGCTTGCGAACTCTGGTGTATATGCTTCTTGTGTCATTGTTGTTCATGCACGGATGTATTCAAGGTTTGGTCTCCAAACCCACTGGAGTGCATGGACTGCCCGCCAAGGCGGCCAACAGATCATCAGGCCTCAGGCCGTGATTGCTGTAGCGAGAACAGGCACTACTCCGTTGGTCTGCATGAGATGCACAGAGGAAGGGCGGTTGTGACAAGCACACAAGTGGGTGCAGAAAGTAGAAGTGGGGAATGTTCAAAATGATCAACAGAAGGTAGCTCAGTACAGAAAGCAAGGAGAGGGAAACGGAGACCAGGCTCGGCAGGCGGCACGAAGCCAGTGGGCCATGAGCAAAACTGTTAGCAACGGGTTCGAGCCCGGTGGTTGACATAGTAGCCCCGGGGGTGAATTGAGGAGAGGGACGTTGAATGGAATGGAGCGGAACTTTGGTCTTGAGGATCGACGAGCACACAGCTGCAAGGGTCGGGAGAGCCGCACTGCTCATCGCTCGCGGCTCATCGTTCCGGCTCACGACTCCTTGGACTCGACGCCGTCGAGGTGGTGGAAAGGGTCGGATTGCGAGTCGGCGCCTGCAAATGCCACGACAGACAAAACAAGTCAGCGATCATGAAGAGGCCCTGCATCATTGCCGCTAATCCGTACCTGTCTGCGCGGCCGAGGCGTTGGCGACGGCCTGGGCCATGTTGCCCATCACTTCGCTCAGGAATCCTTCGACAAGAGTGTTGCGGTTCTCGGCGATGTGAGCGTCGGTCGCGTTGCTGACAGCGGGAGGAGGCGGAGAGGAGGCACCAACAGAGCCCGAGGCGTCGGCGTTGCCAGAAACCGAGGCTCCGTTGCCGGCTCCAATGTTATTCGGAACGCTTTCGCCGTCCAGGACCTGCTTGGACCATGTAATAATGTCGTCGACGGTCACCTCCTGGCGCTTCACAGGGCCCCCACCAACACCAAAGTTGTTCGAGCCCTGATAGCCGTTCTTGGTCCTCCAGTTCTGTCGCTTGTTCTGGAACCAGACCTGGACGGCACGCGGACACATGCCCAGCTGGCGGGCAAGCTCCTGCCGGACATCCGTGGTTGGGAAAAAGTTGCGCTCAAACACCATGTTGAGGATCTGGACGTGCTCGGGAGAGGGTCGCTTGCGCTTGGTTTTGACTTGCGGCATCTGGGTATAGGTCATTGTCATTTCTTTGGACCGCCCGCCCTGGCCATTCGAGCCGGCTCCAGATCGTGGAGACCCTCCAACGCCGTTTTGGGCGACCGAAGCTGTCGCAACAGAGCCATCGAGGGGATTGCCGGTGACGCCAAAGATGTTGCGGAAGGAGTGGAGCTGGGTGGCGTTCAGCGGACCAGACTGGTTGCACGCCGCCATGGCAGCCTTGGGGAGCTCGGCCATGAACGCGGCCATAGTTTGCTGCGAGAGAGATCACAAACGATTGAGAGAGTCAGGATAGTTGACCTGGCCGAGGATTCGCGTGTAAGGTGATCGACAGAAGGGGGCAGTGCTCTCGAGGCTCGAGTGATCGAGCCGAAGGAGAGGTTGCGACCGCCAGTCTGCGACCGCCAATCTGCGTCGGAATGATGCTCACCTGTGGGCTCCACTGGTCGGCCGAGGGCGTGGCATGGTGGCCCATCAGTCCCAGGGTGCTCAGGAAGGACGGAATACTCTGCTGGAAGATGGACGAAATCTGCTGCTGCGACTGCTCGTGCGTCTGCTGCTGGTGCTGGTGCTGGTCGCTTGGGGGGACGGGATCGATCGTGGGCTGCGACTGCTGCAGCTGTGGGAACATCATGTTGGCCAGGGCGCCGATCGAAAGCGACTGAGAGTTCTGGAACTGGTTGTGCAGCTGGAGTTGCTCGGTGGCGATCGCGGCGGCAACGGCCGCGGCCGCGGTGGCCAAGACGGCAGCAGCCGCCTGCTGCTGATGCTGCTGCAACTGGGCCTGCGAGGCGGGTTGCTGGAGTTGGGCCTGCGTGTGATAGAGCTGGGCCATTTGCGCCTGCACTTGGGCAGTGACTTGGGCATGGATATGGGGCGAGAGCTGAGGCAGCAGCGACAGCAGCGAAGGCTGGAGCGGAACAATCCCGCTGTCGGGCAAGACAAGCGAGCCAGTCGAGGCAGCTTGAGAAGAGGCCGACAGCACCCCAGACGAGGAGCCGCCGGCGTTGCTGTTGACGGCGCCGGAGTCTGCGTCGTCGGTCAAGTGCGGTGCCTCGGGAAGGACCAGCGAGGCATGGGGCTGGGCAGTGCTGGTCGAGTGGGAGTCGGGAGGGGTTTCGGGCGGCTGATCGACAGCCAGTCGCTGGCGCTTGGGAAAAGGCTCGTCATCGTCGTCGTCTTGATCGTCTTGATCGATTTCATCCTCTTCGTCCTTGGGATTCTGCCAGAGAAGCAGGCGGGAGGAACAGACCGATGGTGAGTGAGTGGCCATCAGGCGAAGCGGGCAGCGGGACGGAATGGAGGCAGAGACAATTGGTCAAGAGACAATCCTGCGGGGATTGGAGGACGCGGGTGGGGCGGCCAAGATGGCGGTGGACCCAAAGCCGATTGGGCTGGAAGCGGGGGAAAATGGATGACGGAGACGCAGGCCGTCGAGGCGGCAGACCAAGAGCGAGCCGCCAAGCAAACGAGCGAGCCCGCTTTTGCTGACACACCCCACAGCCAGACCTCTGACGCACGGCCAGGCCTGGCTGGATGGGTGAGGGGGTGCCAGCCGACAGCACACCACGGAGGAGGAGATGCCGATAATGCTCCGGAAGGTGCACGCTTGCAGAGGCGACGACGCCGTCGATGCAAGGCTGATGGTGGAGCCAGGCAGAAGAGCCGATGCACCGGCCTCCCACCCGGCAGACAAGAGTCGCCGACAGCTGCACTCTCGCCGACAATTGCCGCCAGCGAGGCAGAGACGCACTCCAAGACAGTCTTCGATCAGCAACTCACCAGGTCGTCCGAGGCGGCGGCAGAGGGGTCGGCAGCAGTGCCCTGCTGGCTGCTCGCGCAGATGGCCAGCAGTTCGAGGAAACGCGCCGGCTCCTTGGCAGCGGAGTCATCGTCGGTCTCGGGCGGGTGGATGTCGTCGTGGTCGATCGGGGCAGCGTCGGCGAGCGGGGCCTTCTGGTCTTGGGACATGGCGATGGGGGTGCACTATGGAATTAATAATTGTTAATGAACGACGGCCAAAAGTCACCCAACGGCGCAAAGGCGACGGCGAAAAAAAAGAAGCCGGCTGCAGCCGGTTCAAGCCGCACACGTGGGTGGCGATGCGGCGCGCGGCGCGCGGCTCGAACCAGAGCGGCTCGAACCGGAGCGGCCCTGGGCATGGGCCAAGTTCCCGCCGACACCATCCCGCCGTCCAGCCTGACAACCAGCCTGACAACCAGCCCGACAGCCAGCCTCCTCACCATCCCGACAACCAGCTTGCCGGCCTCGCCACCATCGTAGGCACACACCCATGCTGCCGTCCGCCAGGGTCAAGGACTTGATATCGCACTTTGACACGCTCTCGGACACCCCCGCCGTCCAAGACGTTGCAAGTGCAGCCGAACACACCCACACCGCCTCAGACGCACCGCTGTCGCAGACAAGCTGCGATAGTCCCAGCGAGCTGCATGTTGAGGCCTCGGCAGTCCCTCTTCAGGGACCCTCCAACTACGCGAGCCACGAGGACTGCATACTATACGAATCGTTTATGGTATGCTTCTGTCTGGCGCGTGGGAACTGCCTCCGATAGGCACCCTCCGCGGTTCTCACTCCCGGCGATTGCACTCCGTGTGCACGTTCAGCATTCACTCATGCTCAACAGTCCAGCCAAGGCCCAGCTTCGGACTCTGTCCAGCGAGAAGCGGCATTGCCTCATCTCGACACACATCCAGACTGTCCTCCTGCGCGACTGCTACGCCAAGAATCTCGCACGACGAGGGGCTCAGCCGAACCATTTTGTCGCTCTGCTGGCTGCAAAGGCCATCGGGCTTAAGGACCTGCAGAAACTCAATGTCTGTCTGCAGAGCGAGCCACCGGAGTGGTACTCGCAGTTCGCCGAGCTCGATGGCTTTCGCAGATTCCATGAATACACCGTCCATCACTTTGCTTTGCCCCGAAGGTAAGCACCCGTCTCGAGCGATGTGCATCCATCCTTGAAGCTACTTCTGCCCGTGGCACTCACAAAATTTATATCTGGGCGCATAATGACCCACTCAGGACGGCCAATCAATGGGGCCAGCATCTTGCCATCGTTTCGATCCTTAAGTCGATCATGACGTTGCAGATCAAGGTGAGTTGCAAGCCCCCTTCCCTGATACGTGCCAATGCAAATTATATCAACCAAGGCAAATCATATCAGTTACTCTGAACCATACGAGTCACTCCGAGCTATACGGCCCTGTGATCCCTCTTATGTCCCTATCGCAACGTTACCGCTGACGATAGAATCGTTTACAGGTTGCCCAGTCGGGCAGCATGCTCAAGATCCAGTCCCACGACGACTGTGTCGATGCGACCAATGCCGCTGTTCAGTCCCTGTTCATGTACCGGCTGCAGCTCGCTCCAGACGTTGCAGTTGAGCCAGTCACGCTCGTCCTGGGCTCTCATAGCATTCCGCCGCTGCAGAACCGCCATCAAGCCATTTCATTTTTGGCCCATCTCATTGAGTCACATCCCAACGGTTGGACGATCGTGCACCTGGCACTCAGCAAGAATCCACACTTTGGCCCGTCGCAGCTGCCCTTGCGGCTGTGGCTCGAAGAGTTTGAAGCGGTCGTGTCCGAGAAGATGAAGCAGTGGAACGGCATCCGTGACTTGTCGAAGCACATCTTTGAGATGCTCGCCGGCGACACGTTCATCTGGGAGCCTATCTGCGCCGCACCAGACTGGAGCCACCTGGAGCCCGACCTCTTGAAGTATATGGTAACGCTTGCTCGAGCCTGATGCCGCTTGGCCTGGCGGGTCCATGGCCAGGTTCGCAGGAGAGTGGGGCGGCGAGTTGATGTAGCTGCCAAAGAATGGATCGAGGGCACAACTGTGGCTCACGGAGCAGCATGCCAGCGATCAAGGGAAACAGGAACCTCGAGCCGTCTGGCTCTGTTCAAAAACTCGTGGCCCACCAGATACTGACACCCGCTCTGAACTATCAGCTCGCTTGTCTGCGTCTCATCAAAACAATCGTCAGTCATGCTCCAGGCCACACCAGCCAAGACAGAAATCAGGTCCGCGAGATCTTGGAGGCGCATCGCAAGAAACAAATCTTTGAGGTCCGTCGCTGTCACACGCATTGCCGCCGCTGGCTTCATCGGTTCGCGACCGACGCTGACTGCGTCTTTACTTTTGGTCATAACAGAAGCTGAGTCTTTGCCCCGAGCAGTCGGTTCGCGATTTGCTCGAGTCCATCATCCTCGCCGAGCAGGCGGACCAGTACCCGCACGTCCAGATGCTCACGAGCCCCACGATCCGCACGAGAATGCGCTTCCAGAACGGCTGATTCCTGCCCCTTCAAATACAAAAGCTACACTGTATCCAGAGGGAAATGGGACAACACAGCCGTTTCCATGAACATGTAGTATGCGATGGCATGTGTCTAACTATGCCATAAGAAATATAACAGATCACTTTGGCAGCCTCCGAGTGAAGACCACCGGTCGCAGTACAGCGATGCGGAAATCGAGGGTGCTGTGCTTGGCCATGATTGCAATGAGTGGGTGGGTGTATTCAGGTTCCAGAAAAAACCCCCGTCATGGGTCAAAACGGGGGTGTCCCATTTCATTTTGGAAAGGCTTTAGTCATTTCCCCTGGGTGAGGAGGAAGGCGAAAGGCAAAGAGCAATATCGCTTGACCAGATTACAGGCAATCCAATAAAAAACGGGACACCCAGGGTTTGACCATTCATCGAATATTTTGTTACCCAATGTTATCGCGCGCTGGCCATGACCATTCGCCGGACAGTGTGGAATCGCGACGTCAATGCGGCGCGCAACATGATCACAGTGTGCAGGTCGATTGTGGAGATCGGAGAGCGACCGGCGGTCTTCACTCGGAGGCTGCCAAAGTGATCTGTTTTATTTCTTGTGGCTTTGCTTGACGCAAGCACAGCACATACTACATGTTCATGGAAACGGCTATATTATCCCGTTTTTTTCTGAATAAAGTGTATGCGGGAGCTCCGGCCGGGCCACAATTGCAGCACCAGCTCCCACCGAGCCGCCCCATTCCCGCCACAGACTTCCCCTTCGCTCGTCACATTCTCTCTCGTGCTCCATTCATCCATCCATCCTCTCGACAGACAAACCTTGGCGTCTGGCACTATAGCTGCTGTAAATGGAGAAAACTCAGCTGATGCCCCAGGGCCGTCGCATGCCAGAGTTCAAGCTCCAGCCTTCGTACGCAAAGCAGGTGGCCATCCCCGCGAGCGACCATGGAGTCTATGAAGCCATGATGTCCTGCCTCGGAGCCGCGATCGGCTGTCTTGGCAGCATCCCTGGTTGCTTCATTTGCCCAAAGTTCGTACCAGTTCGCATCAAGTATCGCGTCCTTGAGCCTCACATCGACACGGACGAGTCGGTTGCCCGGTTCGCAGAGTCTTTGCCCTGACCTTCATCGCTTTCGTCTCACCAAAAGTCCATTCAAGGTCGTTGACCAAGGCAGCGTCGGGCTGGTGTCTCGCTTCGGAAAGTTCTATCGCTCAATCGACCCGGGGCTCTATCAGATCAACGTGTTCACCGAAACGCTGCAGGCCGTCGACATCAAGATCCAGATCGAAGACATCCCACGCCAGGTGGTGATGACTAGGGACAACGTTGGTGAGCGGCTGCGCCTGGATGAGCCATGCTCGGTTCTGGTAGCTCTGTCGCTGGCCAAAACGCGATTGCAACGCCCAGGAGCCGTAACCTCTCGGTGTCGGTAGCGTGGGAACGGCATTTCCCGACCCAGCTTTCATGGGCCGTTCCGGTCGCCGGCGAGGGCGTGTAGGGTACTACAGAGTGCCTTCCATAGGCCAGTGGACTCCAATCGCTTGGAAAGAGGTGCATCTTGAGAGCCCGTGTCCATCGCATGCGCTGTTCTTGAGTATTCACCCTTGCACATCTCTCCCCTCTGATGATGTCCATGCCGCAGGCGTTGATATTGATTCAGTTCTGTTCTGGCACATAAGTGACCCGTACGCACACTGAGCTGCAGTTCAAACGTGTGCTGGGACCGAGGCGGAGGGACACGGCCAAAATTGAAGTATCGTCCGCCCACTCATGTTTCTCATCACGAGCTGTTGCGAGCGCACAGCCGGACCGAGTCCCTCGATTGACTTCATCCACAAAGCCGCTCACGGACATTATTCATCTGTGCTCTGACCATAATAGATACGCTGCGACCTTTCAAGTCAACGACGTCCGAAAGGCACTCATCGAGAGAACCCAGACGACGCTCCGCCAGATCGTCGGTGCTCGCGTTTTGCAGGACTGCATTGAGAACCGCGAGACGATTGCGCATGAGATCCAGGACATCATTTCTGAGCCCGCAAAGGCCTGGGGAGTCAAGATCGAGAGCATCCTGATCAAGGACCTGCAGTTTAGTCCCGATCTCCTCGAGAATCTCAGTGCAGCTGCCAAACAAAAGCGAATCGGTGAGGAAGATTGGGCACAGGTGTGCCTCGATGCCCACGCCCTCCATTTGAGCGGAGAGCAAACAAACGGCTCGAGTGTGTCCAAGGACGGCGACCAGACGACACACTAACCAGAGATTGCTCGCACTTAAACGCAGGCGAATCCAAGGTCATTGCTGCACAGGCCGAAGGTAAGTAGCACGCCTCGGACGCTGAGTCAAGCGGCAGCGCCCATCCTAGTACAAGCTCTCCCTGGGCCCAGAAGCCTGAGTGCTCTTCAATCTTTGCATCACTATAGTCGAAGCCGCCAAGCTCATGCGCGAAGGTACAGCCGGACTTGTGCAGTGTGCGAATCTCCCAAACTGCATCCGATCCAGGCTGGGGACTGCAGTGAGAGTGTTTTCGGTTAGAGTTCCCTGACGATTTGGCGCCCATTGAACTTGCACAGCCTCGGATATCTTGAACACTCAGTCGGCGATGCAGATTCGGTATCTGGAGACGCTGGTATCGATGTCAAAGTCGTCTGCGCAAAAGGTAGGCCACACCACAAGATACTGTCGTGCTTGCTGCGTCTCCTTGGGTCGTTCAGTCCGATTAATGCGATGCAAATGTTGTTGCACTGGGCACCAGGTCATCTTTATGCCCACGGTCGACGAAAGCCTTGCTCTCATGGAGCCGAAGAAATGATCTCTTGGCATGGGTTCACGGCGTCGCAGTGCAGTGACACGGGGGATCGGAGGGTGACAAGTGCTCTTTGAGATCGTGCATGAATACGAGTGTGCTCGGTATTCAGACAAGCAGCCTTGAACAGAGCAGTATGTCTCGATCTGCGAACGACAGGGGTGTTGTGTGGTCGAGATGCTGCGCACGTGCCAGTCATTGCCGGGAGGGCTCGCGCCTCTTGGCTCGATCCGGCTGCAGCCAGCTGCTCTAGCCGCTCGCGTTTGGCTTTTCCCAGCGAACGCTCTGCGGCTGGGTTCAGCACGGCGTTTGGCAACCGAGAGAAGGGCAGGATCTGCCGCCCGAGCCCTGCGACGACAGCACCAGGAAAAAAAGAAATGTCTTCAGAAGGTACGATCTGGCTCGCGTGCGATAAGGATTGAACATCGAACCTTCAAATGCACGGACTGTGAAGCTCTCCGAGCTTGCGGGATGGCCAGGGGTGGTGGAGAAGGATGCTCTGGCCCTGTTCGGCCAGGGAGGGAGAGGCGATGGGATGCTTGGATGGGTATCTGGCCCCCCTCGTCCCTCGACACTGACACCATCGGCGACATGCAGATGAATTCAGCGATGCAGACAGCAAACCCCGGCTGAGCGACGCTGAGGACGTACAAGCTGTCTCGAGACAGACCCAGAAGGTATGGCAGAGTCCGAGCCTCGAGCCGCGATCGGACCCAAAGCTCAAGCGGCTCGGCTGGAGAGATCTCCTCTTTCCCCCACCTCCTTTTCGTCACTTTGCTCGAGTTTCGCATACAGTTCCATCAGACCTGTGCATCTCGATGATGGATCGTTTGTTCTTTGGACCACCTGGGCAGGAGCTATTCCTCGACTTTAGGTCGAGCCCGGTGACGATCGTCATTGCTGATCTGCTCTGCCCGTGGAACAGAAGCGCAAGATCATGTCCGATGACGAGCAAGATGACGAGGAATCTGGCGAGGAAATCGAGCGGCCGTCCAAGTCGAAATCAGGAGTATGTTGCGACAGCACCAGCCACAGTTGCAACAGTCTCTCAGTGCCAGATGCAGTTGTGATCTTTGCTAAGTCGATGTGGCTCACCCTCACACTCTCACCACCGCCCCACCCTCGACCGCTTGCACTGGGCTCTGTCAATCGGCAAACGTTTTTTGCGCCGCAGATCTATAGCGACGATGAGGATGAAGAGGACGAAGAGGACGAACCCACTGAAGCGGATCGAAACTTTGTAGTCGACGACGACGACGAGGACATCGAGGAGCCCCGCAGCGAGGGCGAGGAAAGCGACAGCGTCCGCCAAAAGCCCAAAAAGAAAAAGAAAAGAAGACGTCACAGGGTTGAAGAAGAGGAACTCAGCGAGGACGACATCGATCTGGTGTCGGGCAATCTGGGTCTGAGTCAAAAGGTGCGGCGCTGCATCAATCTCTCGCGCACGATTGTCGCTTTGGCAATGTTCACGAATTTGCAATGCCTGCCAACGGCCATGGGCCGCTGTTCGAGTTCGGGATGTGCTGACGCTGTTCTTCCCCTGTCCGCCCGTGCCGTCGTAAACTACGTGTCGTGGATGCATGCAACAGTCCAGCAGCTTCACCAGAATCAAAAAGGTCGACGACAACGACCGACGCGGCCGTCGCAAGGCGCCTGTGGATGTCAATAACATCTTTGACGACGATAACGAGGACTCGGATGTCGAGCGGCAGCAACACTATAGCGAGGACGACGATAGCGAGAGCTTTATCGATGACGAAGGTATAGACGACACCGATGTTCAAGAGCGTCAGGCCCGGCGAATCGAACGACAGACCAAGATAAAGAACCTGAAGAACCTGGGAACCGAGTACGGCATTTCAGACTCGTAAGTAGACATGCCTCGGCGGGTTGCAGTCAGCGGAGGACACAGTTGTTGCAGCACAGATCAGCAGAATGCCGGTGACATGGGCCACGGCACAGCGGAAGCTGGCTACAGCCTGATTTGCTCGTACTGATGGACGATCGCCTGGCTCTCGTGCTCGCTTATCAAGCATGTGGAGCGAAGTGCAGGCTGTCTTTGGTGATGGCACGGACTATGCGGAATTCCTCGAGATCGATTCGGTGAGTTTGCGCTTGCGGCTCGGGCATCTCCGTGTGGCAGCTGAATGCTCACCACGACATGAATCAAGGGTCGCGTGGAGTGGCGGCAGGCATGAGTACTGTCGACTCAGCAGTCCCTGGCGCTCACTGCTTATTCCCACGCCTGCCTGTGCCATTCCGACTTGCAGGAGATGAATGACCTCGATCTCGATGATGGATACGATGAAGACTCCTATCTCCCCTCTGAGCGCAAGTCCAAGCTCAAGCTCTCGGATGTCTATGAGCCCAGTGAGATCGCAGCCAATCTGCTGACCGAGACCGACGAAATCATCAAGATCCGTGATGTCCCCGAGAGGCTTCAGGTGCGGGTCTATTTGCAACAAGCCACGGCAATGGCGCCTTCCTTCGTGTGCATTGAAACTGCTATTCTTACTGTATCCTTCTGGTGCTCCGTTGACCCCAGCTGCGTGGCGAGCTCCCGACCCTCAAGGAGCCTGAGCTGGAGAACGAAGCCCTATCAATCGCTCGCATCATGGTCAACGATCTGCGCAAGCGCGACAGGAGTAACCCGGAGCTCAGCAAGCCTATTAGCCTCACCCATCCGCTCACCATCACCATCGCCCGTGTTCTCAAGCTCGTCCGCGTCGATTTCCTGGAGGTGCCGTTTCTTAACAGCCATCGCAAAGACTACTTTAGCAAATTCCTCGAGCGCAGTCACTTGTGGAAAATCTATGATCTCGACGTATCCTACTGCACGCTCGAGAACCGCAAGAAGAACGTCCTGACCTTGATGGCGAACTTGAATCTGGAAAGCTCCAATCCAGAACGCTACGATTATCTCAAGCAAACGCTTGAAGGTGCCACGGGTCTCGATGAAGTCATGGACATACAGGCGCATCTGCAGCTCCAGATGTCCGACGAGTTGGCCAAGTTGGAGGCATCCAAGAATGTTTTTAGGCGAGTTGTTCGGCGGACGCCGTACGAAGAGGCCAAGCGCGGCGGACTCGCCGACTTTGCCAAGGTATGCAGCACCACCGACTCTTCTTATCAGTTCCACTCGAGCATGGCTCTTGGGCAGTTACGGCGCCCTCATTACTGCAATGTCACCGCGACTAACTTGGCTGTTTGGCTTGCCAGATGTTCGACATCAATATTCCAAAGTTTGCCCGATGCATCGTCCAACACTCTCAGGAGTACTTCCCCGAGGACCACCCACGCCCCCCACTGGATGTGGCGCGAGACTTCCTGTCGTCTTCGTTCCGCACAGCGCAGCAGGTCCTTGACGGTAAGTCGATTTGATGGCTAGTGATGCCTATCACATCGTAGCCCGCAGCCCGCCCTCGCCTGCGTGCGTGCATGCACACCTGCACCATCCGCGTTTAGCGGTACCACATCCTTGAAGTATAGTGTCGCTCATGCTGCTTGTTCGCCAGCGCACTCATTTACGTTCTGACTCTTTATGCTTGTACTGTCGCTAGCTACCAAAACAATGCTGGCGAGCGAAATAGCGAGCGACCCCGTCTTTCGCGCATTTATCCGCCGGGTCTACTGGACGGATGGTACCTTGAGCATCTGGCCAACGGAGAAGGGCAAGAGTGACATTCAAGTTACCCATCCTTACTATGTAGGTCATGTCAGCTTAGTGTGGATCTCGACTCGGGCGCCGGTCACAGGATCCTTGCCAGCGAGATGCTTGTGTATGCCTTCACCGCCTGCCAGGCCCATCGTCAAAGAGGCCGCTGAGCTTGCTGACCATATTTGTGCATGTTCTTGCGCCCAGAGCTTCAAATACATCAAAGAGAAGCCCATCCAGGTCATTGAGCCTGGAGTATTCTTGCAGATCTCAAAGGCAGAGGAGCAAGGTCTGATCAATATCCACATCCGCATCGATGCGGAGCAACGGCTCATCGACGACGTTTTGAAGCACCTCTCGAACGACAAGTTCAGCGAGCAGGCAGAGTGGTGGAACAAAGAGCGACAAGACATTGGCCTGCAGGCTCTCAAAAACATTTTGTTCCCGTACTGCTCCAAGTGGATCAAGGAAAAGCTCATGAGCGATGCAGCCGACTGGACAGCGCATCAGTGCGAGCTGGCCCTCGATCGAGTAAGTGCAATCGCCCCATGCCACCCCACTGCTCCGTCTGCCGCTCGCGGATGTTGCGTCGTGACCTATCCGGGCTCGGCATGCATCGTACTTGTCTCACTGCTGACCCGCGCCTGTTTGTGATCAGAAAATCAACGTTGCCCCACCCAGAGTTGACCGGGACCACAACGACAGAGACCTCTGGCCCCCACCCAGAGTCGTTGCAATCAGCTGGGGAGAGGGAACATCGACCGAACCGACCTTTGGCGTCTGCTTGGATGAAAACGGCATTCTGTCGAGCCAGCTGATGCTGAGCTTTTTGCAAGAGATTGACAAGCCGCGCGGCATCAGCGACAGCCAGGAGCTGGCGAAATTCATAGAAAACAGCCAGCCCGATGTCGTAGTTATCGGAGGGTTTGCCACCAACACCAAAACCAAGCTAATCAAGATTGTCGAAGCAGCAGTGGAGAACAGCACCCATCAACGCAGCTCCTATCGGGACGACAGACGCAGTATGTCTGCGGGCGACAGAAAGTCGCCAAGCGTCTTTATTGTCGAAGACGATGTGGCTCGTCTGTTCATGAACTCGAAGCGCGGGGAGCGCGAGTTCCCGCCCTCGACGTTCCCTCCCCTTGTTCGGTACCTCGTATCGCTCGGCCGCAAGGTGCAGAACCCGACAATGGAATACGCTGGGCTGTTCAACAGCGACGACGACTACAAGCTTCTGCGATTGCACCCGTGGCAGGATATGGTGGGTGGCGTCCGATTGCCGATGCGGCACCTGGGAGATGAATGCGCCTGAATTCCGGCTGTCGATCAAGTGCCCCCCCCCTTGTTGGTGAGTCTGGTCAGTTACAATGCTAATCATCTGTTCCTCGGCCATTCAGATCCCCGAGGACAAGTTCAAGTTGTCTCTGGAGCGAACCTTCATTAATGTCGTCAATTCCTGGTAACGAATCCTCCCAAACCGCCATCATGATTCGAGAGCAACCGGCATGCTGCGCTGTGGCGTGCGGTGGTGCTTGCATGGACCCAGCAACTCCTTTGCCTTGGACAAACGGTGCCATTTTACTCACTCTGCTCTGGATCGGCAGCGGTGTTGACATCAACATGGCTGTCAGATATCCGCATCAGGCGCATACCCTGCAGTTTGTCAGCGGTCTAGGCCCCAGAAAGGCACAGATGATGATCTCCAAGATTGCCTCCAAACCGGTAGGGCTGTTTGTCTATGCTTCTCTCTGCACACCCATTCGGGAGGATCGCATCGATGCTCAACTCAGTGCTTGTCGTTTCTAACCGCGTCACCGTTCCCTGCATCCGTGCACGCATTCTCGCTGACTGTCCGCGTTGTGTCGACGCTGTGAACCCTGGCACAGTCTGGCAAGCTCACCGTCAGATCGGCGCTCATCAGCGACAAAATATGCGGCAGCAGGGTGTTTATGAATTGCTCCAGCTTCCTCCGCATCCCCCTCGAAGACGACCACTACCAACATAGCTCCAACTCTGATAAATATGATGTGCTTGACAGCACGCGCATCCATCCCGAGGACTATGTGCTGGCTCGCCAAATGGCCGCCGACGCAATGGAGGACGACAGAATCTTGGAAGTAGCCAACTCGTCCGAACACGTGTCAAGGCTGATGGCCGACGGGCCCGACAAGCTTAATTTGCTGATGCTTGACGACTACGCCAACGAACTTGAGCGTAGCCGCGGTGAACCCAAGTATCTCACCCTCAATGCAATCAAGGCCGAGCTCGAATCACCCTACTCCGAGCCCCGGCGCGACTTTGAGCCGGCAACGACCGAAGAGGTCTTCACCATGCTCACAAACGAGACCAACGAGACTCTGTATCCCAACATGACCCTCAACATCGAGATCGAAAACGTGGGAGATCTGCCCAGCGGCGATCCTATCGCCAGGATGCGGTTCCGCAACGGCCTCAGTGCCCACATGCTTCTAAAGCAGCTGGTGGACCGGCGTCACGTCAGTGCGAACGAGTTGATTGGCCAGGTGGTACCCTGTCGCATCACCCGCATCGACAAGGAAAAGCTCACGGTCGAGCTTGATGCGCTGCATGAGAGCCGCGAAGTCTACGACCGATGGGAGGCCGAGAAGAAGCACGATCGCTACTGGGATAAAGACAGAGAGTACGACGACGCAAGCTCGAAAGGTAAAATCATGTCTCGAATCGCTGCTGTATCTTGGGCGAGGCGGCCGCAGAGTGGTCGATGCTGGCCTGCGAGTCAAACCTTGGGCACGAAGAGATGCAATGCTGATGCTGCGAGCGATTCCTCTGCACTCCCTAGCGCTCTCAATCAAGGCGAAAAAGAAGGTCCGCGTTGTTGCCCATCCCTTCTTCAAGAACGTGGACTACCGTGCTGCAGAAGATATCCTTCGCGATGCGCCCAACGGCGATGTGGTCATCCGGCCCTCGACCAAAGGAAACTCGCATCTGTCGATGAGCTGGAAGATTGCCAATGGCATAATCCATCATCTTGGTACGTTGATGATTAGAGCGGCTGGCTATCTACGCACCGTGGCATGGGACTGCAGTTATGTGGTGCTGGTCTGCGCATTTACCTGAGCGTACTTGTCTAACCTCGCTGATCTTACTGGCACGCGATTGCGGCGTCTCTTTTGCTGCACCAGACATTGTCGAGTCGCAGAAGGAGAGCGAGTATGCTCTCGGCAAGGTCCTCACGGTTAACGGCCAGCCGTTCTCGGAGCTGGACGAAATCATTGCCAACTACATTGCGCCGATGCAGCAGCTCATCGACGAAGTTGTGTCCAGCCCCAAGTTCAAGCCATACGGCGATAAGGAGATGCGTAAGTATTTCGCCGAGGCACCGCATTCAGTTCCGTGCCTGTTAATCGCCCCCCCCCCAGACATCCACCAGCTCGGGCTCCCCATCTACACCGACACTGACGCTCATTTCGACTGGGGTTTCCAGAGGAGTATATCTCTCGTCAGTGCCGCAGCAGCAAAACCTCTGTCTACGGCTTCGTCTTCCACCCTGAAAAGCCCGGCTACTTCATGCTGATGTTCCGCCACTCGCCCGAGAACTCGCTGCACAGCGAAAACATTGAGGTCAAGACCTCTGGCTTCGCCTTCCGTGGCAAGACGTTCAAGTCCCTGAACGATCTCATTGTCGGCTTCAAAACGGGCGAGATCGAGAAGTCGAGCCGGGCATCTCGCCAAAGCGGCTCCAGCCGTGGTGCACCGTCTGCTCGTCATGCTCCTTCGACCCATCCGAGCAGAGCACACCCCGCTTCGACACTTCCCCCGGCACCGCACCACCGAGGAAACCCTGGTCCGTCGAGCGGCCACGGCTATCCCGGCCGCCAGCCCGTTGCGGCGGGCCCTGCCATGGGTATGGGCAACCCCGGCCAGCGTCCTGGAGCGCCGCCGGCCCACCGATATCCTCCTCCTGGACCCAGCGGAAGCAAAGGCCTGCCGATCCACCATTCTGGGGTGCAACCAGCGGTGCCGCCGGGCCACTCTCGACCAATGTACCCGTCGCACTGAGGCCCACACCATGTTCAGGAGAAACGGGACGCACCGACTTCCAGTGTTGCATAGTTTGTGATGGTCTGGTCAGCGAGCCATCTGCAATACAGTAGATCGCCTTGACAGTGACGAGCGAGGCCATCGGGCCTCCCCCCCCCCACGGTCCCCGCAATCGGCCTCAGGACGAGGGAGGAAGACGCAGGGCAAAGAGCAAGATCGCTGGGAGATCTCGGCGAGCGAATCATATAGGGGTTTGGGTGACGATCACAACAAGCTCGCTGCAACAGACCCAAGAGCACATCGATGCAGCCGTGGAGCAGCCCAGCCGTTCTCTGACTCGATCTCGTCGTCCTCGCTGCCACCCCCCCCCAATGAGCACGGCCCTCGTCAGCGGAAACGCCATCTGTCTTCTCTATGGGCTCGTCCACCAGGACTCGGTCGCAAAGCTTGTCGACCGGCTCGTCGGGCTCTGCGGCGACCTGGAGTTCGACTCGAGCCGGCTATATGTCGAGCACAGCATCGCATTCATACCAGCGAGTACGGACGATGCCACCGCCGTTTGAGATCGATGCCGTTATGATATCGTGGCTTCGGCCGTTGAATATCTATCACACTGATGCTGCGACCTCATCGGGGGTTGTCGCCCACGAGGCCGATCTGGGACAGCGGTGCTGCTTGCTCGCATGGCTCTCGTCTCCTCAGGCAGCCAATTCCCGACCATCCATCCTGACATGCGATCGCCTCATTCCGCTTTGCATCCAGACGAAACCCCGTTCGGATCCTCACGAAACGACGATGTTGTCTTGCGGCTCAAGGCCCCCATCTTGAACGAGTCAGGGAAGCTGGTGCCCCTAGCCGAACGCAGATGGTGTGGCCCAACACGATTCAGAACCTGCAAGCGACCTTGCGGATGGATGAGGGAAGGTGAATGTCCTCGCTGCCTTTGCTGATGACGTTTCCAATTGCGTATCGACCTCGACAGGAAACTCTGCCAGGAGCTACCGCCGGAGCCTCCAAAGCGACGACAAGAGGGCCGCACCAAAATCGCTCCACACCACCGAGTTGTATATGAAACAGAGATCACCGGCGATCCATTTCGGTTTCTGCAGTCGCTTGGCTACGAGTAAGAATGCTGTGTCGCAGAATGGTCAATTGCTGCCTTACGGACGGGTCAAAGTGCGGTTTCTGGAGTGGGGATCGTGCTGTAGATCGCACGGCTTCAGCATATCGGGCGGGGCCTGGGACACCTCATATGTGCTGCACGCTGTATGACTCATAAGATTCGCCCGGATGCCGATCGATACCGAAATGGCAACAAGATTCTGTCATGAGTACGTCCGTCGAGGATATAGCTTCGTGTATGAACACAAGCTGATCACGATCACCAAGGTCTATGAGGTTGGTCTGTCGGCTCCTGGGTTGAGATTGAGCAGCTGCTTTCCAAAGGGCCATCAACCGTGCCGACTCAGCCGTCCTTGCTCGCTATGACGGATTGATGCTGGGCTCATCCTTATCGCTTCACAGCCGGCAGAAAAGTATAAAGTATCGACTGCGGCCCTGATCGATCCGGACTCGGTATTCTGGATGGTTGAGCTGACCTCGCCCAGGGTGAACCAAGAGTCTGTTCCGCTGGCAATGGATGAAGTGACCAAGCTTTCATCGCATCTCCAAGGGTAACTGTGCCTATTGGGATCTCAGAGCGTCCGTCGTCCAGTAGCAGCAGATCCAAGGTACTCGAGCACCTTCGTGCTCGTCAAAGATCAGCCACTGACGGGACTCTGCGTTACGGATCTAGTCTTGTGGAATGGATACCCGTCGACCACACAACCCTGTTGAACAAAATCAAGTACGTGGAGGTCTAGCACGAGCCAAGACGTTGTATCAGGCCTGTTTCTACAAGCAGCCGGCATGCTGCGCCCTTGAATCTTCTCGCAGGAGTACCAATGGCGCAGAAGAGTGTGTGAAGCCGAGTCCCGACTGGGGTTCGGGTTGAGATCAGCAGGCGAATGCAAGTCCGAGGACGACCTGTGCTGCAACAGGCCTTGGGTTCCAGATTTGTTGATTTCAACAACCGCTCCCAGCACCTCGAGTTGGCTCCCTTGCTATGAGCCATCGGGCCGATGCTGATGTCCACTCTTATCTGAGCCCCGAATACACACATATTCGCCTCCAACGACTCTTCCATCCAATACCCGAGCATCACCGTGGGGAGATAAGATGTTTTTCTCCACCGATGAGCACCGCTCAGGTACAGCGAGTCGAGTGGCCAAATGGCTTGTTGTGTCAACATCGTGCCATGACCATGACCTCCATGCAAAGGCCACACCGCAACCAACCAGCCCCAAGATTACCAACCAGGACGGGAAACAATCAGCAAGCTTCAGGCACCCGGTGCCAGAGAAAGCGGACACTGTCCCGTTTGTTCTGGATTGACTGTATATTGCAAATGACCTTGCTGGAAACAGACTTTGTGGTTTGGTGAAAGGAGACCAGCGCCAGCTTCTCTCTGAGTATAGGGTACGAAGCAAAGCTATGGAGCAGCTGCTGCTGCCCCAGGAACACCGCGCTCACTCATGCCTAACCTGCCCCGATCATGGGCATCGAGCCTGAAATTGAAGAGCTGTTTCTGGTGGCGCAAAGTCTGATATCGGAGAAAAATGTTGTCGTCAGCACCGTGGGACCCTGGGGCAGAGGCGGTTGCGGTAGTCGTGATTGAGCAAGACAGATGACTTGGCTTCGACAGGCCGGTCAAGTATGGGCTGCGACTGGCTTCATAGTCTTGAGCACGGCCGAGGATTCAAAGGAAGGGGGAACTTGACCAAGCTTCTCGTCAACATCGACACGCCCATACACCAAGCAGGTCGCCAGGCAGCGCTTCTGGCAGCAGGCCCGGATCGGACGCGAGAGTTCCCAGACATCCCTTGTGCTGTCGGGGCTGTCCATATTCCCAACATCGCTAGCACGGCCTGTGACTCCATTTCAGCTCGCGAGTCTCCCCTTGCAATACCGCAGCACTGACGAACCACGGATATTTGTGAGCCTTGTTCGACGGGAGCCTCTCTCTGGCCATTCCTCCGACCGACATCCAGCACTCGATAAGATTCCCGCGACTGCAAGTAGGGAAGGCGATACACTTTGGATACGCACAAGCACAGCTGATACGAGATGGACTCGCTCCAAAGACGGATCGACTATGCGCTCGAGCTGGCCCTCGTCCGGCGCTACGAGGTAAATGCGGCATGTTTGGGGTGGTTTGTCGTCTCAAGCGCTCCTGCAAGATAGGCCAGCGTCCACTGGAGTCGTCGACCGACACAGTCGGCACCTTGCCTCATCAGGAACCCTCTGCATGCTCGGGTGTTTGAGGCATCGTGTGTGTCTACCTCTAGCCCGTATCCAGCGGTGCGACCCACCAAAGCTCCATGCTGACTGGTCTTCCGCATCTGGGCCATTTTCGATGCCAGGACGCACATCTGGAACTGATTCAGATCATGGACCACGCCTTGGTTGAGCTTCGGGAAATCAAATTTGATGGTCCTTCAGGTAGGCCGTATCCGATTGCCGTGTGCCACGAGATTTCTTGTCGCATTTCTTGTCTCCAGCAACGCCGGTCAATTCGTAGAGGCGCACTCTTGCTGCGATCCTGCGGCGGTCGTCTGGTGGGATCTGCAGTCGGCTGATAACGCACTCGGACATTTTTTTGGCACAAAGGAAGCGCACTCGTCACCTCCAGTCAAATGGCGATGCTTAGTTGCTGCCGGAGGTGCATAGACGAACTGGAGAAGATATACGAGGACAAGAAACGCCACCGCAAGCGATCCGCCGGCATTGTCGCCAAAATCCTCCGTGGCCGTGAAGGTGAGCAGTCCGGGAATGACCGCTGAGGTTTGGTTTAGTTTGTCATCGGTGGGCCGACCACGCCCAACGAGTAGTCCGGGCAGCGTCACAGAGCTATCCTGTATCGATGGGCATTCACGAGATACCGGAATACGAGATACCGGAATACGAGATACCGGAATACGAGAAACGGGTTTGGCTCCGTTGGTCAGCAGCGGCGTTACTTTGGGTGTGGCATCGGCCTCGTGGATCGGCTCTGGAGTGCGGAAACCATTCCACTCTCGCGCCCCGCCATTTCTTTCGGCTCGTCGTGCTCACTATCCAAATGTCTCGTCAGATGAGGCAAAGGCCGCTCCAGATCTAGCCGTGGAAAGCCAAAGCAACGCATCGTCCGGCAAAGATATTGAGAGTGCTTTCAAGCTTGAGTCGTCGCCAGAGACAGGCGCCAATCTCGAATACGAGTTTCCTAATCTGTTCAATAGCGCAAAGCTCAACCTCGACCGCGACGAGCTGCTTGTTCGTGAGGGGCGGCCGCCTTCACCGACAAAGCGGGCGGAACACATGGCCGAGAGCGAGACCAAAGTCGAGCACACGCATGACCATGAAAAAAGTACTTTGCCAACGCCCACAGCAACGACAGCAACAGCGACTATAGCAACAACAGCAACGACAGAAACGATGGCAACCACAGCGACAGTAGAGGCGGCAGAATCATCCGCAGAAGCAAATGCGTCCACGGCGTCAATATCATCAGCTTCGGCAATCCCAGCCGGAGAGGTCCCAGGCCGCACCAAGAAAATCATGCGCCCAGAGCCCGACGACACCCGACAGAAACTGACAGTCAGTATCCCAAAAATTGAATCCACCGAGAGAGCGTGCGAGCCGATATCGCCAGGAGGTGTGCCTGGAGCGATCAAGTCGCCCGAGGCCAACCTCACGTCGTTCTTCAAAGACGAATACAAGTCGCGGCCCGAGACCAATCCTGCAGCTAGGACGGTGAGCGCAGCCCCAGACATTCCCGCCTCGCCGCTCATCAAGCTATTCCAAGACCTGACCGATAGAGTACTGCCCCGGATTTCAGAGGCTCAGATATGTCTTAAAAAGTTTGCCATCTACGATCCGACGATCTCGCCGGTATTTGAACAGTCATCGGGGGTAATGGGTCCGCTTAAAGCAGCGATGGCATCGTCGCCAAGCCCTTCCGCCGCCTTTCCCATCACCAGCTTTGAGCTGGATTGTCTCAGGCTCGCCGAAGTCACCAAGGTCATCCAACTGAGCAGCTCCTACACGGTGATTGTGGGGCTTGGGGCGGCGCTGATGGCGCACCAGCTCACCCTGATCGACTATGGACTGTTCTCCAAGGTGCAGCCGACCGACTTGCTCTCACACAAAGTGCCACAGAGCCCCTCGCCCTCGATCCAGGCAACCACGGACTTTTTCAACTATCTCACCCGCATCATCGAGATTTCGATTCTGGAATCGACCGCCCCCAACGATCGTGCCAAGATGATCTACTACTGGACCAAGATCGCCGACTACTGTCTGTCGATCCGCAACATCCAGACCCTCAAGGCTATCACATCGGCGCTGCAAGGTCCGCCTGTGGCCCGGCTCAAAAAGACCTGGGGCATCGTGCCCAAGAAGACCAAGGCCACTCTATCGTCGCTCTGGAGCCTGGTGACGGAGCAGAACAACTATGCGACCTACCGGGAGTGGCTCAAAAAGAACACAACCCGGCCTGCTGTGCCCTTTCTCGGCGTCTACATCCATGACCTCACCTATCTCACCGTCGTTGTCAAACGGGATGGCGGAGATCTGGCCTCGGACAAACGGGTCCGGGAGATTCTGGACCAACTCGAGTACTACCGCACCGGCCCGGACTATGGCAATTATGCGGAATCAAGTGCAAGCCAGGCCACCTCGGGGCCGTCCATCTCACCGTTCAAGAAGGGTCGCAGGGCTGACGAAGCCGCTGAGAAGGAGCTTGAGCAGGAAGCATTGTCGCAGTTTGCCTCCCACTGGATCTTGACTCGAAAATGGGTGAGCGAGAAGGAAATCGACGAGCTGTCGCTGCTGCGCGAGCCAAAGTCCAGCTCAGCTTCAGCGAACACCCCTTCGACGGCCCAGTCGCCTGCCGGCACTGGCTCGCTGGATCCAGCCACGGTCGCAGAGAGCGATGCCTACGGATACGACATATTCTCGCTCACCAAGATCAAGCCCCTCCTGGACTTGGGCGACGCTGGCGTCGCTCCCACGCTGCCTGTGACCAGCAGCAGCAACTCGCCCAAGAAGGCCGAAAAGAATGCCTCAGCCATGTTTCTGAAGATCCAGGCGCTCATGATGGCCCTGCTTTCCAAGAGCCGAGAGACCGGGTCGGGACGATACCGAGGCCAGAGACGGGCTCTGGATGATGCCGAGCAAGAGTACTCGAGCGAAGGCGAAGGTGAATGGAGCCCGGACCAGAGCGATGTTGATGATGTGATGCGGCGGAGCCACTCTGTCGACGCATCCCAGAGCAACTCGGCCGTCAGCAGCATCACCAGCGAGTCCGGGATCAAAAAGTCGGGCTCGGTTGCCTCACGGAGCAAGGCCGAGGTGCGGCTCAGCAAGCTCGAGAAGCTCGCCAAGATTCTGAACCCGGCTGATCCTAAGGACAGCCGAATGCAGCCCGAGGTTTCAAGCGTCGCACCTCCACTCGGCCTTTCAGGCAATACAGGTCCAACTGCAGGGCATGGGCCGTCCCCGGCCGGGTCACTGATTGCCGAGCTCGAAAACATCTTCTCCAAAGACGTCCACAGTGTCCTCAGCGGAGGCCGGCGCCGGCGGTCTGTCTCGCCGTCTGTAGCAGAACCGAGCGACATGTCGCTGACCAATGTAGCAGAGACACATGTCGCTGGATCTGCTCGCAACTCGACGCTCTCGGTGCAGCCGCTACCCGAAAGCCACCCGCATCGACGACGACATTCGAGTAACATCAAACCCGATGCCTCGCCGACGATGCCGAAGCAGCGTGCGCTCTCGCATATGGTTGCGTCGGCCAGCCCCCCAAGCGTCCCATCTCCGTCTTCGTCATCAGCGGCCCCTCACACAGGCAGCACTCTCTTTGGCCCACAGACAACGGTTGGTCCGGTCGCAGCCAGCAATCTGCCACCCACAGCGATCTACACCAAGCACAGCGGCTCGCACCACAGCAACGTTCTCGTCATCTCACCAGAGAAGGCCTATCAGCCGCCACACTCACCGCTGCCTGTAAAGGCGACAGACGAGCACCATGGCCACGGAGCAGTGCCCACGCATCGGACACTGCAGTCCATCAAGCCGCATGAGGCCATCACCATGGAAACGCCGATACCACCCCCGCTGCCGCCTAAATCGGGAGCCAGCGGACCAAAGAAACCCAACCCGCCGATGCAATCGCCTCGGCACCATGGCCATGTCGTTGGCAGCGGATCAGATGTTGGCGCGGCTTCAGTCAGCAAGCTTCCCACGGGGCCACCGTCAGGCCCTATGAGGGCCCACGAAGGACTCCCGAGCCAGTCGGCTTCGACACTGTCGTCCCTGCCGAACGAGTCAGAGGCCCTCATGCCTCACGTTAACTCTGCGGAGGACCCACGATCTGGGGTGGGGACCATAGGATCACTCTTTGGACGCACACACCGCCGAGGGGCATGATGACAGGACTTGCGGGGCTGATGGCCTGCGGTTGGCGATCGGCGCTGTCTTTGCGACTAAATCTATGGCTCTTGGAGCACGACATTCCGCTATCGCTGGCGACACAATTGCTTGTCAACGTCCCAACGAGCCGCAGGAGGGCGATGCACTTCATACGGGGCTGCTGCTACTTGAGACGGGGACTATATTGCGCATAGACCGAGTGAAAGGCCGAGCAAATCGTCGTGCGAGCGAGATTGCACAACGGATGGATCGCGTGTGCATAGACCCAGCCAGGATCCAGGACCATAGGCAGCCGCTCAGAGCTCCTCGTGGCGGTTCTTGGATCGTCTGTACATCTCCATAGCAGCAAAGTACTCTGCCTTATCGAGCGCGTATCGGATGAGCGACTTGGAGTCGACTTCGCCAGTGTACTCCTCGACGAGCTTGCCCTTGTTGTACCTGTGCCGTGGGTTGCAGTATCAGCATCAGCGACACAGGGCGGCATTCGGGGCTGACACCGCGGGCGGCGTATCGACGGTGGACTGCACCGATCCATATGCGTCAGGACAGACTCGACTACTATAGGCGAACAGGACATTTATCAGCTCCTTACAGGTAAATGGTGGGGTAAGCCTCAACATGGTTCTTTGAGCAGAAATCTGTGCCATTGATGTTGTGGTGTGGGGATTGGATTAGAATGTGGAGATTAGATGTAGAGTCCGAGCCAGCACTCGGTACAATGCGAGCGCCATCAGGATCCAAGTGCGAATCCAAGAGCGAATCCAAGTGCAAAGATGCCGATAAGTCGGGTGCAAGTCCTCGATGGACATTCGGGATATTGCGACACAATTCTGAAACAGCACATGTGCCCGCTGAGGGAGGAGGCGACGGATTACCTGACTCGTCAGTGCAATCAACCTTGGCGACACTAAAGTCGTCGGGCTTGACGTCGGCGACTTTGCGCTGGAGCTTGAGCCAGCGGGGAGTGAGCCTAGGACACGATAGGAAAGACGAGAGCTCAATATCTTCCGTTCTGGGATGAACATCTCGCTCGCGGCGGATGCACAGCCGTGTGGATTCGCGCGGCCGTACCTCTTGCAGTACTTGCACCAGCGTGCGCCATAAAAGACAAGCCAGACGCCCTTCTCAACGGCAGGGGCAAAGGTCTCGGGGGTCAGGAAGGTGATCTGGTCGTCGGCCTCCTTGGCAAGCTGGTCCATCTCCTCGCGGGAGACCATCTTGACGTTCTTCTCGGCGGCCAGGACCAGGGCCAGCAGGGAGAGGAGCACAGCGATAGGGAGGAGCAGACGCATGGTGACAGGGATGCGGGAACTCGCACGATCGGGGACGAGGGGTGAGGGGAAGGCAGGACGAGGCGATGCAGAGCAAAGACGTGGAGGCAACCGCAAGCGACTGCCAAAACGGGAGGGGGCGGCCGGCGCCAATCGGCGCCAGACGGGCACGGGAGCCTGCAAGCCCCACATGCATCGACGGGAATATCGACAGGGATATCGACAACGGAATTGAGGGCGATACCAACGACGGAATCGACGACGGAAGCGAGTGCGATATCGGAGACGGAAGCGACGGCCGCACCGATGGTCGTGTCAGTCGGCGACGCATATCGGCCACGACTGCGATGTCAGGGCCAGGGTCCCCACAGCAAATGTCCAAACAACCATTTGGGCGCGCAAAAGCTCCAAACAACAAGCTCGGGCACAGCGTCGCCATCGGCACTGTTGGCATCGGCACTGTTGGCATCGGCACTGTTGGCATCGACACTGTTGGCATCGGCACTGTTGGCATCAGCACCGGCAAGCCGGGTCCCTACTTGTTTGGCATGCTTCCACAAGCCAGGGTCTACAGCCTGGCCGCACCGGCCAGCGTATATAACAGTTGCATGTGCCCTGGAGAGGCATCTATCGACTCCAATCCCGACGAGCCGAGATGAATGCGCTACTGTTCTGCGTGCTCGCTCTAGGAGGTGAGGCATGTGCCGTGATGTGTCTGGGCGACAGCGAATTGCACAGGAATCGGTACTTTTGCGTATCACTGACTCGTACTCTTGACCCTGGGCTCTCATGCATCCGGGAATCCTGGGATATCGCCCAGCCTTGGTCGTGGTGCTTGAGGGAGCCCCGATACCGTTGGATGCAAGCTCGCTCGACTCGATTGAGCTGGAGTTTTGGCATGGCTCTTCTTCAGCTGCGAGTATATGGAATCCAGTCCAGCACTCAAGCCTGGGTGACAGCCACACTGGGAAAACGACAACACCCCAGAACGTGGCACCAAAAACCGAGTATGTTCTGTTCAAGCTGAGCCAAGTTTCAATCCAGAGGCTCCGCCAATACCTCATCCACGCCGCGGAATCCATCTTCCTGGTCCGCAGCAGAGCCCAGTTCGAGGCAGAGTCGCAGTGGCCCCGACAACTCCAGTTCCAGAACGACGCGCAGAGCGAGGACTACATCAAAACCGTTGCTGAGCCGCTGTTGCACGGTGCCGAGCCTCAGGACAGTCCTCAAGTCATCGTCTCCAGCATGATTACGTATCCCGAGAATCCTTCGGAGGGCGACGAAAGAGACTGTGCAGACACCACGGAAGATGGCGAGCGAAGCGGACCCAACGGCCAGTCACAACAGCAGAGCGTGCCCGAAGACAGCACTTTGTATGTCGACGATATCGCTGAGGCTCTTCTTCTCGAGGAGCTGGAGTACGAACAGGATTGTGACGGTCAGGATGCGGCGCGTTGAAATGACGGTGGGACGTCTTGTTCGGACAAAACACGCTGTCGTATGCTCGGCCAACGACGACCAAGTGGGTCAAATCGTCTCCCTGAGTGTCTATCTCATGGGTATCCGGCAGAAATATCGAGTTGACTACTTCAGGCCACGTGGGGGTTGTGGTATCGAGATGGATGCACTACCTCGGTCGAGGTACTGTGCGTGATGTTCGTAAGGGTGTCAAGATCATCCGAGAGAATCAATCGGATGAGTTCAACCTTGGGGAGGCCAACACATTTGGGATTGGGATCAAGGTCCGTCCGACTCACCCGCAACTCATAAATTCTTCGAATTTTGCCAACAAGGATCAGATCGTGACTGGCTTTGCAGACATCTAATGGCCGTGTGTTTGGCGAACGGACTTGGAATCTCGAATGACCAGAACAAAGCTGCGCGCATATTCGAACACCTCGCCAACGAAGGCCATAGCGATAGCCAGTTGTGGATCGGAAGGTGCTATCGCTATGGTCGAGGAGTGTCGCAAGGTTTTGGGAAGGCTTTCGAGTGGTTCAGTAAATCTGCGAAACAAGGCAATTCTTATGGGCAATGGAGGGTTGGTCGCTGCTACTACCACGGGGTTGGAGCCACCGAGGATGAAACCAAGGCAATCGAGTGGTATCGCAAATCGGCCGCGCAGGGTAATCGCTACGCACAAGATTTTCTTGGCGACTGCTTCCAATATGGTCGGGGGGTCCCAAAGAATATTGACACCTCCATCTTCTGGTATCGCAAATCCGCCGACCAAGGTCTCGATTGGGCCATCAATAGCCTCCAGTGGCTTGGCCAGTGGCCCTGATCCCGAGCCCGCCCCGATTGTCATATTCCAAGGATTCTGTCACAGCGCTGAATATGCAAGCAACTTACCAAACCGCACCATCACCCTCCCAGACACCAAAATACCAATCAATGGACTTGCAGAGTGGCTACGATCGGTCGATATCGGCTGATTGATGATGTTTTTCAAACTCAACACATACAAGTATACACACAATGCTACCCATAACAACTGATGGTGTTCATCAACCAAAAGAAACATCGAATAACTTGGAATCCACAAACTCGGCATTGTTCGTCGTGTAGGGTGGAGAGCCCGTGAGAGCCGCAACAGGGTGCACGAGCTTGCTTGCTTACTTTAGTTCATCCATTGCCGGGTATCGCGTGGTACTGATGACCATTTGCCTTGGATCAATACACCTCTCGTAAACGGATACAAATCGCAGCAACGGCGGTGCAATACATTGAGAACATAGAGGGGGGTCACTGGATATTGCAGCCCCCGCCTAGTTTGGCGAGGTTGTTTTGGGCGGTTATGTTACCCTGGTCAGCCGCTTTACGGTACCAGTGTCGGGCAGTCTCGATGCTCTTGGTGACACCTCTGCCATTGTGATAGAAGTTACCAAGGTTGTTCTGAGCAACTGCATTTCCTTGATTGGCAGCCTTGGTGAACCACTCGAGAGTCTTGGCATAGTCCTGGGCGACACCTTCACCTTTGTAATAGCAGTTACCGAGATTGTTCTGAGCAACTGCATTTCCCTGATTGGCAGCCCTGGTGAACCATTCAGCGGCCTTTGTATAATCCTGGATTACTCCTTCGCCATCACGGTAGCAGTTACCAAGACCGGTTTGGGCTATTGCATTCCCCTGATTGGCGGCTTTGGTGAGCCACTCGACAGCTTTGGCATGGTCTTGGACGACACCATGCCCGTGGTAGTAGCAGTTACCAAGACCGGTTTGGCCCCATACATTGCCCTGATCAGCAGATTTGGTGAACCACTCGACAGCCTTGGCATAGTCTTGAGTGATACCTTTGCCGTTGTAGTAGGAAAACCCCAGTTGGTTCTGTGCAGCCGCCATTCCCATCTCGGCAGCCCTGCGATACCACTCGACAGCCTGGCCATCGTCCTGGGTGACACCTTGACTGTTCGCATAGCGGAGCCCAACATTCAGAATCGACCACAAGTGACCTTGAGCTGCACCTCGGCGATACAGTTCAACAGCCTTGGCGTCATCTTGAGGAACGCCAAGACCCCCCAGGTAGCAATCAGCAAGTGCATACTGACTGATGGCATGACCTTGGTCCGCAAGTACTTGCAGCAACCGCACGGCGAGTTGCGGGTCTTTGTCGGCTCCAAAGCCGCCGATCAAGCAACGTGCAGCCAGGTGCTTGCAGAACCAGTCGTGCTCCGTTCCGAGTTGGCACAAGCCGAAGAATCGAGCGGCAGTCGAGGAGGAACATTGCGTTTCCAGTCCGTGGATTGAGCTCTCGCCATACGGAAACTCGGCAGTCTTGCTCTCGCGCAGGAGTTGGTTGGCCCTGGGTTCGTCTTGGCGAGTTCCACGGCCAAGATAGCAGCACCAGCCCATCATGAATGTGGCAATGGGTTTCATGGTGGCGTCCTTCGCCTTGTTATGAACAACTTGCCAGTAGGCGAAGGCCTCAGTGTCGCTCTTGGTGATGCCGATGCCAGTGAAATGCAGCCATGCAAGCTCGGAGGCGGCCTCGACACTCCCCTTGTCGGCGGCTGCCTGATACAGCTCGGCGGCAGTTGTCCAGGCAGGGTCATTGGCCGGCTTGCCGTCCGACATCGTGTGGGCGGCAGTGATATGGGCGTCGGCGTCACCCCGCTGGATACCCATGATCACTGCCCGCGGGAGGCCATAGCCGGTGGTGAGTCTCTGGGCCAGAGTCGGGGACTCGAGTCGACGTGGCGACGCAGAGCTGGCGGTGTCGGCGGGAATCGGGAATGAAGTAACATCTTCGAAGGGAGCGAGAATCGACGCGATGTCCCCAAAGGTGGGACGCATGGATGGGTCTTGGTGCCAGCACTGTTCGACGAGCAACCAGATGTCGTCGGGGATGCCATCGAATCGGGAGGGTCTCTGGCCATTGCAGACCAACCCCCTGATAGCTTCGCCTTTCATCGCTTGACCATCGTTGGAAACCCAAACCGGATCGGCATTGTTCAGTACTTCGTACATGGTGATGGCGAAGGCATAAACATCGGTCATCATCGTGGTGCCAGTCGGATTCTTATCGTCGAGCATCTCGGGAGCCATGTATCCCTCGGTGCCACTGGTCGAGCCGCCATTTCGATTGGGGTTCATCGAGGCCGAGGTGTGCTTGGTTCTGGACAAGCCAAAGTCGGTGACGATGGCCTGGAAGGATTTGTCCAAGAGGACGTTGGCTGCCTTGAGGTCGCCGTGGATGATGCTTCTGGCGTGCAGATAGGCCAGGGCCGACGCAACCTGGTACAAGAGACTGAGTTTCTTCTCGAGGGAAATGTTGTTGTTGGCCACATAGTCACGAAGCGTGCCGTTTGGCATGAACGGAGAGACCATGAACGGAGTGATCTTTTCGCCGGCGTCGCCCTTGTCGCAGGCTCCGAGGAGTGGGAGGACGTGGGGGTGGCTGAGATTCTGCCAAACCTCGATCTCATGGTGGTAGCTGGCGAGCTCGGGGTCGTTTGGAGCGCCGAGAAGCTGCTTGATGGCGACTTGGGTGCCAAAGTAGCTGCCAGTGAACACCCCACCAAACCCACCACGGCCGATGGGGCTGGCTGAGCGGTCGGTGATGTCGCTGGGCGAGATGTACCATGGTGGTCTGTCCTGACGCCCGTGGATAAGGAGCTTGCTGGTCATCTTGAAGGAGATGGACGGATGGAAATGAAACCTGGGGGAAAGGCAATGATGTGGTTGGAGGATGACAGGAGAGGAGTCTCGGGAGTCATTTCCTCCATGACTCGCCCCTCTTCCGCCAGGGATGCCGATGTGGCGGTGTTCGGTTGTTTGTGCTGCGCACGAGGACATGGCACATGACGCCGTGTCGCTCACGTGGATCGGATCGCTGACGGCATCTGGTGTGACCGCCGGCTTTGCTTGGGCTGCACTCGTTGCTCTATTCCCACAATAGACATCATCCGGCATGCAGGCCACCAGCAACCAACTCTATTCCTGCCCGGCCCACGGCACCGACCACGATTTGTTCCTCTCATACCGTGCCCAGACTGATGCCGACACTGTCCAGGCTCTGAAGGAGGTGCTCACCTCGGTCGCCCTCCGTCGATATGGCAAACCCCTTTCCGTCTTCCACGATGTCGACTGCCTCAACAATCCCAGCGACCCTCCAGCCAGTTCTATCAGTGCCCTCCCCACCAGCAAAGTCGTCTTCCTGCTCCTCAGTCTGGAATCGTTTACACCCATAATTGAGAACACTCTCGCCGGCCAGGAGGACAGCGTTCTGCTTGAGATCAAGACCGCCCTCGATCTCAAGGATGCCAAACGCTCCCTCCCTGTCCTTCCCCTCGGAATCGCCACCAAGGAAACCAAGGACGGCGTGGATGTCTTCACTCCCTTCTTGCCGTACATGGTGTCCCTCCCCGGCGACCCTGCTTTTGCCCCCCTCAAGCAGACCCTCGACAGAATCAAACGCATCCAGTCCTTTGGCTTCCGCCCCGACCAGATGCACAAGCGAATCTACCGCCTCCTCAGCCTCGTCCATCCAGTTCAAGTGGATGATAGCACTCGCCAGGTCCTCGACTCGCTCTTCTGTGACTCCAAGTTCCGATTCGATCCCGTCCACCTCGACACCCTGCTCAAGCAACTCACTCTGACTGGCCGTGCCGTCATCTCTGGCATGGGTGGCATGGGCAAGTCCGTCCTGGCTGTCCAGATCCTGTTCTTCATGATGGGCATTCTGAATGCGAGCAACAAGGACGACCTCCATGTCATCAAAGCCGAGACCATTGGCATCAAGCCACAGTACCCCCAGGTCTTCTGGGTCAACTGCTCGACCGAGTCGACTGCCCTCGATGGACTCATCGACATGTTCCCTGGCATCAAGCCCGATGAGATCAAGGAACATGCCTCGAGGTTCCTCGCCAACACTCACGGCTATCTCCTGGTGCTCGACAATGTCGATGACATCGGCGTGGTCGACTCTGTGTTTGAGCACTCCAAGTCGGTCGGGTTCAGCGGCGATGTGGTGGTGACGACCCGGCTGGCCTCGCTGCCTCCTGGTGCGTTCACCAGTGCTCTTGAGACCAAGGCACCGAGCTTTCAGCACGATCTGCTCCGGCTCGTCAACTGGGACGACAAAACCACGTTCGACTACATCATGTCGTCGTCGCCAATGATTGTCCAGCGACTTGTGTCGGACGAGGCCAGGAAATCCCTCGACAGCATCGTGGCCAAGATCAGTGGATATCCACTCGTCATCCAGACATTCATGACGTTTGCCGAGAACTACGACACTCCCCTGTCGGAGCTCGAGGCCACGTTTGCAGGAGCATTGGAGCTGCAGGATGGCGAGGACGACACGCGGTCGTCGCTCAAGGTGATTGTGGATCTGTCGCTGGACTCGCTGATGAAGCGAGGGGACGAGGGCATCGAGGCAGCCAGGCTGTTCGGTGCCCTCAGTCTGGTGGCGCCGGCCAACATGCAGTTTGAGTTGATCAAGGAGATTGCACAGAAGATGGAGTTCAAGATCGAAGGTGAGTTGAGTGGATCGAAGTGCAGTTGATGGTGTTTATGCATGGAACTGACCAGTGGCTTGTCCACAGTGACGGCTCTGATCAAAATGGTGGTCCAGAGTGGTCTCCTCCGAAGTGGAGCCGAGGGACAGTACTCGACCCACTCGCTCACCCAGCAAGTGGCTCGAGAGTATGTCCAAGCACACAGTGAACTGAATGCCGAGGCGATTGAAGATGCAGCGGGTGAAGCTCTGATTGAGCTAACCGAATCTCTGCTGGTGGATGCATATCCGTACTTGGAGCATCTTGAGGAATTTTCGGCGGTGGT